TGAGGAGGAAGAGGATGAAGAGGAGGAAGAGGAGAAGGAGGAGGAGAAAGAAGAAATACATCGAACCATCGATAGAAAAGATGTTGGTAAGATTTCAAAAGTGTTAAATTCTGATAATTCTTCCTTCATTGTCTCTGGTATATCTACTGCAAGTAACACATCAAAAGAAACAAAATTGAGAATCATCCATTTTTAGAATGAAAAACAAGCATATAATTAAATTATTTCTGCTCACATACACACGATACCTTACTTTAAAGGATACAGTTGTGAATCGGGCATGACTCTCTAAAAATACAGTTTCTTTAATCCTTCATGTTTTTTTTTTACTTTCACAAGAGGCTTTAGAGATACTTTCAAAATCTAATTAATTTTATCTAATTTTTCTGTGCAAAATTGTGGTTTTCCGGAGCTTTACAATTTTTAAATAATATACAGTTTTAAGTTATTTAACAAGGAAAGTTGTAACATTTAATCCCTTGATATCGTTACAATCCCAGACATAAATCCTAGGGAAATCAAGATCAATCTAACTACTCCGCATTCATTAAAAGAACAAAGAGATAAAGGTGTGAGGCTGGGGGAGGTTTTTAGCATGAGTCACCTATACTTTAAATATTACAAAGTCTATTTCTACTTTTATTCCTAATGTTTAATATCATTTTTTTTAGAACACAGAGTTACAATGTTGAGTAATAAATCTAAAACTTCAAATCCTTCTCACAGATATTCAAGAATAAGGTTATTTATTCATATTTATTTACATAAAGTTCACCTTTTATTTTTTTTATATACAGGGTGTCCCACAAAACGTGAGGCTCGAGTAGAATGTCGTTTTGATCTCTGGTAAAGGCATAAAAATTGAGTCTTTGCCACGAACTCTTTTTTTTCACTCCAATGTCGTAGACCTTAGATATTTCAAACTATGAATTCTGTTGGATAGAATTTTCTAAATTTAAAATAATTAAGATTTACACACTCAGGTTGCAAAGATATAAAAAAGAAGAAAACTTAATTTTTCTATCAAAAACTCAATTCCTTTGGTACCAAAAAAAAGGTTTTTAGAAGGTAAACTGAACAGTGTAGAAAGCTAAAACGACGCTTAACCTTTTTGACCCACATTTTGTTGTTAGATAGCTATATCAGAGATCAAAAACGAAGTTTAAATTGTGGGACACCATATTTTAATAATCTTTTATTTTTCCAATGTTTTCTTGGATCAAGCGGAAAAATAACGACCCAAATTTAAAAGTTTTTGGCGAATTTTCAGTTTCTTTGTTTTTACGCTAGAACTAAAGATGGAGGGTTACAAAGATTTTCACATTCAAGTTCAAGCCGTTCCACTTCGAAAGCATCTGTAAGTAAATTAATTATGTCGAAACAGTTTGTATATTCAAAATATATTATATATTATGTTTTAAAAGTTTAGATATTTGAACTATTATATATTATTTTTAAACAGTTTATATATTCAAACAATTATGTTCTATAGCTATTTCTAAACAGATCAGATATTTGAACCCTTATGTAATATTTTTAACCCTATTCCTGCTGGGGGGGGGGGTCCCCCCCCCCCCAGCGTATCCTGGTTTGCAAGTACCCCAGCAGGGATAGGGTTAAACAGTTTAGATATTTTAACTATTATCTACCAGCTATTTCTAAATTGTTTAGATATTTGAACTATTATTTATTATTTTTAAACAGTTTATATATATTTAAACTATATAATATATTATTTTCTAACAGTTTAGATATTTAAACTATTATGTACCAGCTATTTCTAAACTGTTTAGATATTTGAACTATTATTCATCATTCTTTAACAGTTCATATATTTAAACTATATTATATATTATTTTCTAACCGTTTAGAAATTTGAACCATTATGTTTTATTTTAAAACAGTTTACATATTTAAACTATAATTTACTAGCTATTTCTAAACTGTTTAGATATTTGAACTATTATGTATTATTTCTTAACAGTTTAGCTATATTTGAACGTTATGTACTATTTTTAAATGTTTAGATATTTAAACTATTATGGATTAATGCTAAACAGTTTAGATATTTTAACTATTTTGTATTATTTCTAAACAGTATAGCTATATTTGAACTAATGTATAATTTCTAAACAGTTTAGCAAATTAAACTATTTTTTACTCTTTCAAAGCATTAATTCTTAACAGTTTAATTATTTAAACTATTATGGATTATTAAGACTAATCTGACTGAAACTAAACTATTGAGTTAATGAATTAATTACCAATTATAAATAATTTGGTAAAATCAATAATTCAAAACTATTTGTTAGAAAAAAAAATAATTTATCACTTTTTAACAAAAGATAGTTTGTGCAACATCTGACATCGTAAACTGTGATCTCTGTTAAACCAACTGGATCAACTTAATGCTTTAAAATATAAAATGTTAACACCATTAAGTGACAAAGAAATATGGATTAGAAAGTTCAAGTTTGTGGCAAGAGTTCAACTTCTTTGTCTAATATATTGCTTTAATTTGATAAAAAAAATGCTAATAAAATAATGAACATGTTCTCATTTTAAACTTTCTTTAAACTCCGAACAATATGCTAGTTTACACATTTTTATGTCGAAATATCAGAAGGCGGAAAAGTTCCAAAGAATGGTCGTCAAAACATATGATTATTATTACAAACGGTGAAGCAAACTTATTTTAGGACCTTAATAAGAATTTTCAAACGTTCATTCTACTCAACAATATACCGGCTCAATCCTAAACTTTTAAATATTAAATGTGTTTTCTGCAGAATTTTCAAGACAAGGGATCATCTCTACGGAAAAGAATTGGATCAGCTCAGAAAAGATTTGACAATCAGCTTAGGTGTGGTAATTTTTTAAGGTTTTTTTGTGTGTACAAATTTGTTTTATTATTTTTCAATACAGTGATGACGACTTTCTGATTTCTAATGACTTTTTTTCAGCAAAGCCTTAAGAAACTTTAGAAATACAGTTAGCTTAGTTAAAAGACTTTATATGAAAAAAAGAAGAAAAAAATGAGAAAAAAAAACTGAAATCAGTTACTTTTTATAACATGTCACTTTGAGGTCTGACTGACACTTTTTCTGTCTACATTTACCTTAAAAATATCATTTTTATTTTACCGGAAATTATTATTTGTTGAATTTGTTCCTGTATATAGAATCACATTGACAAGAGGCTTTTTGGGAAAAATGAGAGTTTTGTTTTGCAAAAATATTGTAAAATTTGAAAATTTATATTTATTCTTTCCCAGGAATGATATTGGAATACTTATGAAGAAGCTAGAGGTAAAAAAAAATAAAACATTCAAAGGGACAGTTAGCAAAACATACTTTAAATATCCTTATCTAATTTTTTGCTACATTTTATGAGTTTTAGAGGACATTACGCAAAAAATATGAATTCTTTCAATCTACGAGCTCTACATAACAATAGCTAGCTAAAAATACTTTGGCGTCAGCTCTTGGTTTCATTGTGGATTTTGGAAGATTTTGAAAGATTTTAAAAAAGGAAGAAAACGGCAAGAAAGTCTGCACTCGTCAAAACTAAAACGGTAAGGTGCGATTGAGCAGAAACAATCTTCCAGAATCCATCATGAACACATAATAATACTCACATAAAATAAAGTTCAAATTCAGCGTAGCTCCTCTTCGCTTGGCTCTTGAAGTTGAGATTGTAAGCCGGAAGTGCGTCATTTAGACAAGGAATAGAGCAGCAGACATTATGACGAGCTTGTATATTTGAGAGAATTGATATATTGTCGTATGTTGGTTTGATTTAGCTCAATAAACCATCGAAATCAAGGTAGTCCTCTTTTTGTCCATTGGTTAACCATTACGTAAACCCAGCCAATCAGAATGACTACTCGCCCTTGGGGAACATAATGTTATAAGGAACTATAATTGTATCTATAGTCTTAGAAAAATTAGAATCAATGGAAATTTAAACCTCCAGAAAAATTAAATAATAAAAATTTTAATGAATCCTATATGCCAAGTCCATTAGCGCCTGATCCAATCAGGGTTCAGTCATGTGTTTGTTGTCTATTCTGAACCAATGGAAATATTTCAGCGGTAACAAATATCTTTCTATCTATCTCATTATCCAATCAGAGTTATGAATCCTTCAATCGGCGCTATCAGTAAATGAAAATATTCACTTCTACTGAAACTATGGTGGCCTAAGATCTAGATTGTCTAAGACTAAATGATATTCCTTTGGAAAAAAGCATTTTATACTCCAAGAGAAACAAAGCAGGAACAAATTAATATTTTATGGGAACAAAATAAAAATTAATTTTTGCAGTGCAATATGAAAAATGTTATGCTCGTTTATCTATATAATAAAACAAGACATTCGTATATATGTTCCTCATTGCCGGCCAAACGGCTGAAACGAATGGGCTGATATTTTTTGAAGAAACCTATGAGTACCCTGGGGGTAAACAAATCCTAAACAAATTCTAAATTATTTCTTTTTCAATTTTTTTATTATTCCACGGGCAACGCCGGGCGCTTCAGCTAGTCTATTTATAAGTTTTGACATTCAGCCCAAAGTGTGGAGTTATGATTGGCGGCATGAAATTCAGTAAAATTAGTTCCAATGTTGGAATTCCAAGATAATAATCATTCCTTTCTATAACCTTGACAAGTTGAGAGGGTTTATATTAACTTCTATTTATTTTGTAACAAATTTCTTTTTGAAAAAATTAAAGAATTTTACATTGATTAAGAACAAATTTATTATTTTTTATCCCAAAACATTTTTAAAGAATATTTCCCCTTGGAAACGTTAAGATCAGTGAATAAGATTAAAGTGTTATTTTGCAAGAAAATTCAGTTTGGCACTTTAGATTTTACCATTAGGTATATTTACCAAGCTGTAAGCTTGACGAGAATAATGTATTTATATTTGACCCTTCTGATCAGAAATGAAAAAGATTTCTATGATTTTTCATTAAAAATTGGTTATTTTTAATTGTGGTTTCCTCAGAGCCAAAAATGCAAGAAACTTATAAACGATGAATGATTAAACATTAAAAAAGCACGTTTCCATTTTAAAGCAAAACAGCGATTTGAAATATTTACATAACAAAAATTAATCGTTCAAGAACGATAGGTAACTTATTATTATGAACGACCATGTCCAAACCTGAAAGACTTTCAAATTAAGAAATAATGCAAATAAAATATAGGATATATGATTTTTGTAACGTTATACGCTTTCCATATTTAACAATTTTAACTCAAATTCAACAGGTCTAATTGAAGTTTAATCATATAAAGCTAATTTTAATATTAAGATATTCTTTTTTTAATTTAATATATTGTGGAAATAAAGATTAAAGTTTATTTTTTTCAAACAAATTTGTTAACATTCGTTTTTGAATCTGAACATAAGACAACGAATTACTTATTGACGATTTTGAAAATTAAATTTTTCGATTAAAAATAACTTTTTCGGGACCAAAGATATTCACACATGTTAAATCTAAAATTGAACGGTCGGAGATGAACAAATGTGTATGTAGAATCGAATTGTGGGTTTCAGACAAATGCCTAGATTTATAAAGGTAGAACCCTATGAGCATGATTCTACATCTGTTGAAAATGAAAGCACAGGAAGTAAAACTAAAAAGGAAGATGAAACCTCCGACAGCAAATCTAAAATGAAGGTTGTTTTTGTTGAATAACATTTTTCGTCATTCAATAATAATGCATCAAAGTTTGCTTTAATTAAACTTCTCAATAAAATAAATATAAGGAAAAACCTATATTTTTTGTTAGTTCTGAGCATTTTTTCTCTACTTCTCAGATTTTTGCAGAACCTTTAAAATATCCATAAATAAAAGTTTTTGAAACTTACCAGTGTCCGAATTTACTGAATTTGAGCCGTGTCAAAAATCCACCAAAAACCGGTTTCAATTGTGCGCCGGCTTAAATCTTGAAATATTAAATACGATTTTAATTGGAACCAACCATATTTGAGCCGCGACTTAAATTCAAGTCGATTTTGAAATTGTACCACCGAGTGGTTTAGCTATAGTAAGATAATAGGGTAAACAAGTCACATTAAACTGTCTATGCTCTAACTCCAAAAAAAGGGATTCTGTAAAATTAATTGATCCTATAAATTGAAGCTTTAAGTACTTGAGTTTGTAGTTCTAAAATGTTCAAGTGAGTAAGTAAGGTTATACCAGAGACCTGGACGCTGCGACATTTCAATGTCGATCCAGTCATGTAATACCAGAATTCATGTTAACATTCTTCTTTTACTAAAACATGTTGTATTATCCGATGAAGTTGATGAATAATTAAGGTTTACGTATCGAGTCTCTTAAACCTTGATATTTAAACGTTTACCTGGATTTTACATCAGTCACAATAGAGCTACACAAACAGTATTGAATTCCTGGTCAAAAATTAATGTAACTATGAAATGAAAAAGGTTTGGTTACATTCTAAATTATGAATAGCTTAAAAACTTTTTTTAGAGTAAACAAACAAAAGTAATTGAGTCTTTGCCTCAAACTCTGATTTTCCAATCCCTATATCGTTGCAACCCAAAGTAGTAGACCTGAGATATTTCAAACCATGAATTATTTTTGATCAAATAATCTGATTTTGAAATTATCAAACATTTACACCATCAGGGTGCAAAGATAAAGATGAGATAATTTGAGTTTGTTGAAAAAAACTCAATTTCTCTTAGTAACCAGTGATGGCCCATGGCCGGTCAAACTGCCCTGATCAGCAACCAAGCTGAACTGTCAAATTTCAAAACGTAAACAAACCTTTCAAACTTCATATATATAATATTGTTTTGTACTTTCTATCCATACAACTTTCCTTACAATATCAATTATTAAATGATAATTGATGAATTACATTTGTTTAATCTGACTATTGTTATTTAAAAAAATTCGATCGGTCCAAATAAAAATTAGACAATTTTTCAATGACAATTATCTAGATTTGTGTAGCAACCGCAACACAAATTGTTAAAACCGTATTGAAAATGGTGAAATTTTGATTGTTTTCTACGCTACCCTTCAAACCATGTATTTCTCGGATTTTCTAAAAATCATATCATAGATTTCTAATTCTAAGTTATTTAACGCCCCTAACAAAAAAGAAAGAAATTCAAATGACTTTCATTAAATTGAAGCTCAAAGTGGCAAATAATTTTTTAAATTTCTTGTTTTTGTTTCAGGATGCAACACTAGAGAACAAAACATTAAAAAGAGTTGTAGTGAAACAAGAGAAAGAGCTTTTGAAGTAAACACATTTTTAAATATTTCTATTATTTAGAAACATTTTTCATTGATCAGTCTTGAAAACTACTTAGATTTTGTTTAACATTAGGATGTTCATCATTTGTTACATTTATTCATTTGTTTATCAGCGTACAGTGAGAACCAGAAAATAATGGAATAGGAAGACGACATCCTATTAATACTTGAGTGTATTTGGTGTTCTTACAAATCAATCAGTTCTACTAGATACTATATATCAAACACCATTTAAGTGAAATGGGTCTGTGTACACTGCTCAATTGCTTTGTCTCTTGGCCTATAAAGTCATAAATTGAGTCTGAAAGTCGTCTTCCTATTCCAGAGTTTTCTATATTTATATATATATATAGAACTGTATATTTTGAATAGGTTTACAAATACTGAAAGCGAACTCCCTGTTATACTAAATGCTCACAATGAAGAAATAAGAGTCCTTAGATCTAAAATGAAGCAGGTTAAAATCTTTTTGAAATATTTATCTTTTGTTTATATTAATATTACAATAAAAAATAATCTTAAAAATATAACAATTTGAAAAATAGAACTAAGTATTGAAGAAATTGTTTGCTCTCTAAACTTTAAAGTTTAAAGCAATAAATATATTTTTCATTTTGAAAAAATATTGAAATACATTTGAACTAAAGCTGAATATTTAGCACGAAATAGTAATATTTGAAAAAATGTCAAGTTCAAAAGCCTTATGTGAGGTTCTCTGACGTATCTTTTCAAGTTTATGACTTTCATCCACTAAAAGTTATAAATGTGCTATATGCCTAATCACACAATTATTACACACACAACAAATTATTTTATAGTTTCTTTCGTTTTAAAAGAACTGATATTTGATCAATTTAAAAAAACGAGTTAAGTAGGGTTACCTTCAAAGGATAAAACTGTATTTTGATGTTTACAAATATAAACACAGAAACTGTTCAGCGTTCGTCTTGAAGAACCCTGACTGCAAGAAAACGGACTAAACAAATTCCGAACAATCGTCTCTTAAGTCTCATCCTTTGTGGGTAAACCTGTATATGAAATCTGATGAATTATGCACAGTAACCAAACACCTCTGGAAAGACAGTATAAGTCATTTTTAACACCTTGCTTTGCACAAACGTCCTTATTTTGAGGTTAAAACCTAAAAAAAAAATATATTTTTTATTTAAATATTTCAGGCTCAGGAGTCCAGTAAGAAGATGCTAGAAAAGCTGAAAGAGAAGGATAAACAGCTGATGCAGCTTAGAGATAATAATAAAGAGTTAACTAAACTAAATAAGGTAAATAGAAATATAAAGAAAATCAAGAGAAAAAAAACAGCTAAAAAGAAACCGATGTCTTGACTCAAAGGAATTGAGTCCAGGCCAAAAACTCTGATTTTCTAAACCCTTTATTTTTGCCATCCAATGTCGTAAACCTTTGATTTTATAATTAGAAATATCTAAGGTCTACTACATTGAGTTGCAAAAATATAAGTAATAGAAAACCAGGGTTTGTGGTAAAGGCTCTATTCCTTTACAACTTTGCAACCTGATGTCGTTAAACTTTGATAATTGTAAGCTATGAATTCTGTTAAAAATTACATTACAAATATAGAGGTTATAAAATAGATTTTGAGAAAAGGAAAATTTCATTTTTAAAGACTTTTTTTGTTTCAGGAGAAGAAGCTTGATGAGAGAGTTGTTCTAGCTGCAGAGTTAACAGATGTCAGGGAGAGACTTGAAATCAGAGATGTTCAATACAGAGATTTAATTCATAGGTGGGAAAAGCTATTTTTTAAAAAGTGTCCAGAGCTTAAAACTTTAGAATCGGATACCCTTTGATTTCTGGTTAATTCGTTCTTTTTCTCTCTTTTTGGATATGCCTACTTTGTTCCGACCAAAAAGAGTTCTCTCATAGACTGCGCGCCAAAGTTTAAAAATTTCTCGACTTCTGATTGGCTTTCCTAACTCTTATTAAAGCGCTATTGTAAAGTGCAAATATGTTTTTATTTATAATATATATCCAGAAGAATTTGCTTTTATCATACTTGTCTGTAAATTCAAAGCTAGAGGAGCTACACAACGCAAGTCGTACTAGTAATGTCTTGTCAATCCACTTTAACCATGCCGGTACATGCCTTGATGTTTAAACAATATAATTAATTATCAATGTATAGGTCATTAAACACCTTGATGTTTAAACAATATAATTAATTATCAATGTATAGGTCATTAAACACCTTGATGTTTAAACAATATAATTAATTATCAATGTATAGGCAAGATGTACTTGAACGGAGTAACAAGCAGCAACTAGCGGCAGAAATTAAAAGGAAAAAAGAGGCAAAGCGAAAACTAAAGGTATAATTTATATTAAAAGAAAAGGGACTATAGACGAAATTTCAAGTGACCGTTTGTTTAAAAAGAAGGGTATGTCCGATTCACAGCGGTACCCTTAGTTTTCCGTCCATAATTAACAAATGGTCTAAAATCTGTCATTAAATCAGCCATGTCGACACTTAAAATTGCGCCTGCATCGTAATTGAAGATATTTTGTTCAACTAATATGGTTATTTGACATGAGCTAGGTTAAAGTAAAAAACCTACCTTTAATTACAGAAAAGTTTACAACGTAAAAAAGTGTGTCCGATTTAAGAGCAACCATTCAAACGCTTAAACTGTTGCTGGATAAGGGGCGGAACCCTAATCTATATAATACAGCTCTTTACTCAAAATTTTAAAATTCGTATTTTTTACAAATGTTCAAAAATTCCAAGGGTAACTAGTTATTAAGAAATCCCCATCTCAGGAAGCTGAAGAGCGGATACAACAGCTTGAAGAAATCCTAGTGGAGAAAGAGAAGAAGTTGAACCGTATGAATATATATAGTCGAGGAGATGGATATAGATACAACCAGATGAAAATATCAAGCTCAACCGGGAACCTGTCTCAGGTTCTATTACTTTTTTTTATTAATTGTTTATCTTAATTGTTTTTTAATAAAATAGATGGTTTACGATAATAATTTAGTATTCTTGTAAATTCTGATTTGATTTCATAATCTCTATCTTCTTAGCTTTCTTTTTATTCCTGTTTATTCCTAGGAAACCTGTCTCAGGTTTCAAAACAAATAATTCCAACTTTTCGAAGCATTTTTCATTCGATATTCACAACAAAACTTAAATACAGGGTGTCCCACGAAACATACCAGTAGAAGGACGACTTAAAGTCGCCTTTGAACTCTTAAGATGTTAGTGACATTTAGTTGTCAACCTACTTTCACATTTATGATTCAATAACCACAAAATTCTCCTGCCCTGGGATTTCAAAACTGCGGTCTGCATTTTTTGCCGTCAATATTATCGGAGATATTGAGAATTTCGTTCAGATTTCAATTTTATGAAATAAAACCAAAATTGTCTAAATCTGAACAAATTATTGAAAAGAATAAATACATAATTTAAGTCGTCTTGCTACTATCATGTTTTGTGGGACACACTGTACTTAATTGGTGAAAAAAATTGGACTCATTTTTTGGTAGATTATTTCACACTTTTCCTCATTGACCGAGGGATTATTTTTTGCACTTCCAGAATCGATACAAATTTTATAAATTTGTACACTTTAGTTTTTATTAACTTATTTTTTTTTGTAAAATCGAAAATCAAGTTCTTCAAAAAATTAGGAGTAGAATTATTTCTAATTTGTTAAAATCTGTTTCATCTTGTTTTCAGAGGGATACAACTGGTATTAAAAGTTTGCTTAACTCTAGAGCTGAGTTGAAGGTGAAGAAACATCAGAAAGGAAATTCATTTGCAGTCATTTCAAATGATTTGGAAAACAAGGTATTTTTTCCTTTTAATTTATTTTAAAAATACTTTAAGTTGAAAAGCTTTCGTTTTATAACCACAACTATTACAAAACATAATGAACTTAAATAAATTTAATATTCTACATTGATTTAATTTTCTACATAGATTTGGTGCTATTATTCATTATATTTAGTCAATTAAATCTTATTGAACAGTAAACTGATTATATCAATTAATTAACTAAACTTAAACAATACTGTTTGCTTGCTTTAAAGTTGTTTTGGTGTTCGTAAAACGTACTAGCCCTATAAAGTCCGGAAGGGGAGTTAGGCCACCTTAAATGTAAAAATGTATTCCGGCAGCTGCCGCTCTCATTTGTGTAAAAGTAAATTTGAAACTTTTTGACTTTTAAGAACAAATAATTGGATGATAACATGTAAAACACAATTTGTACTAAATAAAAAAATCTTTTACATTATTCAGATATGTTTTCTCGCTAATGAACCATAAAAAGCTCCCAACCTTTTTAGGGTTTATCAACTTCAATGTTTTAGGAGGAAAATGACAATGATTTGACTGTAAGACCTGAAAAGAAAGAACAAAATCCGATTCTCAAAACTCCTAAACCTAGCAAACGAATTGAAACTGTTGAAAAACCAAACGTAAAGGTTGAAGCATCTCCAGAAATAGACTTTTTCGATGATGTTATTGACCACACTCCAACTGACGATGAGACTATCATCAATAGTGTACATATTGATGAAAACTATGATGAAGATTTCGAAGATGCATTTGAAGTTCATGAGAAAGATGATGACAGCGTGCAGGAAAGTTCTGAAGAGGACAAATCTGAAAGTTCTTTGCCTAGAAAGAAACATGATGAAACTGATACTGAAAATGATACAAATTACGAGAATGGTACTTTTTCCTCTATAAGGTATAAACTATACATTAAACTACATATGTTGAACATGAATGGCTAAAGAAGAAAACATCTTCTCCGCTTTGCCTTTAATTACAAATTTTGCTCAGGATTTTGTAAATGTTATAAATCTACAAAAAGATTTATTAAAGTCGGAACTTGTGTGAAGTATTGTTTATCTTGAGATCTCAATATCCAAATCGGGCACTTACAAATATGTGAGGATCAGTTGTTAATCTCTTCATTTTAGTTAATCCTGCAGGGTATGGCCAACTCGGAATATGGAAGAGAGATTAAATTAATCCGTGTAGGACTGCATAAGATGGGGATCTATCCTTAAACCCGAGATTTAAAAAACATAAGTCCTGACTTCAATGCACATGATGTAACTTTACTAATTACTGTCAGTCTTTTCAATTGAAGAAAGTGTTTTTGGACTTCAATGTTGTTTGATCATTTAATAACATTTTAATGATATTTCTACAATTTGATATTAAAATATTTTAGGGACTTTTTCGAGCATAATGGTCCCATCAAATTAAAGGTATATGACAAATACATGGAAAAGGTGTTTTTTAGAGAAATCAAACGATGGACGAACAAAATGAATCGTTCAGAGAAATGAATAAATACAAAGAACGATTTAAAATACTTCGAACAAACTTGAAAAATGATCGTTTATTTTACTGAACGAACGAATTTTCTAAAATATTGTGAAAAAACTTTACAAACGAAAGTGCTTTTTAAACAATTTTAAAAAAAACTATAGTTATTTTTACTGGACGAACGATTTTACTGAAAGATCCTTTAGTGATAAAACAAAGAAATAGATGGAAAATTAATGATAATTTTGAGAACGAACGAAATCAATTATTTTTTGAACGATTAAAAAAAACGAAATGGGTTGTTCACTATGAACGAAGGAAATGAAAAAAAAGTCGAACGTGGCCATCTTTAGCTTTCCCAGACCAAAAATCAAGAAACAAAATTTCAAAATAAAAAAAAGTCAAATTGTAAATTTTTTATGTTCCAGGACTTGACACCTAAAGTTAAGATGACAAAATTCGATGAAAAAAATTCTGAATCCCCAAGAAATGCTTTGGTTACACCCACACCAGAGGTTTGTTTTTCTAAATGAAAAATGGTTTTTTCAATATATGCAGTAGAAACATAGAAGGACATTGTCTGGATTTAACACTTTTTTACTTGGTATATTCCTAATTTTTGTTCAGTTAAATGTGAAAAGGATATCGTTGAAAATCCATTTTGGAAATGGGGGGTCCCTTAAAATTATTCATTTGATAATCAACAACAAAATCTTGTAAATGAAAATTGTCCACATTGACAACAAAAAAAAAGGTTTTTACTCATGTAAATATGAGAACTCGGGTTTTTTTTTATTTACATATTTATAGAAGGTGTCATAACCATGACTGATAGAGAACTTTCTTGGAATACGAAATTTATAGGTTTTTAAATACAAAATCTTCCGCCTGCAGGGTTATCCACAAAGGATGAGACTTCAGAGACGATTTTGAGGAATTTATACAGTCTGTTGCCTTATATTTATGATTCCCTGAAACTGTAAACTTCTATCTTTCTTACAGTGAAACCCTTAATAATGAATACATCGGAAGAATTTATCAAATGTCGTCTTGACAATTGTTCAATGAGTTTTTTTACTGTATTACGTAAATTTCAGTATTTGCGAAAATAAATAAATAGCCATTAATATGCAGGAACAGTTTCAAAGAGCTCCATATAATCATTTAATTAAAAAACGAAATATCTGCAACATTCCATTCTCAGAAAGTGAAGAATACGACATTTGATGAATTCTTTTGATGTATTTTAGCCTTGGGATCCTAACATTTTTAGAGTTTTCGGTTGTCTCATCCTTTGTGGGTAACCCTATATAATCCAATTTCCTATAAAGCAATTCATCCCAATTAAAGGAATGGTAAGCGTAACTTCAAGTGACCCTCCATGCAAAGATGACTATACCTGATTAACAACAGTCTTGTATTATCAGATCAACAATAAAATAGATATTTTTTTTACTGTTTATTATCACTTGCGGATTTTCTGCGAAAGTGACTAGTTTTTCGGAAGCAATGGAGAAACTCACAGAAATAAACGCTTTCCATGGCAGAAAAGCGACAGTCTGAAACTGCAAATGAAAATAAACAGTTTAAAGAAACAAAAAAACATTACACTGTGATTTATTGTTGATAAAACAAAGCTTTTAAGTTTTAAACCGTTATAAAAATCAGGCTCTTTATCTGTGCATGGAGGGTTACTTGAAATTACGCTGACAGATTCTTTAAAAGGATAAAGTGAGACTATGGTTGCCTGCTGAGAGTTCTCCTAATGATGAAGGATCTGAAGTAAATCTGCTTGAAAACGTTTTATCTAATGGGACTGATAAAGAAGTCCACCTAAACGAGAACAAGGAGGAGAGTTATTTCACCGAAAACCATCTGGAGTTGAATTCAATTCCTAATGTAAGCTAATCAAAATTATTCGCTTTAAACGGATATCTAGCCGAATTTAAAAAATTTGAGCCGGGGCTTAAATCCGCCAAACCCCGGTTTTAATTAAGCGACGGCTTAAATCTTGAAATATTTGATACAATTTTAAGTGGAACCAACCATATTTAAGCCGCGGTTTAAATTTAAGCCGCCGCTCAGATTCTTTAATTTCGGCCTCAGGTTGCGAAGATTAATCGCTTATAAAATTAGAGTTAAAGGAAAGAAATTATTTTTAGCTTAAAGAAATAATATATCCGTGATGCACTTAACTTCAACTTATTTTAAAGTTTTTTTTCTCAAAATGAATTAAAACCATGAAGCTTAACTTAAAACTTCTAAAAAAGGTTTTACCTCAGAACGAATTAAATTTATGAAGCTAAACTTCGACTTATTAAAAAGTTTCTATATCAAGAATAATTGAAGCCATAAAGCTTACTTCAACTCACTTAAAATTTTCTATCTCAGGAACGAATTAAAGTCATAAAGTTTAACTTTAACTTATTTAAAAGTTTCTATCTCAGATTACTTAAAGCCGTGAAGCTTAACTTTAACTTATTTAAAAATATATACCTCAGGATGAATTGATTTCAACGTTATCCTCTAAACACAGTAGTATGGGGTCCAACAATAGCCATCGCAGACATAATCTGATGAAGGTACGATTTTGCTTTATAAAAGTTTAAATATCGAAAGTCAAATTATCAAATTATTATATTTATCATATGAACATATAATATTTTTGTGCATGGCACTACAAACCAAGTTGTGAACGCTCCTAAACAAAATACAGAAGCATTTTCCCAATTATTTCTTTAATATCTTTAAAAATAAAGACCAAGGCGTTGCGACACTTTTAAGTTGAGGCTGTCTAAAAGTTTGATCACTAAGTACTGAAAAATTTTGCACAAATTTTAGTTTAAGGAGTACAAAAAAATGGTGGCTTAAAGAACAACCTTTAAATGCTAAAATTGTTACTGGAAAAGAAGAAACTTAATTATGGCGTATTTAATTTCCATGTTTATTAAGAAACCCCTGTACTACTTGTGCATAGAAATTATCAGATGGTTATATACAAGTTTAATACTGTTCAATGCACTATTTTGTCTAAACTTATTTATCTTTTCTTTATAGGAATTATTCGGAACAGATTCGATTCTAGTAAACACTTCAAAACCTCTAAAAACGTCCTTTAGGTAGGATTTTTTAAAGGGATAGAAGGTAATTTTTTTTTAAGTTGGAATATTTGATTACATAGATTGCATTTGTTTATATCAACGTTTCTGTTTTACTAATTTTGCTACAAAAAGATTAAAGAGTCAGGAGATTTATAGATTGTTTTCAATTGCAATGTTTCTCCACAAAAGGACATTTCTGCTGCAGACACAATAGAGGAATTATCATAATTGAACGCTAGAAAAGCTGAAAGAGCTACGATATCTTTAACATTATTTATCGTTCTAAAATATACCGTTGTGCATCCAGCATACCCCTCTTTTATTTCAGGGTTAATTGACATTACAATTACTGTCACCTTTTACATTTTAAACCGTTATAGGAGTTCCGCGGGAGGATTGAAATCTGTCAAGTTTTCGGAAGAAAATATTGAATCTTTTGATTTTCGAGATCCTGATCTACGGCCCAGATCTACTCCTCATATTTACCAACAATCTTTCTGAGATACAGGGGTCGGTGTTTGTATCAATACAATGTAGACGACTTTTCTATTTCATGCTGTTGAAAAGCTAGGAAAAAGTCGTCGTCATTATATATATCTATATATAAATTTGGCTTGTCTTGGTGTTTGGGTGTCTGTTTGTTTGTATCCAATAAACGTCAAAACGGCTGAACCGATCGGGCCCAAATTTTTTGTGGGATCTCATGTTACCCCAGGGAAGGTTTATGAATGATTGAAATTTTAAATATTTGTCTCCATCAAAATTCGATCTTCATTAAATTTTTGAAAATTTTGAAAATCCACGATTTTTTTTCTGAAAATCCGCGAATGATCGGTTCAGCCGTTTTGACGTTTATTGGATACAAACAAACAGACAAACAAACAGACAGACAAGCCAAATTTATATATAGATATGTACGACTGTAATATATTTCCATTTTTTTGATTTATAGTGTTGAATTCTTTAGATAAAACTTAAACAATAAACGCTATTGAAATTGAAATTTATTGAAACACTAGTTAAAATAAAGCTAAAAAATTAAGACATACATTGACATGAAAAGGCGTGTTCATTAGGGGGTAGTGAATTTAAAAGTTTCATCACAGAACTCCGGCGAAAGTCAATTCTTATGTAAAACACAATTCTAAGAACAAATTCTTTCATGACAGTTTTTGATAAGAGGTCGTCTTCGTTAGCTAACGGGCACTGCAAAATTTGACCTATATATACCTTTTTTCTGAAATCTGTTATTTCGCAATAAGCATGCAATATGCTTTAAATTATTACGGCGATAGTCAATTCCTATGTGAAAAGCCATTCTAAAAAAAAATTATTTGATTAGAGGTCGTCTTCGTTAGCTAACTGGCACTCCAATTGTTTACCTAAATGTACTCTTTTTTGAGATTGGTGATTTCGCAATAAGCATGCAATACGCTTTCAATTATTGCAGCGATAGGCATTTCTAATGTTAAAAACAATTCTAAGAACAATTTCGTTTATAACACTTTTTGATTGGATGTCGTCAAAAAGTATCATGAAAGAAATTGTTTAAGAATTGATTTTACAGTAGAATGACTATCGCCATGAATATTGGAAACATATTGATTGCATATTGCGAAATAACAGATCTCAGAAAAAGACATAAAGGTCAAAATTTGCAGTGCCAGCTAGCTAACGAAGACGACCTCTAATTAAAAAGTATCATAACAGAAATTGTTCTTAGAATTGTTTTTTTTTTACATAAGAATTGACTTTCGCCGTAATGATTTCAAGCAAATTGTTTTATTTTTGGAAATTCACTCCCCCCTATAGTGTTCATTGTTCAGTGTTCACAAATAACCAGGGTGATTTGGACGTCAAAGTTAAAAAATCAGAAATCATTATTTTGTGTAAAATATACTTGCATAGTAGATTAATGTAGAGTAGGATACTTGCAGAGTATTCTAGTATATTAATGTAGACCAGGATACTTGCAGAGTATTCTAGTAGATTAATGTAGAGTAGGATACTTGCAAAGTATTCTAGTAGATTAATGTAGAGTAAGATACTTGCAGTGTATTCTAGTAGATTAATGTAGAGCAGGATACTTACAGTGCAGTCTAGTATATTAATGTAGGATAGGATCCTTGCAGTGTATTCTAGTAGATTAATGTAGAGCAGGTTACTTGCAGAATATTCTAATAAATTAATGTAGAGTAGGATTCTTGCAGTGTATTCTAATAAATTAATATCGAGTAGGGTACTTGCAGAGTATTCTAGTAAATTAATGTAGAGCAGAATACTTGCAGAGTATTCTAGTAGATTAATGTAGAGCAGGATATTTGCAGCGTATTCTATAGTAGATTAATGTAGAGCAGAATACTTGCAGAGTATTCTAGTGTATTAATGTAGAGCAGGATACTTGTAGAGTATTCTAGTAGATTGATGTAGAGTAGGATACTTGCAGTGTATTCTATAGTAGATTGATGTAGAGTAGGATACTTGCAGTGTATTCTATAGTAGATTGATGTAGAGTAGGATGCTTGCAGAGTATTCTAATACATTAATGTAGAGCAGGATACTTGCAGAATATTCTAGTAGATTAATGTAGAGTACGATACTTGCAGAATATTCTAATAAATCAATGTAGTGTAGGATACTTGCAGAGTATTCTAGTATATTGATGTAGAGCAGGATACTTGCAGAGTATTCTAATAAATCAATGTAGAGCAGGATACTTGCAGAGTATTCTAGTATATTGATGTAGAGCAGGATACTTGCAGAGTATTCTAATAAATTAATGTAGAGCAAGATACTTACAAAGTATTCTATAGTAGATTAATGTAAAGCAGGATACTTGCAGAGTATTCTAATAAATTAATGTAGTGCAGGATGCTTGCAGAGTATTCTAAGAAGAGCTGAGTATCCTTGTTCTAGGTTTGGATGATTTATTAATCCTTCAATCCTAAAAACACAGATTATGCATTGAGATACTTTCTGACCAGAATATAATCTGTATTATCTTTATAATCTTTATATTCTGTATAATCTGTATAATCTATGTAATCTGTAAAATCTGTATAATCTGTATAATCTGCATAATCTGTATAATCTATGTAATCTGTATAATCTGTATAATCTGTATAATCTGTATATTCTGGATAATCTGTATAATCTATTTAATCTGTAAAATCTGTATAATCTGTATAATCTGTATAATCTGTAAAATCTGTATAATCTGTAAAATCTATATAATCTGTATAATCTGTATAATCTGTGTAATCTATATCATCTGTACAATCTGTACAATCTGTATAATCTTTATAATCAGCATAATTTGTATAATCTGTATAATCTGTATAATCTGTATAATCTGTATATTCTGTATAATCTGTATAATCTGTATAGTCTGTATATTCTGTATAATTTGTATAATCTATGTAATCTGTAAAATTTGTATAATCTGTACAATCTGTATAATCTGTATAATCTATATCTTCTGTACAATCTGTAAAATCTCTATAATCTCTATAATCAGCATAATCTGTATATTCTGTATAATCTGTATAATCTGTATATTCTGTATAATCTGCATAGTCTATGTAATCTGTATAATCTGTATAATCTGTATAATCCGTATTATCTGTACAATCTGTATAATCTGTGTAATGTGTGAAATCTGTATAATCTGTAAAATCTGTATAATCTGTATACTCTGTATAATCTGTATAATCTGAATAATCTGTATGATCTGTTTCATCTGTACAATCTGTATTATCTGTACAATCTGTATAATCTATGTAATCTGTGAAATCTGTATAATCTGTAAAATCTGTATAATCTGTAATATCTATGGAATCTGTATAATCTGTATTATCTGCACAATCTGTATTATTTGTACCTGGAAAGTAAACTTGAACTCTGTAAACTCAAACAGCTCAACTCTCCCTAAAAACATCCAGTAAAAAACAGAATAAAAGACGTCTTTCATGCAAATTTATTTTGTCACTGAAAACAATAACTAACATCGTTCGGAAAACGTCAATATTTAAAAGAAATGAAATATGAATATTTAATAAATAAAAGACTGATAAAACTATGGAATAGGAAGATTCAGATTTTAAATACAATACAATCGTGCATTAAACAATGAACTCACTTTAAAAGTTTTTTTTCAAAATTCTGTGTCTTAAAACAAATAAAAATACAGGGTTACCAACAAAGAATTAGACTGTAAAGCGTATGATTGAAGGGGTACAAGTTGGAGTCTATTTAATTGGTTAGATTGAGTGAAGAACATGTTAAGTGATGAAGAGAAAGCTATGTTAGAAGGAGAAAAAGATTGAGTTCATATTGATAGGCTGTTGAGCTATGCTTGAGGCCATGTTAAGTGATGAAGAGAAAGCTTTGTTAGAAGGAGAAAAAGATCAAGTTTATAGAGACAGGTTAGATCGAGTTTCTGATAAAAGGGTTAAATCAGGCAGTGAATTTGGACACAAAAAAGTTAGTGAACTGGAAGTGACCATTTCTTGTTCAGAACAAGAAACAAAATTAGTAACGTGAGTGTAAGTCAGGATAGATTAACCTGGTTTTGTAATAAGACAGAATCTCCACCCCATTTATGAATGAAATAGGAAAAAGTGGAGGAAATCCTTATTGATGCCACAAATATGATTCATATACCGGAAGTAAGAGAGAAAGTGCCCATCCCTACTGTAAGTGCTTAATTTGTGAAAATATGAGTAGAGGAGAATTGGAAAGATGAGAAGTTTGAAGAATCCACACTACCAGAAGAACAAGAAGCAGGCCAAGAATTAGTACTTAAATAGAATGATAATAATTTATCAGGCAGTATACAAGCTATATACATAAAGGGTCACAAAAGCAATGATACTAGAATCAAACTATTTTTCAGAAGAGAAGAATCAAGATCAAGATAAGCATTTTGTGTAATATCGTGCAGATTGCAGTAGCCATTGAAGAAGATCACCCAGGAGAAGGAGTGCTACATTGTGACTGATCACCAGTGAAAGAGAATATCCGGCAATGTAGACAGGTTCCTGAACAAGTTTGCAATACTGTCTCTGAAAGAGTGGGCTCTACTAATCGTGTCAAAGAATGCCAAACTAAGACTAATTCCCATCCTTTGTGGCTAACCCTATACACATTATATGGCTTAAATGTAATCTTCATATTCTACACTTTTATGGGTCTCCCTGTGTTTACCGTCATTCCAGCCAAAGCTTCTTCTAATTTACTAACACATCTAGAGATTATTGAAACAGGGTTCTCATTTCGGACATTCACATTCTAAATTTTAATAATACTTTTAAATTTGTAAAAATAACTGAGCTCTTGCCAAAAACACAGTAATATTATTCCTATATTTTGCAACCAGATGGGTGTAAAGCAAAGATATTTCAAACTAAGATTTGTTTTTAACTAGATGCATAGTTTCAATTATCAACGGTTTACGATATTGTGTTGCAAAGATATAGGGAATAGGGATTTAACCTTATCCCTGCTGGGGTACTTGAAAACCAGGATATGCTGATGGGGGGGGGGGTCAATTTGACCCCCCCCCCCCTCTAAATCCCATGTCTGATGTCCAAATATAACAAATGATACATCATTAGAAAGCTCTTGTGCTCTACTTTTAGAATCTGCAAATATATTTGCAAATTTGCAAAAAATCGAATTTTTTATCGCAAAATCCAGTTATATAGTAAGAATGTTTGCAAAAAAAAGGTTGTCCAAAAAATGAAAAATTATACATTTTTAAAAAGCCCTTGACCATGCCATTTTAAATATGCAAAAATGTTTGCAAAATTTTAAATAACCTGATTTTTAATCAAGAAAAGCTAAAAATGTGCAAATTTCCTTTGACAGGTTGTTTGCAAAAAATTTGCAATTTTTTTCGCAAAACTTGTGCAATCCGTTATCTTATGTCATAGGCTTTCCAAAAAGCTAAATTTTATCAAATTCTGACAAGTGAAAGTGGGTCAAAACAAAGATTTAGTTTGTTACAGGCAAAAGCAGTCATTCAGGCAGTGTGCCTGAGGAAGGGCTTTGGGTATGTAAGAAAAGTCAGAAAATTTCAACAGCCTCAGACCAATACTTTTTGAGTTATGTAAAAAAAACTACGGGGGGGGTCAAATTGACACCCCCCCCCCCTAGCACGAATAGGGTTAAAACACAATTTGTGGCAAAGAATCAATTCCTTATTTGAGTTTATTAGAATAACAGTGTATGTATAAAAAGACTAAATTTAGAATAACAATTTATTGTGTCAAATTGCAAATCTGCAAGTTGATGTTTAAGAGAAACCCAATTTAGAATTTAATTATTCTTAACAAAAATAAAATTATATCTCCTTTATCCTTGTTCAGATGTGTGCACGCAATTATGCTTAAAATTAGTCTACTGTCACATTAAAATTAAGAACTTTTCGTAAAAAAAAACTCTTAACGTAATTCAAGGCCCGCGAGAGCTGAAAGGAACTGAGATTTGGCAAAAAACTCAAATTATCTAATCTTATATATCTTTGAAACCTGATAGCGTAAATCCGTGATTTTTCGAAATTAGACTATTTAACACAAATCTTAGTTTGAAATACCAATCTAATCAAATACTGCATTGGGTTGCAAAGACATATAGCAGAGTTTGTGGCAATTTATAATTGAAATCGTTTGTATGTTTAAAGTATGATATAGCTATCTTGTGAAAATGGATAAATTGAGTTTCCGGTTTTCAAATTTTTGTAGTAAATTAACACTTTTAAATGTTGTAGAAATGCTAGTTCAAATCTGCAGGATATATTACCTGCAAAAGTGCCATCAGTTCAATTCTAACAGTTTGATACTCAATTCTGCTCTTCCACTAAACAACTTCAATTTTACCAAAGTATAATGTTTTAATATGTTTGGGAGTTTTAACATCTTTAAGTTTTTTTTTATGAACGATCGATAAATTAAAATAAATTTATAAATTTTGCGATAAAACTAATAAACTGACAAGGACACGACAAAGATATAATTAATAGAGAAAACATTTCTTTTTGTAATGTTGTTTAGTTTTTAAAATTCTGTGAAACTTAAAAATGGTAAAGTTGAACAATAGTTAAATATTTCAACAATATCCATTAAAAAGTTCTAAAACTTTAAATAATACTGCTTGACTTTGTTAATTTACAAAACTTACTTTTGAAAATCCTGGATCAACTACTTCAACAACAGAAATATACTCATCACTTAGATTCAAAATGGATCTGAAATAATAAATAATGTTGAATTGGACTTTACTGATGACAAATGAATAAACTTAAAGCTTCTAAAAATACGATTTTGCAAATCAGGAACCCAACTTTTATAATGATGAGTCAGACTCAGTTGTTATTATACCGTTCAATTTTAAGACCCTTTTCTAAATTTAATTTTAATCTTAATTTTAATTAATTTTAATTTTAATTTTAATTTTAATTTTAATTCTAATTTTAATTTTAATTTTAATTTTTTTAATTTTAATATTCCTAAGAAACCTAGATATGTTCAGAACATTCTCGTGTTTTAAAATATGTAGCATATCGGTCATGGGTTGCATGAGTAATGATCGGACATAGAAACAAACAGACACCCAAACAGAGATTATTTCTTTTTACTGGGTGTTTTCAATTCTGTAATTCATAATCTGGCACTACTGCAGCAAAGTTTAAATCATTATGGATTACATTTATTAAAAAAATTCAGGTTGTCACGCTATACACATGCATGGGCAAGAGGGGAGCAACTGCGTCAACAACACTGCACTTTCATTTTTCGACGGATCTGACTGTAGTTTTCAAGGAACCCTTTGTATGGCCAGGCTTGGGTTCCAATTTTTTTTTAAAGAAAGATCGGAGCATTATTCCCTGTCCGCCCTTTCAGAAAACACAATTTTAGGTGAAAATATGACATGACAAAAAAATATGAAATTGCAGATTTTCACGTTTTTATTTTCCCGATTTTCTTTACGGATTATAAAATGTTCATTATTAAGCTACCCAGAAATTTCATGCTGAATTCAAATCTGAAAATTAATGAGTTAGAGCTAGAATTTAACAGTTAAAAAACAGATTTTTTGACTGTTATTTGCCTATAACTTCTTTAACCGTATGGACGATTTTGTATATTTTTTATTGCAATATTTTTTTTAAGTGAAAAAGCGACATATCGATAAGGATAATTGTAATTTGTAATTGATTGTTTCCAAAAATATGCAAAGAAAAGTGTTTACAAAAAACGTAAATTTATAGACAATTAGACTATTTTCAACAAAGGAACTGAGTTCTTGTAACAAATCATAATTTTCTAATCCCAATATCTTTGCGTTCCACTGAAATTAACCTTAGATATTTCAAACTATGAATTATGTTAAATTAAGTAATCTTGGTTTGAAATATCAAAGATTTACTTCATCAGGTTGCAAAGATATGGGGCTTAGAAATTTAGAGTTTGTGGCAAAAAACTACTTTACCTTAAATCCTCCTTCTTCATATTTGTCAGTTGTATGTTTTCTATTTTCTGATGAAGAATACACTGATGAACTAGTTTATCAAAATAAAGCATGTTTGGATTCTTCAAAGAATTAAAAAAAATAAACTTTAAAAAATTCTAGATTTAGCGAAGGTTTAAATTTTATGATTTTAGTAAAGACCTTCATTAAAAATTTAACTTGAGTTTTCATAGGATGCATAGGATGCATAGATACATAGACTTGTATAAGAAATATATACAAGTTTATTCTAGCTATGTTCGCTAGCAGTTAAGTGAAAATTATAGTTGGCGGATCTTATGTACAAAAGATATCAATCAATTTCGAGTTTAATACCTGTATATACGACCCAGGCAGAAACATCAGGGTAAGATTTAATGTATTTTACCATTTCCTTTTAAGAATTAAATTGATAGTATTTCAAACTAAACAAGATTGAAAAGATTTGTTGAATAAACTCAAGGATTCTTGATTTTGGAAGCAGTATTGATTCACAACAATACCCATCAAAGCTTTGTCTGATCAAGTATAGCATTAAATATTCATGTTTCCCATTTTGAAAACTGATAATTTTTATTTGTGGTTTCTCTACCAAAGTGATTCATGCATTTCTTTTAAAGGGGGGCACAATGTTGCCAATGGGGGACAAAAAAAATGTTTCCCCCCCCCTTCACGAATGCTCTTGTACTCTGTTTTAAATTTATCTTTTTTATTATGTTTATTTTTTTTTGTTATTATTAAAGTATCTTTTTTTTGTGTTTGACCCTGTGCATTGATATTTAGTGCACAGAGGGCAAGAATGTAATGCAAGGAAAGTTAATTGCAGTTGCGTATAATCTGCGTACATATCATTATTGCTAATTTCTGTCTCACATTTGACCGAATAAAGATTTGAATAATTATATTTCTTATAAAAGTCTACGCATCTATGCTATGCATCCTTTGCAGCAGTATATAAACTTGTATGTATTTTCTTATAAGAGTCTATGCATCTATGCAGCCGTATATAAACTTGTATATATTTCTTATATAAGTCTATGCATCTATGCATCCTATGCGGTTGTATATAAACTTGTATTTCTTATATAAGTCTAAGCATCTATGCATCTATGCAGCCGTATATAAACTTTTATATATTTCCTTATATAAGTCTATGCATCTATGCAATATGCATACTATGCATCTATGCATACTATGCATATATGCATCCTATGCAGCCGTATATAAACTTGTATATATTTCTTATATAAGTCTATGCCTTTATGCATCCTATGCAGCAGTTTATAAACATGTATTTTCTTATATAAGTCTATGCCTCTATGCATCCTATGCGTCCTATGCAGCCATATATAAACTTGTATATATTTCTTATACAAGTCTATGCATCTATGCATCCTATGCATCCTATGCAGCCGTATATAAACTTGTATATATTTTCCTATACAAGTCTATGCATCTATGCATCCTATGCATCCTATGCAGCCCTATATAAACTTGTATAAATTTCTTATATAAGTCTATGCATCTATGCATCCTATGCATCCTATGCAGCCGTATATAAACTGTATATATTTCTTATACAAGTCTATGCATCTATGCATCCTATGCATCCTATGCAGCCGTATATAAACTTGTATATATTTTCCCTTACAAGTCTATGCATCTATGCATCCTATGAATCCTAGGCAGCCATATATAAACTTGTATATATTTATTATACAAGTCTCTATGCATCCTATGCATCCTATGCAGCCATATATAAACTTGTATATATTTCTCATATAAGTCTATGTATCTATGCATCCTATGCATCCTCTGCAGCCATAAATAAACTTGTATATATTTCTTATATAAGTCTATGTATCTATGCATCCTATGCTTCATGGTATATATGAATATATGACGTTAATGATAAATAAAATGTATATAAACTATGCATCTATGCATCCTATGCATTTAAAAAAGGGTATTATTATTCCTATGGTCTCATATTAGACCTCTAATGGTCCTGAAGAGCATCTGTACTTATCATTGAGTAGTTTTTGAGAAAATATCAAGGAGTTTTAACTCCCCCACAACTGTTAAACCTCATGTAAGACGACATTAAATAAAGTTGCATGTTATTTTTTTCCAAAAACGACCGTTTTGATAAAGTTCGTCGTTTCGTTAACGATCGTTAACGAAAACCCTTCGTTAACGATCGTTAACGACGACCTTTCGTTAACGATCGTTAACATCATTGTCATTAAAAAAAATTTTCAAAAACGATCTTTTTTTTTAAAACAATCGTATAAAAAACGGTCGCAAATCGTTTCAATAAAAACGATCGTTTTAAAAAGCGATCGCTATTCGTTTTCTAAAAGTTCAAAACGAGTGGGTCGTTTTTAAAAACGATCGTTTTTTTCCGAAAATTTAACGATCGTTTTCAAAAACGATTAACAACCCTATATATATATATATTTAAATTGCTGTTTCTTTCTGGAAAAGTCTACGATAATGTTTACGCTAAAGATAAGATAATTCGGCGTCAAACCTTATAGAAACTGCTACGTATAGTAACGGTAATGTTACATCGTCTATACGCAACATCCCCCCTACTGAACTTCCGACCTACTAACTTTCCGGCCTACTGCAATATCGGATCTACGCCAGCAGTTTGTTTTAGTATTATTTGAGGGTTAGGTTAGGTTTAGACAATTTCTGGGCCGAGCGCTGCGGCTAGGACAGGCTAGGGGGCCGGGCACTGTGGCCACAAGTCCATATAGCAGCTGTAATACCACGTGATAGTAGGTCGGATGTGTAGTATAGCGGATTTGGCGTAGGTCACAAGTGGAGTATGGCGGATATGTAAAGGTCGAAAAATACACCACCATAGTAACATGGCGTATTTTCCGGGAGAATATTTTTTATATTTTTGAGAAATTAAACGTTTTTGAAAAAAATTGTAGCTTATCATTATCATTATCATAATTTCTATTTTTTTAAATACCCTAGACGTTAAAGGAGCAAAATAGTTTAATACTGCTCTCTATTGTGTTTAAGGTCCCCCATGGATTTTATTATGTACTGACAACATAAATGAATGATTGTATAGTTATACATAAAATTGCATTAAAAAAGATATTTTATAAAAATGCTACAGTTTTATTTTTAGAAAAAAAATTTTAAAAGTATAAAAAAAAGTTCTCCAGTAACGCTAATATGATTTCATAAAATTCCGTTTTACCATTTTAATTAAAGGATTTTATGAAAACCATATCTACTTTACACTGATTATTTAATTTCTCAAAAATATAAAAAATGTTTTCCCGGAAAATACCCCTTGTTGCTATACGTAGCGGTTTCTATACGTTGGATTTCTATAAGGTTTGACGCCAGATAATTCAACCAGCCCTTACTATTTCAACAATCAAAAGAATCTATTTTTTTTGATTTTCAGGACAGTACAATTAGTCATATTTGGATTTTTCTCACTGTATTATTTTCAATGCTTATTTTTCCTTTAAGAGTCAAAGCGTGTTTAGGGTGAAGAATAGTTTTGCAGAGAGAAGCAAAGGATACTAGCTTAGTTAGATCAGTTTTAGGAACTTTACTGAATGCTATAGAAACCTAAATTATCGTTTTCAAAGAGGCTGTAGACATAATTTTAACCAATGCAGTAGATTGCAATGCAGGGTTATACATTTTCTTCAAAAAATTTTCATTGTCTGGGGCGTTAATATTTCTTTAGGGTTTAATTCGCTGAAATGGGTTTAAAGGGAAAAACAAATAAATTTTAGATTAAAAGAATAAAAGAAGTTGCCAAAAGAATAAAAAAAGTTGCCAAAAGAATAAAAAAGTTGCCAAAAGAATTAAAAAAAAGTTGCCAAAAGAATTAAAAAAAGTTGCCAAAGGAATAAAAAAATTTACTTGAGTTTTTTGTTTTTCTTTTAGAAAATTATTTTTTTTCAATTACATGGGTTATCTATTAAGTGACATCAGGGCATTGTTTGAATTTAAAACTTTTACATTGAAAAATTGTTTCGCTGATAAAGATTTCAAGTGTATTGTTGTGAATCGAACATTCCAATCTATCGATGAAAGGTCCCTAGTGTCCAGTTACAGGATTGTATTTAATCTTCTTGACAGAAACAATCTCAAGAACTGACGAGGATCAGCCCAGACTGAAATCTATTTTCAATAAATGTGGAACTAACAGGTACTTTTATTACTCTACAGAGGTTTGGTTCATCACCATCATCGATATTTAAATGAATATTTTTAAAAAGTATTTAAAATATATTTAGATCTTTTATACATTCAGAAAAAGAACTCTTTCCAGATATCTATTTTAAAGCTCATCGCTCATATAAATATATATGTATATATTTTATGAATTAGCTATAGCACGCCAAACGGCTGGGCCCAATTTGCAGACATTTTTTAGGGAACCTATGGGTACACTGTGGGACGAGGGTGACATAGGCTTAAAAAAATAGATTTATTTTTTCAAGAAGGACATTTATGTTTCTTCAAATAAAAAAAATTCAATTCCACGGGCAACATCGGGCACGTCAGCTTGTATGTTATATAAACTTTCTAAGATAAAGAATTGAAAGAAAATAAATTGGATTAACTTGAACTTTATATTTTAGAGACTACTCTTGTATTTTAGTTTAGGAATTTATCTTTACTAGGCATTTCATCCTACGCGCCCACTTTCTTATAAACAATCTTGGCTTTCAGCTGTTTCTCTAAAAATCAGCCATTTATCATTATTTTCAAATTTTTTGCGGATTTTTCTATAATTCTAATATGCGCATTTTCAAATAAAATCAACATTTTTGGCTAAAGCAAATTTTGTTTGATAAACATTTTGAATTTCACATTTTAGTCTTTTGTTTCTCGCCATCATGACATTAGCAGTGTAAATTACAAAACGCTAAAAATATCGTTTCAGTTTATAAAAGAAAGAAAATGGCACAACTTCAAGATACAGCAAAGGCAGAGAAACGACGATTGTTTTTCAATGAATAAATAACTGTCATTCAAAAAAAGGATAACCTTGTTTTGAATGGACTCTATGTCTGCTTCCTTGATTTCTTTCTTACAGTTTCCACATTTCCAAACCAAACCCTGAGATTTCCAAACCAAATCTTGAGATTCCTCTCCTTGACATGGCAGCAGATGGCTGAGTTTGCAGTTCTGGCAAGAAACAGCGCTGAGATAAGTTTTGTTTTCCGTTGATTCATTGCAGAGCAAACATCTGCAGTCAAAATTCCAAGTGTCACTAAATAATTATATATTTTTTTGAAAGTGGGTCAAAACAAAGATTTAGTTTGCTACAGGCAAAAGCAGTCATTCAGGCAGTGTGCCTGAGGACTCAGGCAGTTAGTATTAAAGCCCGGTTTTAGCACTAAAGGGAGGGCTTTGGGTATGTAAGAAAAGTCAGAAAATTTCAACAGCCTCAGACCAATACTTTTTGAGTTATGTAGAAAAAACTACAGGGGGGGGTCAAATTGACCCCCCCCCCCAGCGGGAATAGGGTTAAACCAAGCTAAGAACATTGTTTCTCAGCATTTGAGGCCAACTCAGTTAAGGGGTTCATGAGTTATGATCGGACATCAAAACAAACAAACAAACAAACAAAGGTTAATACATTTTATATATAATAATTATTGACCTGATAATGTTTTTCCTCGTGGTGATGGTTTCTAAAAATGTTGTTGTATACCGAATATTTATCTCATCACCCCTGTACACTTTCAAAATGATTAATTGTATCGTGGTTTAAATTATAAAATGATTATGCTCATCTAACTAAAGCTAGGTTTTTCCAGGCTGCAAGTTTTGTTCTATTACTTAAAGACCTTCTTAATTTAAAATGACTTTTCATTAATAAAATAGAATATCTGAGTCACAATGGTACTCCTGAAAGCTCTATATGATCAAGAATAAATCCATAATCTTAGTTTTGAAAAGTAATCATTTTTATAGTTCTCCGATTCTCTTACAGAGACTTGAGTTGGGAACTTTTGTGTGGATATTGTTAATCTTAAACCCTTGATCTCGATATCCAGTGTATGCATTTTTAAGGATCAATGCTTCATCCCTTAACTAAATCTAGTTATCTTTCCCTACAGGTTATGACTATGACGGGATATAAAGGAGGACTTGATCCGATAAATAGTTCAAAGGTACCATTGGGAATCAGACATGCTTTTCTTAAAATTACAAGGACAGTTCCTTAAAGACCGGCTAGACATGGTAGTTAAACAAAGAGTTCAGTATTGTAGAGACATTTTTTAGGATTCAATTGAAATTGATTTTTTTTAATATTCTAAATTTTCTTTCTTTATATTATTTCTTTTTAATATCTTTGTTTTAATGATATTTCATTTTTTAGGATTCATTTGAAACTTAAAAGATGTTTTTCAAAGGTATAAGTAATTTTTTCAATAGTATGTTTTGATTATTTAAAATATAATATAATGAAATATAATATAATGATATTTTTTTTAAAATTTTTTTTTTAGAAGATACTTTGTTACTAGATTCTTTTAATGATATTTAAAATTTTTATTCTCAATGTTATTTTATTTTTAAAATATCTATTTTAAAGGATTGTCTTTAAATTTTATTTTAAATGATATTTCTATTTTTACTTTTTGTTTCAATGATATTTCTTTTTCGAATTTCTATTTTCAAAGATGTGTTTTTACCTGGGGATAAATGTTTTTGATACAACTTCTATACTTTGATCTTCTGAATTCACTATATGCCTTTAAATATAAAAGTATTTTTCTATCACACTTTCTCTGAGCTTTTATAATAAGTACAAAATTAAAGATAAAATCTAAATTTCTTCTTCACCAATGCCAAATTAAATTTAGTTAAAAAATGGAAACCCTTTTTTGAAATGAAAAAATTAAGCAAATTGGTAAATATAAAACAAATTTTATACTTATCATCCTCAGAGAGGTGAGGACTGGGGGAGGGGGCAGTCCCCCCCACATAAACTTAATTTCCACTAAAGATATACTTTATAATTTTTTACCTTGCGTTTGAAATGCAAGAATGGTTCAGCATAGAGAATATGGGGAAAATGGCCCTAAACACATGTTAATTTATGTATTTTTTAATTTATTTATTTTCGTACGTACATAAACATTGATCCCAGAGCTAAAAACTTAAGACAGAGTTATGAAACAAAGTATCAGATATATACCCGGTATCAGAAATGGGGTAAGCCAATTTTGTAGATATCAATAAATTTCCGCAGAAATATAATTTTATATAGTTAATTTTATATTCTCTCTTTTCATTCATGTATTAATGCATAATTTAATAACAATACAGATAGAACACTAGATGTCGTCTTTTCAAGATTTACGGGGGTTTTCGTTAACAATAACCCTGAGGCAGAAGCCCTAAGGAGTTATGCGCATGCTGCGTTGAATTAAAAAACAGAGAGAGAGCCTGTTTTAACTCATTTCGGCTTCTGCTTTTGGGGTATTGTAAACGAAAAACTCCTAAATCGTGAAAAGACGACATCAAGTGTTCTATCTTCATAAAAACGATAACACAAGTTTGAATATCCAAAAAGGGAAACTTAGAGTTTTAGTCAACTATACTCTTATACATTTCCGGCTTGTAGTTAAATCTAGGAATAGAAAATGAGTTTGTTTGAAATGTATTGTTATGACGTAAACAGAACCATTTTAATTATTAATATTCAACACTGTCAGCGAATAATTGCTCAGACCCCTCCCTCCTCACGGTAAACTAAAGGTCCTGGTTATAAATCCAATGAGTGTTAAAATCATTAGAACCCATGTTCACCCATCAAATTTTTGTATTTGCATTTTAAATATTCAAAAATATTACGTCTGTTATCTGTATTTTTGGTGGATTTTGAATAATAGATCTGAAAACATTCTGATACAGACAGGATGCACTTTGATGTAGTTTGTTTTACGTGTTCTGAGCTGAAAACTTTAGAATGTAATATCTTTAATCATGTTGATATGAAATTATTAAAAATAAATATTTTGGGACTATTGTCATTTTGAATGTTAGTCTTTATAAACATTAATCCCGTTCGTTCAATCGATGTTTAGATCAATTGATCGGGTTTTTAAAGTTAAAGAGTACATCTTCATATGGCACGCTGATTGGTTGAATTTTTAACTTCTTTCTTGGATATCGAATGCGTTTAAAAATAATCTTGGGTTAAGTAAGACCAGGAGTTTAAGCATTAATCTTGATATTCACCATTTTAAAGTTTTCAGCTCTGTCTTAATTATTAATTTCAAGTATTGTTTACTATAGTTGGTTTTGTTTACTTTAAAACTAGTTCTAGAACTGTCATCACAAATGTAAACAAAACCTATTCCTCTCTCAAGAACTTAGTTTCAAGAACTTCATAATAATCTGATGCTTTGGCAACTGACCTAGAGGAAACCAGGATCCAAAATGATTTTATAAAAATGTCAAGTTATTTATTGCAACTTCAAACTCGCCGTGTGATTTAATGTATTTAATCGCCTCTAAACTATAACTAAGAACTTAGTCTATTTCCTGTTTTACTCAACTTAATCTTTTCTATACGTTCTTATAAATGTATAAGTCATAAAAGGCTTAATTCCGTTTCCTCTTTCTCTCAGATCGAAGGTTGAAAATTACCTTGCTCTGTAGTTTGCTACACTGCAGCCATTAGATTTGTATTTTCCTAAATAAAACGGTAAACTACAGTTCCTTGTTAAATTTTATTTGTATGTTCCTAAATAAAACGGTATACAAGAGTTCCTTGTTTAATTAGATTTGTAGTTTCCTAAATAAAACGGCAAACAAGAGTTCCTTGTTAAATTTTATTTGTATTTTCCTAAATAAAACGGTAAACAAGAGTTCCTTGTTAAATTTGATTTGTATTTTCCTAAATAAAACGGTAAACAAGAGTTCCTTTTTTAAATTATATTTGTATTTTCCTAAATAAAATGATAATCAAGAGGTCCTTGTTAAATTTGATTTGTATTTTCCTAAATAAAACGGTAAACAAGAGTTCCTTATTTGTATTTTCCTAAATAAAACGGTAAACAAGAGTTCCTTGTTAAATTTTATTTGTATTTTCCTAAATAAAATGATAATCAAGAGGTCCTTGTTAAATTTGATTTGTATTTTCCTAAATAAAACGGTAAACAAGAGTTCCTTTTTAAAATTGGAATTGTATTTTCCTAAATAAAATGATAATCAAGAGGTCCTTGTTAAATTTGATTTGTATTTTCCTAAATAAAACGGCAAACAAGAGTTCCTTTTTTAAATTAGATTTGTATTTTCCTAAATAAAATGATAATCAAGAGGTCCTTGTTAAATTTGATTTGTATTTTTCTAAATAAAACGTTAAACTAGAGTTCCTTGTAAAATTTAATTTGTATTTTCCTAAATAAAACGCTAAACTACAGTTCCTTGTTAAATTTTATTTGTATTTTCCTAAATAAAACGGTAAACAAGAGTTCCTTTTTTAAATTAGATTTGTATTTTCCTAAATAAAATGATAATCAAGAGTTCCTTGTAAAATTTAATTTGTATTTTCCTAAATAAAACGGTAAACAAGAGTTCCTTGTTAAATTTTATTTGTATTTTCCTAAATAAAACGGTAAACAAGAGTTTCTTGTAAAATTTAATTTGTATTTTCCTAAATAAAACGCTAAACAAGAGTTTAGACCAAAAAAAAAGATTGAATTCAAATCGAAAAACAAAACCCAACTCTCCCATGGTGAACAGTAATCCCCCATGGGCTGGGACAAAAAAAGGCTATTCTATATGTATTGTAAGATTGGAAATTGCTAATGATAATGCTTTAGCCTTCCTCTGCTCGATGACAAAAGTCATATACAATATTTTGGATAAAAAGCATTTTTCCTAAACTCCCTTTATATCATGTAAAATTTGAAAAAGCCTCCCAAATACAAAGAAAATGTATTAGTTTTAATTTTTTATTAATATTGTTCATAAAGATTACCTAATATTTTCCAAATTAGTTCCTCCGAATATTCTTTGAGATCACATCTTCAAAAATCAATTTTAAATTATTTTTCTAAGTAAAAAAAAATTAATTTAAAAACAAAACAAACAAGTACAATATTGTAAATTTCTAAACAATCAAAAATATATTAAAATCTTGAATTTACAACAATTACAACATCTCTTTCTTCATTTCTTTTTTTTATTGGCTGAATATATAAATAGCTACTGCCCCCCCAAAGGAAAGATTTTAGAGTAAAGGTAACAACGGGTTGCATTGAAATGCATGATTATAGCCCATTTTTAAAAGGCGAGCTCATTGAAAAAAATTAGACCGTTAACTTTTATAGTTTGGGTGCATGGAGGTATAAATTGGAAAAAAAAAATTTTTTGGCAAATATTAACTTATTGAGAAGTGGTACATGTTTTTACATTACACAAGTAAAGTATTATTAAAAATAAATTAAAACTTTATAAAATTGTTTTCCTTTCTCTGATAAACTTTGAGATCAGGTTGAATATTTTGAATTCCTCTGTTGTCTGAATCCAGGAAAGATTATCCACCAGACGATCATAGAACTTAACAAATGCGATCAGATAATCATAGAACTTAACAAGTACGATCAGACGATTATAGAACTTAACAAATGCGATCAGATGATCATAGAACTTAACAAATGCGATCAGACGATCATAGAACTTAACAAGAACGATCAGACGATCATAGAACTTAACAAATGCAATCAGATAATCATAGAACTTTACAAATACGATCAGACATCATAAATCTTAACAAATGCGATCAGACGATCATAGAACTTAACAAATGCGATCAGATAATCATAGAACTTTACAAATACGATCAGACATCATAAATCTTAACAAATACGAGCAGACGATCATAGAATTTAACAAATGCGATCAGTAATCATAGAACTTTACAAATACGATCAGACGATCATAGAACTTAACAAATGCGATCAGATAATCATAGAACTTTACAAATACGATCAAACGATCATAAATCTTAACAAATGCGATCAGATAATCATAGAAATTTACAAGTACGAATAGACGAACAAATATGATCAGACGATCATAGAACTAAAAAATACGATCAAACGATCATAAAACTTCACAAATAAGATCAGTCGATCAAATAACTAAACAAATACGATCAGACAATCATAGAACTAAACAAATATGATCAGATGATCATAGAACTTTACAAATAAGATCAGACGATCTTAGAGTTAAACAAATACGATCAGACAAGCATAGAACGTTACAAATAAGATCAGACAATCATAGAACTAAACAAATACGATCAGACGATAATATAACTAAACAAATACAATCAGACGATCGTAGGAGTTAACAAAGACGGTCAGACGTTCACAAAACTAAACAAAGACGATCAGAAGATCAAAAAGCTAAACATAATGGATCAAACTTATTTTAAGTCATTAAAGTCATTATAAAAAGTACTTTACGTATGACAGAAGACTTGATTTAACCTTGATATTTTCATTTCAGATTAGTTATATATTGTCTTCACAGTCTCATTCTCTGTGGGTAACCCTATATAATAACTGACCTCCTTGTGTTTGTTATTGTTTAAGAATCTGAAAACAGCAACACTTGGTAGTATACAGGGGTTTTCTAATATTTCATCAGCTGTCACAATTCCGCTTTTCTTTATAATCTAAACAACAAGGGCTATTGCAGATAATAAAAGGGTCATAAAGGGAGTTATTACAGATAGTAAAAGGGTCATAAAGGGAGTTATTACAAATAATAAAAGGGTTATAAAGGGAGTTATTACAGATAATAAAAGGGCTATAAAGGGAGTTATTACAGATAGTAAAAGGGCTATAAAGGGAGTTATTACAAATAATAGAAGGGCTATAAAGTGAGTTATTACAGATAATAAAAAGGCTATAAAGGCAGTTATTACAGATAATAAAAGGGCTATAAAGTGAGTTATTACAGATAATAAAAGGGCTATAAAGGAAGTTATTACAGATAATAAAAGGGCTATAAAGGGAGTTATTACAGATAATAAAAGGGCTATAAAGGGAGTTATTACAAATAATAAAAGGGCTATAAAGGGAGTTATTACAGATAATAAAAGGTCATAAAGGGAGTTATTACAAATAATAAAAGGGTCATAAAGGGAGTTATTACAAATAATAAAAGGGCTATAAAGGGAGTTATTACAAATAATAAAAGGGTCATAAAGGGAGTTATTACAGATAAAAAAGAGGGTATAACACGGTTGATGATTTCCTTCTTTAAAAACATTTTAATTAAATCTTTTAATTAAGAAACATCTAGCATATATTGATAAATATAATTTTACTGTTGGGCAACAAAAATATTTAAAAATTTGCTAGCCTTAAATTTCTTTAAAGATCTCCGACTCCCTAAAGGTTGCATTGTATTGTATTGTATTGTATTGTATTGTATTGTATTGTATTGTATTGTATTGTATTGTATTGTATTGTATTATATTATATTATATTATATTTTATTATATTTTATTGTATTGTATTGTATTGTATTGTTTTGTATTGTATTGTATTGTATTGTATTGTATTGTATTGTATTGTATTGTAAGGTTATATACTCTGGATGCGCTCCAATGTAGTAAAAATGTCGTCTGCATAGAATTCAAAATACATATATGACGTATTGCTGGTGAGAGTGGAAGGATGGTCTCCGCTTGTCAGCTGTAATAACGTATCGTCAAATGAGGATTTCGGTGTTGAATGAAGACGACATTTTTAGAACATTGGAGCGCGACCAGAGATTCTAACCGATCTAACCATATACAACCTTGGACTCACCTCACATTCCACTTCATGGGCTTTTGGAACACATTTTTTGCACAGCGGTAGGCCACATTTACCACATGTCTAAATAATTACAAAATTTAATTATTTAAATAAATTGAATCACCAATTTCTTAGTGTTTTTTTTCATATTGTACAACGAAAATTGCCTATATATTTATTGACCTCTTTTGTTAGATTCCAGCAAACTAAGCAGACTGGAGGGTGTTCTAGCTTCGGGACAAATCCAAAACATTCATCATGAAGAATGATTTCTAAAAAATATTCAGAATCAATAAATAATCTGTTGCATTGCAGTTTCAATGTCGTCTTCCTTATTCAGGAAAAAATCCTCGAGATTAGATCATCTAAATTTTCAAACTATTAGATTCTTAGAGTAGAACATGGAAAGAACAAATCATTTGAAGCCAAAATCAGAAATTATGAATATCAGAAGATAAAAAGTTTGAACTCATTTACAAATAAAGCATTTTTTGACTTTTAATTTTTAAATCATTTCTTTATTCTAAGTTAGTTTTTTTTTGTTTTTAGAGACAAATCATTAAACATTTAATACCTAAAGGCTGAATATCACGTGTAGCGACTAAAAATCTTCCATTCTCTCCTGATTCAACCCTGGAACAATATTTATAGTCTTTATTTATTGATTTATTATTCAACTCAGATTTTTGATATATTTATTTTTATCTTTAACTAGCTTAGGAACCCCGCGGCGCTTCCCAGGTTACTCATTGTTACTCCTGCTGTATACCCGCACTTGAACGATTTTTTAAAACATTTTTGACCTTCTCAATATAGCTCTTTAACAAAAGGAATTATAATTGAAGGAAATAATATTTAAGATTAGGAACTGTCAATTATGTATTTAGGGTGAGAATTGAGAAAAATTACCTGAAAGGAGAACATCGAGAATTGGAACGATGAATCTACAAAATTATAGATTTACAAACATTTTACCAAAATTTAATTTTCATAAAAAGGGCCTCAATTCCAAACAACTAGCAATGGTTTGAGAGGTCCTGAATAATAAAAATATATGCACAACATGTAATAGTTATTTGTAAAAATATTCAGTCAAATATATATCTCTATTTACAACTAACAAATGTTATTACAAGTATAACAATCTCTAATCTTAACACAAGCAAGTGCAGAATTGCTGGTATGTCTTTGCAATCTTTTCAAATCTCTTATATTATCAATAACTTTTTTGGAAAGGCATTTGTAATTAAAAAAAAATAAAATTTGAAGCTACAGGGTGTCCCAATAAATATGTTAATTAAGTGACGACTTTTATATCGTCTTCGATCTATGCGGCATTTTTTCATGAACACTCCAGTATTCCAGTTTAAACATCTAAATTCGAAAACACCTGGTCTTAAGATTTATAAAATGTGGTCTACTATTTTTGTATTTTCAAAATTGACTGAAATATTGCAAAATTTGTAAATTTCTATATTCATTTACTAAATTAAAATTGTCTTTATATATAATATCTTTGTCATTTTTAAGACACAAGAAAGGTATATAGACAACTTTATGAAAAGCTCATCAGACGTACAGCCTTGTTTTTACACTTTCTTTGACAAGCATTAAATATCGGAAATCAAAGACGAATTTTAATTCGTCTCTCAATTCCCATGTTCATTGGGACACCCTGTAGAATAAAATAAGATTATATTTTCCTATCAATTAACTACAAATACAAATTTACGATTCCTATATTAAGATTAAAATATTATGGTTTAGTTGAATTTAGCATACCTTCATATGATTTGAAGAACAAACTGGTTGAATACAATCTTCACACACTTTTGTGGTTTGTGTGTCACACAAAAAACATGTTAGTTCAGACATTTTTTTTCTTTAAAAAAAGTAGATATATGATATTGATAATTATGATAATTATGGGAAAAAAACTGTTTCAAGTTAGAACTTAAGAAATATTAGGGCCATCTGATGTACCCTTAAAAAAACATCGTCTTCGATAGAAGAAGACCATAATTATATTTTTATATTTTCAAATTATGGTGATGTCTCCTATAGAATCACAAAAATTTATTATATTTCACTAATTGTATGTATCAAATTGATTCTATGTCAATTTTGAAGATTCAAAAATGGCAGAAAACATTATTTTTTTTGAAAAAGCTAACACGTACAATTGGTTTTTTTTTATGTTAATGCTTTACGTGAATTTTCATATTCTTTTTGATTTAGCATTGAATGAATAATTGAAGTACAACGAAATAATTGCTTTCATATTTGCTAGAAGCATGCGGGTTCATTATATTTCATTTTTTTAATTAAGTCTGCAGGAACCAATTTAATAAACTTGAGCTACGTCTCTGAACTAAATATTGCCGGCTAAAATTTGGGAAGGATATGAATTGGCGATTCAAATTTGAACCGGCAGTAGAAGCTGTTCAAATTCATTATATTCGGTCCCTCTCTGGAGCCAGAATTAATGAATAAGAGAAGAGAAGTAGTTGAACTATGTAGATTGAATTGTACTACTTTTCTTTAACTTGATCCGGCTCACAAGAGAACAAGTTGAACCCCTGAGTTTCCTAAGTACAGTGGTGAGTTTAAAATAGCTAAATTTTTATTTAATCTGCTGTTTAAGTTATTCTTCTTTAAAAAGGGTCTTTAAAAAGATTACTCTTTTATTCAAATAAGCATGCGGCATGGCACCCCAATTTTGTGACAAGGAAACCAACAAAGTTTGTCTAGGTTGGTGTTCTTCCTGAGGGCCAGAGTGTTATGTTTAACTTTAAATATATGAACGGTCTCTTAAAAGTAAGTTGACAATCACATTAAAAGTCTTGTTTTGATCACTATATTACAACTAAATCAGCTGAATGCCTCAATTAAAGTATACACACCGCCGCTGGTCCCGCTGGTCAACTTTTGGCTTTCTCTTTTTCAACTGTTCACAACAAAAGAAAGCTTGATGCATAATACTTATGAAATAATACTGACTTTCTATTTTTACAACAGAAAAAATCTGCAGAGTTTGAGATTTTGTATCATCACAATCTTAATGTTGCCTTTAAAACACCTTTGTTTACCGGGGCACCTTGTACATTACCTCCGACCTAGGTCTTGTTAAACTACAGATTTATAGTTTTCTTTTTCCACTTTATTTTGAGAATATCTGTACACATTCAGACATAATAAATAATGTATCATGGTAAAAATATTTTATTTATCAAGATCACAACATGAATGAAAACAACATTTTATCATTTCTCCTCAATATCTCGGGTCTTGCAGGGGCGGACCTGTTAAATAAAGATACAGTAAGAACCAGAAAACTGTGAAATAGGAAGACGACATTAAAGTAATTAATAATTGTATTGTATTTTATGTTTTTTCAAAGCAAATGGTTTTATCATTAACTTATTAAATAACTTATTCAGTGTTATGGGTCTGTGTACACTGCACTATTGTTCATATATGTCCACATATGTCCATTGGACTAATTAAAGTCATAAATTGAGTTAAAGTCGTCTTTCTATTCTAGAGTTTTCTGATTCTCACTATAGTAAATAAACTATTTTAATGGACTGTTCATCTTTTTAAAAATACCACAAATATGGGAATTGAAGATGCGTGTTTAACAGTAATTCGGAACAGAATTTAATGAATTTGAAATACGTCACTAAACTATACCACTGCTGGTTCAGGAAGATTAAAGAATGGATTAAAGCCAGTAAGAAGTTCAGATGCATTAAGTTTTACCTTTTAACATACTTTTTTATGTGTTAAAGGGAGAGACCGGCTAGACATAGTAGCTGAGATTAGACTGCAGTATTCAAGAGAAATTTTTCAGGATTCATTTGAGACCTATGAGACGTTATTACAGTGTGTAATTTTAGAATTTTGTAACATTTTTCGTCATCTTTATTAAATAATTTTTTAGAAACCGATTCTCAAAATCATCCCTCCAGTATGAACAATCCAGAAGGATTTTAAAGATTGAAGTTTCACTCTTGCTGAACAATAGTACAACATAAAAACGTTTCATTGGTCACAAATAAATCCTAAAAATATCTACAATACTGCACACTCAGATCAACTATCATGTCTAGTCAGTCTCTCCCTTTAAATGAAAATGTATAACAGTACAAGTTTACAACTCCATCTCACCCTGGTTAGTCCAGGTTGAACTAATCCAATGGTGTTTACTTAAATATGTTTATGTGAAAGCTTTATAAATTGTAATAACTTAATGATTGTTTTGTAAGAAAATTAAGTTTTTTTTACTTTGTTTCCAAAACTTACACTAATAAAAAAATTCCCTAAAACATATAATAATGAAAGACAAAAGAATTTTTGTGCTGCATAGCCTGTGAATCTCAGGATTAAGTATTGTTTAAGTAAAGGATCAATTTAAGTAAAGGATCAAGAATTAACCCTATTCCTGCTGTAGTTTTTTTTACATAACTCAAAAAGCATTAAGGTATTGGTCTGAGGCTGTTGAAATTTTCTGTCTTTTCTTACATACCCAAAGCCCTCCCTTTAGGCCTAAAACCGGGCTTTAATACTAACTGCCTGAGTCCTCAGGCACACTGCCTGAATGACTGCTTTTGCATGTAACAAACTAAATCTTTGTTTTGATCCACTTTTACTTGTCAGATTTTGAAAAAATTTAGCTTTTTGGAAAGCCTATGACATAAGAAAACGGATTACACAAGTTTTGCGAAAAAAATTGCAAATTTTTTGCAAACAACCTGTCAAAGGAAATTTGCACATTTTCAGTTTTTCTTGATTAAAAATCAGGTTATTTAAAATTTTGCAAAAATTTTTGCATATTTGAAATGGCATGATCAAGGGCTTTTCAAAAATGTATAATTTTTCATTTTTTTGACAAATTTTTTTTGCAAACATTTTTAATACATAACTGGATTTTGCGATAAAAAATTCAATTTTTGCTATTTTTTTTGCAGATTCTAAAAGTAGAGAACAAGAGCTTTCTAATAATGTATCATTTGTCACATTTGGACATAAAACATGGGATTTAAAGGGGGGGGGGGGTCAAATTGACCCCCCCCCAGCATATCCTGGTTTTCAAGTACCCCAGCAGGGATAGGGTTAAAAGCGCCCACATTGAATATCAAGATACAGCGTTCAAGATTAAACTTTACAAAGTTTCGTCCTCTGACCAAAAAAACCTATGCATTTTTGTATACTCAAGAACGTAAGTAGGTTTTGTTTACAATTTGACTGTTACGTATTTGAACTTCAGGAACTATAGTTTTGTTTTAATGAAAAAAAAATAACAAAGATTGTAACATTGGACGGAATTCTGCTGAGCAAAGAACACTTAACAATCGGTTAATCATATTTAAATCAGTCATGATATACACGTGGCAGTAACATGATAAACACGTGGCAGTAACATGTACACAAACATTATCGCCTTTACCTTTACTTTACACCTGCTTTAAGCTTGAGTTTATACAGAGTGTCTCAATAAGCGTTTAAAATCATTCAAAGGAACGAGTTTTTGCCACAAATTCTGATTTTACAAAAGCTATATCTTTGCAATCTGATGGTGTAAGCTCTTGATATTTCAAACTATCATTATTTGATCTAAAATGATATGTAGTTTGAAATATCTAAAGTCTCCGACATGGAAATGCAAAGATATAAGGATAAACAAATCAGAGTTTGTGACAAAAACTCAATTCCTTTCTGTTGAATGTTATTTTTAATAATACATAGACGCCAGGCGGTACACTCTTACCGTGACATATTTTTTATACAAACCTTTAAAGGAGTGACCGGCAAGGTATGTTAGTTAAACTGAGAGTGTATAGTATTGTGGAGAAATTTTTTGGATTCATTTGAGTCATATATAAAACGTTTTAATAATGTATTATTACTGAGTTTGAGCGCAAAGTCGACGTTCAAAATCCTCCATTTGGTGGTTACATTTTGAGAATCGATTATTTTTAAATTATTAAATTACGATGACAAAGAATGTAGGAAAAAATTGACAGGAAACTAATTTGATGTTTAGGAACATATTTCTCAAAAGAAATTTGTTAATAAATCAATGTTAGAAGCATTTTTTTCTTTTTCATCATAATAATTAATTTCTCATTATTTACGAATTTGTTCGTAGATTTCTTCAAATTCTTGAAATGTAGTCTGGTAGATAAAAATTCCGGGAATTCTACAGAAAACGCTTTGCGAACAATGAGACACTAAGAAATAAATAGCTATTTAAAAAATTACTTATTTTCTACAATAAGAGTAAATTTTCATTTTCTCAACCTGTTCCTGTTCGTTATTTGATAATTTAATAAAAATCGATTCTCTAACCATGGATGATTTTGAACGTCGACTTAGCGCTTAAACTCAGTAATTATACTTAATTAAAACGTTTTATGTGTCTCAAATGATTCCGAAAAATTGCTCTACAATACTGCATTCTCAGTTCAACTACCAAACATTGCCGGTCACTTTAAGTGAACTGTCAATGGCGTTAATTATGTAAATAATTTCATTTTTATTCGGACAATCTGTATAGTATACCTGGGTACGCAGAGGTGAGTTGAGCCATATCCGTGGTAGAACTTGACAGAATGGGAGTGGCCTGAAAATTATAAAATAACTTTGAATAAAGGTTGGGAAAGAATACTTTTAATACTTAAATTAACATCTAATTTTCAAGGATTTTTTAATTTTAAAGAATGAATTTTCTGAAATGGTCTAAAGTTGTTAAATCAATACACTATTCGATCAATATACATTTTTTGAAGACTTTCTAATATTTTGGTAAGATTCAAACTTGGAGGTTTAATCATGATAACTTTCAAACTTTCTTCAAAAGTTGACATTTCTAACGATTGGTGTCGTCTTCATATAGTCAAGCATATGTAAAGATATTTACTTTATATTGATCTATGAAGAAAAAAGATCTCTGGATCAATTGTAGAATTTTGCATTGATTAATTATGTTTCTGCTCGAATGTAAGACAAAAATCTAAATCATTTTAAATTACGTTTTCAGAGTCTCATCCGGTTTTTGTCTCTCCTGTACTGTACCTGACTGCAGTGTGGAAGGTGGATATGAGGTAGATGAGGGAAGGTTGGAAGTCCTAATCTTCTTTTCCAGAGCAAAAACCCAACCAGGATACCAATACTTAGTCCTAGCACCGCCATGGAGAACCCTAGTCCTGCCATAGATCCTGCTGTGTAGTGTGTCCTAAAATACCAATATTTAGTCCTAGCACCGCCATAGAGAACCCTAGTCCTACCATAGATCCTGCTGTGTAGTGTGTCCTAAAATACCTACATTTAGCCCTAGCACCCCCAAAGAGAACCCTTGTCATACCATAGAGAATCCTAGTCCTGTCATAGAGAACCCTAGTCCTACCATAGAGAACCCTAGTTCTACCAAAGGGAACCTTAATCCTACCATAAAGAACCATAGTCATACCATAGAGAACCATAGTCCTACCATATAGAACCCTAGTCCTACCATAGGGAACCCTAGTCGTACCATAGGGAACCCTAGTCCTACCAACGGGAACCCTAGTCCTACCAAAGGGAACCCTAGTCCTACCATAGAGGACCTTAGTCATGCAATAAAGAACCCTAGTCCTACCATAGAGAACCCTCGTACTACAATAGAGAACCATAGTTCTACCATTGAGAACCTGGTCCTACCATGGAGATTAAGGAGAACCATAATCCTACCATAGAAAACCCTATTTTTACCATAGAAAAAAACCTAGTTCTAACACAGGGAACCTTAATTTTACAATACAGAACCCGTGTCATACCATAGAGAATCCCAGTTCTACCAAAGAGAACCTTAATCTATAAAGCAATTATTTTGACGTAATTAAACATTTTGATATTCAACCAATTTTTTAAATTATCCAAGTCTTCAAGTCCTAATTCAGTGATCTCAATTAAACAAAGAGCCAGCATATGAGGAACAGTTTAAAAACAATGAAAAACTTTTGACAAGTCTGAATGGAGTAAATATGATGGTTTATATTTAATATTCAACTTTGAGATGAAGAAAGTCCGATCTGGGTTTCAAAATAAATCTGAATTTCGAAAAATCAATAAAGGGAAAACCATATAATTTTAAAGCAATGAATTTATGTATTTTTTTAAATTTTGAAATGTGATAATTTCAATGTATAATATGTCAACATTTTCAGGTGTGAGTCATTTGACAAGTTACACGTCTGGTAGATCAGAACTGAAAAAAGTAAGATTTTTTTTCTGACCTAGGACAATTATTCATTTTATAGAATTTGAAACATCAGCCATGACTCGTGTAAAGATAAGAAACCCCCGTATTCTCTAGACAACAAGGTGTAGTATTTTACAAGGTTCATGTTCTGAATACTTTATTAGTGCACTTCTGGTTTTCAGGGTTTTCAAGGAAGGGGGGGAATCTTTTCGCGATAATTCGCCCTCATTGCATTCTGTTCGTGTTAATTTGCAGTTTTGCGAAAGAAAAAAACCCCATAGCTTTTGCTTCCTTTCTCAAAATTAATTTTCGCGAAAAAATGCAAATTTCCCGAAAAAAAAATTGGGAAATACGTAAGAAAAATTTTCGGGAAATTTCGCTTTTTTTCGCGAAAGATTTCTTTCGCTGGAAAACCTACAACACGTAAAGAATTGGGATGAGATATTGAAAGTGTGCTATTATCAGTAACTACCTGAAGAGCCCGGCGTTGCCCGTGGAAAAAAAAAATTTGAAAAAAATAGAATTTTTTATCCTATAACACACCACGGCCACCCATGAGTGTTTACAAAAATTTCAGCCCGGCTATACGCAACATATACGAACGTCTTGTTTTATTATATAGAAGATTTATGGTGATATGATCATTTAATCATTTATTTTCTATTGTGCTATAAAACGGCCACCCCCGGCCCCTCCCCCTTAGTCCTCCTTCTTAGAAAGGACAAACTCTCCTAATCATATATCTATCTAGCCCAGTCTAACAAATTTACAGGAGGTTGACATTTAGGAAGGATGGGGGGAGGGTACATAAAAATTCTGAAGACAATTGAAATTTAATATCTTTATGATCGGAAAATATAATTAAGCCTTGGAGAGAAAAATGCGTCAAGTGTTTGGTTTTTTACGCCTTTTCATTCAACGATCAAATTTGCCCACAGAATATCTTTAATATTTTAATTTTTTGATATTTTGATATGCCTCCAGTTTTTATATTCCTCCAGTTTTTTATATAACTCCAATTTTTTATATACCTCCAGTTTTTTTTTACCTCCAGTTTTTTATATACCTCCAGTTTTTTTATTTACCTCCAGTTTGTTATATACCTCCAGTTTTTGAAAAGCTTCCAGTTTTTGATACACCTCCAGTTTCTGATATACCTCCAGTTTTTTTATGTACCTCTAGTTTTTTATGTACCTCCAGTTTTCGATATACTTCCAGTTTTTGATACACCTTCAGTTTTTTAAATACCTCCAGTTTTTTATATACGTCCAGTTTTGATATACCTCCAGATTTTGATATACCTCCAGTTTTTGATATACCTCCAGTTTTATATACCTCAGGTTTTCGACATAACTCCAGTTTTTGTTGCCTCTAGTTTTTGATATACCTCCAGTTTTTTATATACCTTCAGTTTTTATATACCTTCACTTTTTTATATACCTCCAGTTTTTTATATACCTCCTGTTTTCGAAAAGCTTCCAGTTTTTTATATACCTCCAGTTTTTTATATACCTCCCGTTTTTGATATACCTCCAGGTTTTTTATATACCTCCAGTTTTTTTTTCGAAAGAAGACTTTTATATATTTCTTGGATAAATATCAATATTTGTTTTTAATTGGCACAAACAGACCTTTTAATTGACAATATGCAAAAATGTCACTCTAAGATCAAGGGAAAATTGATCAGTTTTGCGCTTACGGTTAAAACTACTCTAGTTGCACAAAAGTCGGTTCACTACTTCAAAAGAACCGCATTTTATAGTGACTAAGAGTTTAAATTCTCTTTTTTATATATTGAATATAAAATTTGGTGATGGTACCTGAGGAAAAGATAAGATCTGTTCCTGGATGAAGGATGAGCAGATTCACCAACTACCTGAATATATTATATATTAGAACCCCTTATTGTAAGTATATATATATATATATATATATACAGGGTGAGTCAAAAAAAAGTGTGATTAGCGGCGTCTGGTGCAAAATTGTACTTTTTTCAATATATTTTGGAATTTTTTTTTGATACTCCAATGGCCCAAAAAAAATCTGCGAAAGTTTTTTCTCTCTCAAAATCTAAAGTACAGAAAAGCAAAAATGTTATAAACAAATTCGCAAATTTCAGTTCTGGTCTAATTTTTAAGGAAAAGTTGTTTTTCAATGGATCCTAAGTTTCCAACTGAACAGTGTATATGTATAACTTTACAATATATATACTCAATATACTAAGAACTAAGAATTTTTCTTCTTACAATTTTGCAAATTCTCTGTGATTCTGTGTGAATCACAGAATCACAGAAAAATCTTTATTAAATTCTTGAATTTGATAGAAATAATTTATTCACATTTTTGCTTTTCTCGATTTTTGATTCATAGAGAAAAAAAGTTTCGCGGATTTTATTTTTACCATTGGAGTATCAAACAAAATAAAATATTTTCAAAAAATATTGAAAAAAACCATACAGCTGCACAAAAAAGTTTCTTGATGTGCAGAATTGTGCACTTGACAAATGTTTACTGGGTAACAATGGGAGGGGGCGGGAGGGCATAAAACAAGCCACACCTTTTTGCCTCCTTTCCACAAATGCCATCGCAAGATATTGGATTTGTAGCGGAAAGCTCATCCATATTTTTAATGTCAAGCTTTAATAAGTTAACACAAACTGCCACACAAAACAGACGCAAATTAGAAGCACTTCTGCTGAGTGCACTGGGCATGCCCCTCCCTTTATTTAGCGATTCATGAATCCTGACCCTGAGCAAATTTAAGAGCTCCGATCGTAAAATAAAAAAAAAGATAATTGAACGTTAGTTTATTGAGCTTAGTTGCAATCGATATAGCACTTAATACACCATATACAGTATACACACACACAGACCCCCTTCGTCTCCGAGCCTAAAACTGCCGTAGATCAGAACAGGTTGACAAGGTTCCAAGATGCCTTAATCTTTGTTTTTTTCATTATGCTGTTTTTTCCTGGGAAAGGAAAAGGGGGTTTATTAAGTATTTTTTAGATATTTTCACTATCAGTTCTGCCACTTATTTTGATATTGCTTTAATACTGTAGTACAACTATTAAATTAATCCTACATGTTCACCGCAAATATTGTGTGATGTGTCATATTAAAAAAAAATATTTTTCATGTAAAATCATGAATTTTTAATGAAAGGCATTTCTTGTCAGTTTCTGAGTACAATGTACATATTTGATTTATGGATGACTAATGAAAATTTATATATATATATATATGTAATTTGTAAACCAGAATAGATTAATTTTTTATTTCAAATCAGATGTGTTGACTCACTGAATATCCGGTTGGTAAGGTTAGTTTCCCTAAAAATGTTTAGGGGGAGCCAAACAAAATTAGCCGCCCCCCCCCCCTAACCAAATGTCTAGTTGTGGCCTGGGAAGTGTGGCCTTTAACTTCTACCTGTGGATAGGGTTGTTAATAGGTTTTAAAAATGATTGAAAATCGATAGATTTCGTTTTTTTACGTTTTTTAAAAACAATTGTATCGTTTTATGATAAACGATGGGGAACAACGAACAAACAACTCGTTTCGAACTTTCAAAAAACGAAAAAAGTAGTGTTTTGAAAAATTCGTAAAATTTTTTTTCAGGAAGATAAGTTTATGTATTTGATGCCTTAAATGTTTTGCTTTATCGAGAGAAATTACACCTGAATGTTTCCTGACCTTTTTTTTCTCATCTAAGGGCTTTCCGGTATGTATTTTGTCTAAAAAAGGTCGTTAACGATCACAAACGAAAGAAGTCGTTAATTGTCGTTATCAAAAAATTTAAAACGACCTACCCTCGATAAACTAAAACTAAAAAACGACTTCTTGTTTTTATCTTAAAAACGATCGTCTGTTTCGTTTTCGTTTATACTTCGTCATTTTCAAAACAAAAAGATCGGTTTTTTTAAAGTGAAAACTATCCATCCCTACCTGTAGACTACCAGGGGTAACTCCTACCAACATATTTCTCTCTGAGTCTAGTTGCAGTCTAAGCTTGCTACCATCACTAAAATATAAACGAATTTATACCAAAGTCCAAGCAGAAGTATTAGTTAATCTCTATATTTATATTTTGTTTGGGTGTCTGTTTGTTTGTATCCAGTAAGCGTCAATATCGGGGTTTGTTGTAACGGGTTATCAGAGAAGGTTTGTACATAGACGGTCAAATTGGATAAATTTTGACTAACAAAATGTTGACATTTTTTATTTTCAAAGTTCACCAATTTGAACAGAAAAACCCGCGACAATTTTTGTTTCACAAAGACTACAATGTATTATGGACATTTTAATGACATGCTGAGCTGTAGCTTTTCTTATATAAAGAAGTGAACTTGAATTACCTGTAGGCTAAGCTTAGAGTTTCATATGATTCAGCAAGAGTACTTTCAACATTTATTATAGTTTTCTCTCCACCCTGGAGAAAAATTTATTGATTATCGCATATTAAGGATTTTTTCAATGCTATAAAGGCTCGCTTTCACTCAAAATAAAGATTGCGTAAAGTGCCAAAAATGATTCGCAATTCTTGCAAAATTTGGCGTTTCATTTTTGTCAATGGGAACCCTAACTGTTTATAACAGTGACTGATTACCTATAAAAGAAAGGTATAAAATGAAGTGTTGCTTCAATTATGTTACCATAAAAAGGTCTCTTAAATAAAAACAAATAGTTTTAAAATTAATGGGGACAAAAGAATTTTGATAAAGAATTTGTTTAGAAAAGTAAAACAATTCACAATTCCATGAAAAATGTGAAAGCATCAACTAATTGTTCTATGAAACAATTATCAAATTGATATTATAATTTAACGCTATTTTTCTAAAACTCTCCCCCCCTCCCATCGGTTTTGAACATACACTGAATTAGTTTGAGAATATTCGAAGTCAAAACATATTTTAATGACAAAGGAACTAAACACTTATATTTTCTAATCCTATATTTTTGTAACCATAATGTGGCAGATCTTAGATATTACTATTAGTAACATTATGGTGTAAACTTTTGACATTTAACAGAACAATATAGTTTGAAATATCAAAGGACTACCACATTGGCTTGTACAAATATGGACATTGGAAAATCAGAGTTTGTGGCAAAAACTCAATTCCTTTTTAATTATTTTGAACATTTAATATAATGAAAAAACTTATTTTTTACCAAAAAAATTAAAAAGTTTGACCTTGAGCAAGGTTTGTGGTTTCTCTAGTAAAATGAACCATATATCAACCCCTGTACTGTCTCTTGAACTTGAAATAAACAGATCCACCAGCCTGCAGGAAAAAAAAACAATATTAGTAAAACTATTGGTTGTACGGTTTTTTTATTCATTGGGAGTTGAAACTACTTAGAAACACAATGGTCTTGGTTGTTTTATTCATTGGGAGTTGACACTTCTTAGAAACAGAATGGTCTTGGTTTTTTTATTCATTGGGAGTTTAAACTACTTAGACACAGAATATTCTAGTTTTTTTTCATTGTGAGTTGAAACTACTTAGAAACAGAATATTCTTGGTTTTTTTATTCATTGGGAGTTGAAACTACTTAGAAAAAGAATGGTCTTGTTTTTTTATTCATTGGGAGTTGAAACTACTTAGAAACAGAATATTCTTGGTTTTTTTATTCATTGGGAGTTGAAACTACTTAGAAACAGAATGGTCTTGATTTTTTTTATTCATTGGGATTTGAAACTACTTAGAAACACAATGGTCTTGCAAAAAATTCCAAAGCGTGTTTACAATCTTTGTTGCACGCTTTCATTCAGAAATCAATAAAAAATATGTGAATAACTTCTTGAAAAGTAAAGTTAGAAACAAGTGAATTACAGTTTTAAAATGTTCTTTCAAGGACTGAAAAAAACATAACTAAATTTGTTAGGTAAAATCAAAGACCAAGGTGTAGCGACACTTGAAATTGACCTAATCTTGAATATTGATGCAACTTTTCATAGCAGTCTGGATATAAGTGAGCAGTTCAGAATCCTTATTTTCCACACCTAGTGTCTACTCACATTGGTAGAAACTATGTAAATTTATTGACAATGTAATCTCAAGTTATATGGAATTTCATATTATATGCATGAACTCCATGAACTGCTCTAGAGTAAGAAGATAAAATTTAAAAAAAAAACATTTTCTTCAAATTTAATTTAAACTTTCATTATTTCTTAGTCGTCTAATTAAAAATTTTCGAAGTCGTTAAAGAGGGTATTTTTGAACATAATATTGGAAAGATTTGTCTGAGTTAAAAACTAATGAATGAACGAGTTGTTAAGCTATTTCTTCAACATTGTGTAAACAATTAGTTCAGGGTTAAAATAGATTTAATCCCTATAAGACGTAAGTATACGAATAATACGAAAACAAAATAACATTGAATACAATATTAAATCCAAGAAAAATATAACAATATCGTAAAAATCTAAAAATACCTAAGTGGAGAGATGTTTGCTGTTTTCGCTAAAGCTGCTCGAATACTTTCCTGTTAGGTTTCCAATAAAATATTTAAAGAAAACTTTTAAAAAGATTATTTTTAGAAGTCAAAAATGTCTTGGTTTCCAAAAAGTCAGTTTTACTAGAATATAAAGCTAGCAAAATATAATTTTAACTTTATTTTGATTTATATTATTTTGCTAAAATATTTAAATTTCTAAACACTTTATAGCTCAAATAATTTTTTCATTAATCTAAATATAATTAAAGTCTTAATAACTAAATATCTAAATATCAAAATATCTAAACATTTAGATATCTAAATATCTAAATATCTAAACATTTAATTATCTAAATGTCTAAATATCTAAATATCTAAATATCTAAATATCTAAATACCTAAATATCTAAATATCTAAATATCTAAATATATATCTAAATATCTAAATATATAAATATCTAAATATCTAAATATCTAAATATCTAAATATTTAAATATCTAAATATCCAAATATCTAAATATCTAAATATCTAAATATCTAAATATCTAAATATCTAAATATTCAAATATCTAAATATCTAAATATCAAAGTGTAATGAGTTAATTAATTGAAATTCCTGAGCAGTGGCTAAACTAAACTGAACCAACTGGCCATAGGTAACATTCAGAGTTATTCTAAACAAACAATTATGAACAAATTCATTTTAATGATATTTTATCAAATCATTAAATAAACTGTAAAACCATAATATGTCTAAAGCAGTAGATAACTTGAAAAGTTTTAATTTTCTAAAAAAATACTTTTTTAAGCTCAAAAAAATTGGCAACAACAAAAACAAGAAAAAGTTACAAATTTGTTTACATTTTAGGCGGATGAAGGGTGACAATATTTAAAATAAAACGTTTAAAACGAACATTTTCGTTAGTTTAAATCCTTATTTCTAAATAAAAACATTAATAAGATATGTGTCTTTTTTTTGAACTGTTAATTTGCATTTGCGATTTTTCTGCAGAAGTAACTTGCGCCTATTCAAATTATAAGAAATCATGTAGCAGTTCACAAAAATAAATAAAACAAATCGTACATTGCCATTTTTGCATCAAGCATCATTTGAAATTACGCTTACAGTCCCTTTAACAACCTTAAGTACAACTAATAAAAAAAGTTAGAAACCTCAGATAGAAAAAATTCGTCTACATTAATAACAAATTGATATTATACAGTCCATGGACAATAAAATATACTTTTTGCATTGCAAGATTATAATTTCTCTCAAACATTTTTGGGACACTCCCAAACTGATAAGAAACTATAGAAAGTCTTCTTAATTTACAAAAGTACTTAATTGATTTACTCCACCTGAGATATAGACGATCATTGTTTGACAAACATTTTGATATATCGAACAGTTTCCAAGACGGATGGGAGCTGGAAAATTCGAAATAATGGCTCTCCACCTAATTACATAATTATATATTAGGAATACCCACAAAGGATGAGACTGTAAAGACGACCTGTACCTCTTTAAATATTTCCAATGTGTCTGATACTTTTTTATGTAACCCTGTATATAATATATTTTATCCCATTCTTAACCTGTCAATGCCATATTTCTTTACATTTCCTTTACATATGTCTATTCTGTCCGCCGCGACGCCTCAAAAATAATCTATTGCGGATTCTCTAGAACACTTTTGATGATATTTATCAGAAAGAAAAAAAGCTCGGATCTTCTTTTTGTCTCATCAATCTAGAGACAAAACACCAAAAAAGCATGTTTAAAAAATTATAAATCTTGAAGTCTTGAAATAACTACGTGATTATATCTGTAATTTATAATCAAACTTTTAGAATTTTTACTGAAATAAATAATTTTTTATAATGTTATCTGCAGTTGCATCCTTAAAAAAAATGTTTTTCTACGTCTTGTATGGAAACATATATAAAATTTAAATTTAATGCTTTCTTTAAAGTTTTGTAAAAGCATTCAAATAGAAAATAGAAATATTGAGTCTAATGTTTTCCATACAAATAATAACCAGGAAAAATACCTATGACAGATATGACATCAACTAAATCAAAAGCTTCACGTGCAACCTTAGTCTAAAAATATGGAGCTTCACCAACCTTTGTATAAAAATATGGAGCTGCACCAACCTTTGTATAAAATATGGAGCTGCACCAACCTTTGTATAAAAATATGGAGCTCCACAAACCTTTGTTTGAAAATATGGAGCTTTACCAACCTTGGTATACAAATATGGAGCTTCACCACCCTTAGTGCATATACAAATATGGAGCTTTACCAACCTTAGTATACAAATACAAATGTGGAGCTTAACCAACCTTAGTATGAAAATATGGAGCGTTACCAACCTTAGTACATATACAAATATGGAGTTCACCAACCTTAGTTTGAAAATATGGAGCTTTACCAACCTTTGTATACAAATATGGATCTTAACCAACCTTAGTATGTTTACAAATATGGAGCTTCACCAACCGTAGTATGAAAATATGGAGCTTCACCAACCTTAGTGTGAAAATATGGAGCTTCACCAACCTTAGTGCATATACAAATATAGGCCTTTAACAACCTTAGTATGAAAATATGGAGCTTCACCAACCTTAGTACATATACAAATATGGAGTTCACCAACCTTAGTTTGAAAATGTGGAGCTTCACCAACCTTAGTATACAAATTTGGAGCTTAACCAACCTTNAGTATGAAAATATGGAGCGTTACCAACTTTAGTACATATACAAATATGGAGTTCACCAACCTTAGTTTGAAAATGTGGAGCTTCACCAACCTTAGTATACAAATTTGGAGCTTAACCAACCTTAGTTAACAAATATGAAGCTTAACCAACCTAAGAATAAAATATGGAGCTTCACCAACCTTAGTATGAAAATATGGAGCTGTCCTGCTATCAGCATAATACGTTGCCATTCCTTAAACACATTCTATGATTTCAATATAAATAAAAAAATTTCTTTTATAAATGGAAAATAAACTAAAATAATTTTATCTGCAGTATTGATAAAAGAAACTTTAGGTGTTACATTCTTCAAAATTTCACGTATTTTCATGATTATTTGTAGCAAAATCTGGAATTCCAATATAGTTTGTTTTCAAATTGGTTTCCTTGCAGAATTTATTCTTCTGGAATTATTCTGGATTTAAAGTGGATTTTTGTCTCATTGAAAAAATGACATAAAAATAAAAACCTAAAAATTCGGTTTCATCTCCCCAACCTCCCAAAAATATGTTTACGTGTTTCTGAAAACTCACCTAAAGGTACGTTTTTGATTTCATTCATATCTTCAACCTATAAGTAAATTAGGATTATTCCGATACATTAAAGTATGCAAAACCGACTTACTTCCGTCGACAACAAATGCATTTTTGTGTGTTTAAAAAAAGTGTCCAATAAACAACATGATCAAAGTGATAAACTCTAGAAAATTGTAATAATTAAAAGCAGAAAGTTAATGCATCGCTTATTATCCGAAAAGTTTAACTTGAAATTACGTTGACAGCATTTTTAACTTTAATAATTTATTTTTTGGATAAGGGGTGTGGGCAAAAGCTCTCGCATATAAATAAAATGAAATATCAATAGATCTGGTTCCAGTTTGTTATTAAAGTCTGTCTACTATTTTGTCTTGCTTAAGATCAGTTAAAAGTCATGTACCCCAACGTTTTGTGTTGCGCCGTTGTCTTAAAAACTTGACCATGGGAAACCATATAAACCATAGTGAACACTTATTTTCCGCAGGCTGATCTTGCTTCCTGTCTTTCCTTAAGCTTAACTATTAGGTTTGGTTAAATGATAATATTTTTGTTAATCACATGTAGCGTTGATTTGCCAATGACTTGTAGAAAGCTGGATTTTCAAACATGATTGAGTTATGTTCTTTTGTAAGTTGACAGCATAATTTCAGGTTATCCTCCAATTGCAAACATACCAATGCCTGATTCGCAATCACAACAGTGACCTGGAAACCTTTATCGGTTCAAAAATGTTGAAAATAATGCCGCTTTTCTGACATAGATAGATAATCGGTTTTAAACATTGCTACCTAATAATCTTTCAATAAAAATATAAACATGGATATTTTATTTAATACTTGATCAGACAAAGCTTTTAAGAGTACCGTTGTGAGATTATCTTTATCAGTTCAAATGTGGAAGATAATGCCGTTTTTTTCTGACATAGAAGGATAATGTCACAGTTGAAAAATTTTAAATCTGTACCTAATTCATACTTCAATTGAAAAAAAATAAAATTAAAAAATATAAACATGGATATCTAATTTTATACTTGATCAGACAAAGCTTTTAAGGATACCGATGTGAATCGGGCATTACCATGTTTGCACAGAGAGTCACATGAAATTACACGTACAGTCCCTTTAAATAATTATCCTTTTTATGTAACTCTGTAATTTATTATATTTAACTAGCTGAAGTGCCCGGCGATACCCGTGGAAAAATAAAATTTGATTTTTGAAAAAAATGTCAAATTTTTTTAGTCTATTTTACTGTAACCAGACACACATAGGTATCCTAAAATAATGTTATAGCCCGTTCGGTCAAGCCGTTTGGTCAGCTATAGCTGATATATATGAATAAGTAAAGAGCTTTATTATACAGATTATAGTTATCCGAAATGTCGAGGAAGAAGATTTACACTGTCCACACCAGTTAGACAAAGTTTCGGAAACTTCTGAGTTTCAATCAGAATGAAACCTCCGGTTTAGGGTTTCAAGCGAAATAGGGAATTTCGCTTCTTTTGCATTCCGTTCGTAGAAAAAAAATGCGAAAGTTTGTGTTAAAATGTTTAGCAAAAGAAAAAACGAAAATAGATTAATGTAGAAACTTTGCAAAAAAAGCGAGTAGTTTTAACATTTTTGCGAAATTGTCGCATATTTTGTTTTTGTGTTTAGGAAGTTTTGCATCGTTTTCGTTTTCTTTCGAAATTTTGCGAAATACGAACGAAAATGTTCGCGTAATTTTCACCGAAAAAAAAAACGATTTCCCCATTTCGCTGGAAACCCTGTAATCACGCTCCATGGTTCAGGGAGAATTGGAAAAAATAAAGCCTGCGTGAAAACTATAGTATCTTAATAGTATTCGATAAAATAAAACCAATCCAGAGCTGGGAACTTTAGAATGGATAACCTTTACTCCCGGCTGCTTAATCCGAATATCCACTGTGGAAACTTTTAATTTATTCCTTAATCCACTCTTTTTCTCTCTCTTTAGATATCCATACATTGTTTTCTCCAATGAGAGTGCAGGAATATATTCGTAAATTGCATTGGCCAATGACAGTCTTGAAAATAAATTCTATCCAATGACTGACCTCCACAATTTCTAACAAATAAAGAATTTGTTGTCAGTCATTTTGTAAATTAATCGGTAAAAAAAATATGTAATATTACGTTTGAGATTCTTTTCAACTAATTTTGACTAATGTATTAATATACAAATTTATGAGAAATCCAGTGTGAAGGCTCTAGTAAAGAAAACGAACAAATCTGACGTTCCTAGGATCAAATTTGTTGACCTAAATAATTAATCTCGAGACTAACATAATCCCGAGATTAGCAAAAAGAGAAGATTAAGCATTAATCCTGATATCCACCACTCTAAAGTTCCCAGCGCTGGTCCAGTTAAATTTGTTAGAATAAAAAATCTGCATGGCCAAGTTGGATTTGTCAGATAAAAAACACTGATGGTCCAGTCGGGTTCTTTTAGAACGAAAACCTGCATGGTCCAGTTGGTTTCGTTAGAACGTACAAAAATACTTGCAAGGATTAGTTGGATTTCTTTGAATGAAAAACCTGCAATGAAAATTTAAATGGTTTAGTTGTTTTTTAGAATGAAAAACCTGCAAGGTCCAGTCTCGTTCGTTAGAATGAAAACCTGCATGTGCAGTTGAGTTTATTAGAATGAAATGAAAACATGCTCCAGTCAGATGTATCAAAATGAAAACCTGCATGGTCTAGTCGGGTTCGTTAGAATGAAAACCTTAAATGTCAGATTTGTAAAAAATAAAGCTACATAGTTCAGTCAGGTTCGTTAGAATGAAAACCTTAAATGTCAGATTTGTAAAAAATAGATCTACATGGTTCAGTCAGATTCGTTAAATGAAAAATCAGCATGGTCTAGTCGGATCCGTTATAATCCGTTATAACCTTAATGGTCCAGTTGAGTTCGTTTGCATGAAAATTTTAATGGTCCAGATGAATTATTTAGAATTAAAAACCTGTCTTGTTCGTTAGAATGAAAACCTGCATGGTCCAACTGGATTTATTAGAATTAAAACCTGCATAGTCCATTCGGATTTGTTAGAATATGAAACCTGCATGGTCCAGTTAGATTTGTTTGAATAAAAAAAATAAAAAGAATTAACCCTATAAAGGTTGGGGGTCTGAATCTTTTCAAATGTAGTTTTTAGGCCCGTAGCTTTAGTCCCAAAATGTTAGCCTTTTTTAACACGAATCGGACTTTCCACCACCCTGAACTCTGCCATCTGCCTGTTTTGGTTAAAAAACCAGAATGATCCACAGTTGGATTCGTTAGTTTAAAAAAACCGTTTTGGTCTAGTCTAGTCGGGTTCGTTACAATTATAAACCTGCATGGTCCAATCAGATTCGGAGAAGTAAAGTTCAATTGTTGAATACTCATCCGCAGCGGTTTCTCCATCCTGTCCAGAAACAGTTTAATTAATCTTAACACTTTGATAAAAAATTACAGAACATTATTTTTTTTATTGTTTTTTATATTTTTTAAAAAACTGTTTCTTTTTTCCTTTTCTGCAGTCCAGACATCAGCACCGATTCCCCGTATTTTTCGGCGGCCAGAATATACAAAATCAGCAGGTTTCACCTAAAAATATTCATCGTAGAATATCGATTTCAGAGTGAAGAACACGAATATCTTTTTATTTTTTTTAAATAGGAATATTTGTGCACATTTCAATCACTCATTTATATAAACTTTTAATTTAATTTTTTAGTTTTAAATTAAACTTTACTTCAAGAAATGGCTCTAGCTACAAATACTTTCTACGCAAAATCATTTTGTAAAAGGTTACAAAAATTATAACTAACATAGGTAATTGACAAGATTTGTTGGTTTACAGAAATAAACAAATATTATATTTGACCAGTTTAGTTGATTTGGAATATGCACTTTGCAGTTTGAAACTCTCCCAACTGAGCCACAAAAAGTTAGTTGTCTAAATATCTACAACTGTGTAAAATCAAGAGAAAAATCCCATCACTTTTTTGCTTCTGTTACTGAATAATATTTTTCTTCCAGATGGTCCAGCTGTGAAGATTTCAATACTAAATACAAGCTTGCATAATATTGATAAACAATGTTAAACCTATTCTTTTTTTCTCTTTTTAATAGAGATTTTTTTGTCATGATCGGGTTGATACGATCAAATCTCGGAATTTTTTCTAGTGCGAAGATTTGGTGTTGTATAGGTTTTTTATTGATCTACCAGGGGTTGTAATCTGGCAGCATATTCATCCATCATCATTCACTTGGATTATTCTACTTAGAGCTTATTTCTTGCTGAGTAGAAAGCGCGCACCTTTCGCTGCGAGAGATGTTGACAGCTGCCCATCTGTCCTCCTACATCCGTCAGGTGGTCATAACTGCTTTACCAGATGTCGGCTTCAAATGTTTTTGAAACCAGAGGTTTGTGTGGAGTATGGGAATCGAACCCGTGAATACCAGTTTGGACACCAATCCAGTTACTGGCTGTGAACAAGTTTGCTTAACTTCAATGATCTAACGAGAACTGGTGTCACACACTAGCCGCCCTACCCCACCTTTATTTCTCGATATTTTATCTTCATCCTTTGTCCTTTATCACCTTGTATGCCCCGTATGCCCCTTAATGTTTTATATTTTTAATTATGTGTCTGGTTTGTTTAAATTCCCTGTCAAGTTCGATTGGGGATGTAACATTGCATCTCAGTTTGATTTCTGTAATGAAAGGAAAGATGTTGCTACAGTTAAACCCGAAATGAGCGGTACATCGAAAGAATTTATTAAATGTCGTCTTGAAAATTTTTACTGGTTTCTTTTCTATTTAACGTAAATCTCAGTATTTGCGAAAATGAATAAATAGCCATTAATATGTGGGAACAGTTTTAAAGAGCTACATATAATCATTTAATTAAAAAAACTAAATATATGCAACATTCTATTATCAGAAAGTAAAGAATACGACATTTGATAAATTCTTTTGATGTATGGCTTATTTAGGGTTTAACTGTTTGATATTTTGAATTTTCAGAAGGGATATATTTATGCATTTTCTTCCTCTAGCTCTGCTCAAAAAGAAGACAAAATTGAAAATAATAATTTTTTTGGTGGAAAATCGAGGATTTCTAAATAAAATTTGCGCAAACCAATATTCTAAGTACACCTTTAAACAGAACAGCCGTTTACCTGAAGAAGCTCTGAAGCTAGTTTTAGTCTGACAGGTCGTCCTTCCATTCTCGCGGCATCCCCCATCCAGGTCTGTATAGGCTCTACTGTACAGTTACCAGTTCTCTCTAGAAGTATTATTATTATCCTTGTTTCATTATTATCATCCAGGTCTGTATAGGCTCTACAGTACAGATACCAGTCATTTCCAGAAATATCATTTTTATCATTGTTATCATTATTTTCATTCAGGTCTGTAAAGTCTACACAGTACAGTTAACAGTTCTCTCTAGAGGTATTATTATTATCATTGTAATTATTATCATCCAGGTCTGTATAGGCTCTACTGTACAGTTACCAGTTCTCTCTAGAAGTATTATTATTATCATTGTAATTATTATCATCCAGGTCTGTATAGGCTCTACTGTACAGTTACCAGTTCTCTCTAGAAGTATTATTATTATCATTATAATTATTGTTATCCAGGTCTGTATAGGCTACACAGTACAGTTAACAGTTCTCTCTAGAGGTATTATTATTATCATTGTAATTATTATCATCCAGGTCTGTATAGGCTCTACAGTATAGTTACCAGTTCTCTCTAGAAGTATTATTATTATCATTATAATTATTGTTATCCAGGTCTGTATAGGCTCTACTGTACAGTTACCAGTTCTCTTTAGAAGTATTATTATTATCATTATAATTATTATCCTCCAGGTCTGTATAGGCTACACAGTACAGTTACCAGTTCTCTCTACATAAAAGTATCATTATTATCATAAACATAACTTTATTTGAATCTTTTTACAATTACATCATAGTCATACTGAAATCCATGTTCTTATAGTGAAGAAGCAATTTACAACATTAATATTAATATACACTATATAGTTCCAACCTGAAACTGTGTACTGTGTACTGTATAGTTCCTACCTGAAACTGTGTAATGTGTACTCCTGAAACTGTGTACTGTGTACTGTATAGTTCCTACCTGAAACTGTGTAATGTGTACTGTATAGTTCCAACCTGAAACTGTGTACTGTGTACTATATAGTTCCAACCTGAAACTGTGTACTGTGTACTATATAGTTCCAACCTGAAACTGTGTACTGTAGACCCGTATTGAAGTCGTGGATAATATTGTAGGTCTGAGAAACAAAATATTTATTTTTTTCAAATTACAAAATTTTTTTTTTAAATGTTAATTTTACCCCATGTTTTAAAATTTTACTGGAAATCATACTTGTTATTATTTTAAGGTTAAGATTGCCACATTAAAACTAATGATTTAGTTTTTTCCACAATTTTAATTCTAATCCATAGATCTTAGCAATTTCAAACAATAAATTCTGTTTAATCAAATGATCTAGGTATGAAATATCTAAGGTTTATGCCAAAATATCCGAATATACTGCAATAAAGGAAGTATAAAATTCAAGTTTGTGGCAAAGATTCAATTTCTTTGAGGAAAACTTCCATTCCAGGCTTACTTTCTTCAAATATAAAATAACAAGNAATCTGCAGTTTATTGATACAATTTAAATTTCATAACAATCATGGAATTTTTCCAACTATTTTTCCTGTTTTTAGCCATGGTGCGGGTATAATATAATTAATTAAAGATGACCTTTAAGTGCTCACTATTGGGAAAAAATAGTACAACATTATACAATTATTTACAAATACTTTAACAAGGTTTCCCAAGACTAACTTAATGTCTTTATATCATCCAGAGCGCAGCGAGTAATGTATTGTAGGTAAAATTGGTCGAATGAACCCATGGACAGTGATAAATTAAAGAAAGATTTTAAAAAGTGGTCTTTTGAGATGAAAATGCGCAATATTTTTTTCAAAAACTCTGTTGAGTGGTTGGTTATTTTACATAACCGTTCCATGGGACTTTAACTATATTAATGGTCAGTAATGTTAATTTTTAATAATTAATTAATTTTCCTGTGGTAGTAGATGCGGTGCTAGAGCTAAGGTTGTTAGGAATACGGAGGGTGGGGTGTGCACTCGGGGAGTTAGCTTTACACTGACCAACTTTAATATATTCAAAATAATATTTGTTTTCTACGTTCATTTTTTCTTTTTCTCCATTCTAGTTCCTTCTTTCATCTTTTTCTACAGTCCTTCTACAATCTCTACATTTTACAGTATATAATTTTGTTTATTTTTGCTTCAAAGAGAACTTGAAAAGTGTTGAGTGAACATCGTCTTTTTGCTTTCGCTTAAAGAATTTATGTATATATATATGTAATTTATAATTCTTGCAACTGATAAAATATCTTTAACTATTTAGTGCAGTTTTAAACTAAGCACGGACTTATCAGTATTTATCATAAAAAAGGATAAAGAAAAAAAAAAGATTTCTACTGTTATATGGTTCTCATTGTACTGGAGCAAAGTTGATTTTGAATAGTTCCTTGTGCGGTAGATCATAGTTCTGATGAGAGTAGGACACTTCAGAATTTCCTAAAATTAACAATTAGATTAGTTGCAATGCTATAAAGGGGTCAGACAATTAGAGTTTGGGGACCAGTTCCTTACTTACCTTCCATAATTGTTTCTATTTTGACAGAAAACTGCCTTGGAAGTTCTGGAAGAGATCTGAGAATGAATGATGTTTTAAAAAAGTAATATAGGCTAGTTTTCAGAAAACATACTTTGTAAATTGTAATCTTTTGAAGCTTATATGAAGCTAATATTTTTGACATTTAAAATCTAACATCTGTGTAATTATGAAAAAAAAATCAAATATCATGGGAAGTTTTAAAAGAATCAGTAAATATGAAAAAATTAAATAAAACGGACAGTTATCAAAATCAGGTTAAACCCAACCTTCAAATATTAAAACCCAGAGGCTGAACCTGAAAATAGGAGCCGCGTTTGAGACAAGGCTTAAACATGGTTGGTTCTACTTGCAATTATACTCAGTGTTTAAAGCTTCGAGCCAGCGCTCAATTGAGCATTTTTTGGCGGTTCAGCGACACGATTTAAATTAGGCCTCTGATATATTTTTTAATTCAAACGGTGTATTCTTTTGAATAACTTTGTTGTGGATGTCGTAAAAGATACAAGAAACGGTCAAAAATTAATTTTAAAAAACTGACCAATCTAAATTATTTTAATATATAATTTATTTTTTAGCAGCATTTTCCTGGGAGGGTGTAGGTTTGATTTAGGGCAGAATATGCCTGGTTCCTGGTGCAACAAGGAGGAATCATCTGGATTCAAAACCATTCTAGAAAAAAAAGTTACAGAAACCTCTTCTTCTTTACATATAATATATTCTTCAATACACGTAAAAACCACATCGTACATGATCCCAGTGTAGTTAAAGTTATAATTCCCAAAATATATGAAAGGAAAATTGCAGATTCTAAAATTTCTCCTGCAGCACTCGATACCATCGTCAAACTTAAAGTTTAAAATTTACATAAATTTGATGGCCTTGAACAAAGTAGACCTGAATATGTATTGCACTTTCAAACTTTTCGGATGTCAGTTATTAATAATAAAAAATATATTAGTTAACTGATCTTCAAAATAGTTTAATAATTTAAGATTGTTTTAGGGCCATCCTAGCCCCCTGCCCCTTCATATTAATGTATTAAATTAATCAGAAATTTTTTTTTAAGGATTATGAAAAATTATAATACCTCTACTCCAATTAAAATTCCCATTTTTGAAAAACAAAACATCATTATTTTTAATTTCAAATATATCTCGAAAATCTAATAAAAAACCTACCTCAGCTTTATTCTTTCCATTGGTTCAAACTGAATGACAGAGTATTTAATGTGTGCTCTCTCATCTATCTATTAAAGGGATTGTTTACGTAACTGTGAGTGTACCTGTAATTTGAAAGTGTCTTGAATAATTTTCGACAGTACCCTATAAACTGTAATAGTAAAGAATCCTTAAAGAACCGCTAATTACTTTTTCTTCAAAAGTTTTATTTTATTTTTATTTTGAAATTAAAAAGCAGGTAAGGTTAGGGATGTTAACGTTTTCATTTTTTGAAAAACGATCGTTTCGTTATGAAAACGATGACGAAAAATCGAAAACGATCGTTATTTTAAAAATTCGGGGTTTAATAATGGTCGTCTTAAAACGATCGTTCTTATAAAACTCGTCGTTTCGTTAAGGATCTTTAACAACGACCCTTTCTTAACGATCGTTAACGACGATCCTTAGTTAACGATCTTTAACGACGACACTTCGTTAAAGAAGAGAAAAAACCGACCTAAAGGTCATCTTTTCTTATCATTGAGTAGTTTTTAAGAAAATATCAAGAAGTTTTAGATTTTCCACAGCTGTCATGTATGACGACATTCAATAAAATTGCATGTAATTTTTTTTCAAAAACGATTATTTTTCCAAAAACGACTGTTTTTATAAATTTAGTCGTTTCGTAAACGATCGTAAACAACAACCCCTTCGTAAACGATCGTTAACGACGACTCTTCGTTCACGATCAATAATGATCGTTTTTTCAAAAGCGGTCGTTTTTAAAAAACAATCGTATAAAAAACGGTCGCAAATCGTTTTTATAAAGACGATCGTTTTCAAAAACGGTCATTATTTGTTTTCTAAAAGTTCAAAACGAGTGGGTCGTTTTTAAAAACGTTCTTTTTTTTCGAAAACGAAACGATCTTTTTTTCGAAAACGAAACGATCGTTTTTGAAAACGATTAACATCCCTAGGGTCCATTATGACTCTTAGCTGTTACACTATACCGAGAAATATTAGAAATTATCAAAACATTAGAAAGTTAGAAATGTAAGTTATACCTTCAGAGTGCCCAGAGAATATCCAAACCCTTTCACCTCAACCTTCAAACAAATTTTGAATATTTAAAAAAAAAGGGTAAAATTTAAAAGAATTTTTTTTCTTTTCAGAAATTCCTTTTTGTAAGTTTTCCAATGGTTGGCAAGATTTTCATAAACATTGATTAGGTTGGGATTATTCCAAATATTTTTTTTCTTGGTTTCTTTTTCAAAAAGCAATCAAACGTTGCTAATAGATTCTTTAATCATCTAGGTTGGCTTCCAATATGTATATTTGAAAGTACTTTTTAATGAGTTGGATTAAATCAAATTTACCTAAGTTTTATTTTACAAATACTCTTAAATTCCCTCGTAATAATAATCTTTAAAATGGTTAAAGTATTTATGAAAGAAACGAAATTATGAATATGATTTAGAATAATTATACTTAGAAAGCAGATTTAATCTAAAAAAATAAACTTTTTTTTTCTATTTTAAAAATAGGTATATTTGCACAAGTCTCAAATTATTTATAAATAATGTTTTAGAATGAAAATTGTCACAGAGTATATTTACAATTGTACTCTAACTCAGAAAAAAAATCTGGTTGGCTCAAACTTAGCTAAAATAATATTCAAATCTTTAATATTAAAAATTTAGATAAAAAAATACGAAACTCTTTTTTTCGAATGCAAAAAGGGGTTGAAATTTGCAATTTTGCAAACCAATTACCATTAAAGCAGTGAATTTCCAAAATGATAAGTCTTTATTTTCCTTAGTTTCAAAGGTCTCTAATTGTTTATGGGACAAAACCAAAACAAAATTATTTTTTTTTATCGCAAAGCTCACCTCCAAGGGTAAAATGAGCTGACCCACTAGGCGGAAAATTGCATTAATTTCTAAGCTCTCCTCCTCAACCCTCCATCTTAGTAAACTATTACCCAGCTTCGTCACCTTACCATTCTAGCAAATCAAATATTTTATTTTCATTTCTAATCCTTGCAAATTTGTATTCTTATTTTTCAAAGGAATGGAGTCTTTGCAAAAAATTCTGATTGTCTAATTCTAATATCTTTGCAACCCAAAGCCGTAGACCTGAGATATTTCAAACTATAAATTCTGTTAGATACATAATCCAAGGTTGAAATATCTAAGGCTTACTTCTTTAGGTTGCAATGATATATGGATAAGAAAGTTTGAGTTTGTGGCATAGACTCAGCTCCTTCATTCCTTCATTCAAGTAACCCTTCATTTACTAAAGACATGCATGTTTTATTCCCAACGGTGTTCTTCAAAGCTTTTTAGATTATGAATGAAGGAAATATTTTTAACATTTAAAATTATTATCCACAATTGCATAGTTTTATTTATGGTGCATTTCTGCAACAGATTAAACGATTGAGAAGGTGATGAGAATTGAACACTTACAAATCTAGAAAAACGTTACAAATAGATGGCAATGGAGGTTTACTTGACTTTAGAGCGATAGCCCCGATAAACCTATATATATATACCTTTGAAACTAGTTGTTGAACTGTGGAACTAAACACACATAAATGTTTTTATTGAAAAAAATCAATTTTCTGACCAACTCATCTTCTATTTATCCAACTCATCTTCTATTTATCCAACTCATCTTCTATTTATCCAACTCATCTTCTATTTATCCAACTCATCTTCTATCCCCCCCCCGTTTATTTTGGGTAAAGGAGACGTCAGAGATGAGATTTTAAAAGCTTAAACCCCAGTAAGTCCTAAACTCGGACTTAGATAGAACCCAAGTCAGGATTGGGTCTGATTCGACCAATGCGAGACTGTTTTGCAAGCTTTCACTCTGTAGCAGACAGACTGCCGTCAGATCAGCTGAAACAAGGAGATGTAAATTTCGAAAATTCAAACTTTATGTAGATACATTATTTTCATAGTATGTTTATTTTGTATAATTAATAAAATTGGAAACCTCAAATAATTCCCGAGATTTTAAATGTACAAATATAAAAGATTTTACGAAATTTACGATCATCATCCTTGAGCCTTAAAGAGAGAAAAACCCAAGATGGTTGGTTCTTACTAGACTCAAGGCCATCCAAAACCCAGGTCTTGACTTGAGCTTTACTTGGGTTTAAGCAGGCGTAAAGACCGGGTTTTACTCGGGTTTTAGCTTTTAAAATATCAACTCAGAAATCAAACAACTAATTTAAAACTCGTAAAAGGGTTATAACAACGTGAATCTGTGTGAAAGAAATAATTAAAACTTTTAATCACACATCTTATTTAAACAAGAAAAGTTATTTCAAAACCACTAAAGAAATCAAGGAGCAAAGATTTTACTCCCCCCCCCCTTCCTCCTTCCAGTCCCCATTAACAACAACAACAACAACCCCCTCAAGACCCCTCAGTCCCCCTACCAGCCACTACTTCGTCAAAAAATGATAACATTTTGAGTTCCTCAACGTATAGAAAGGGTAGAGGCACAATCCATCCCAACAGAAACATTCCTAAAAAAGGCCGAGTAAGTAAAAGACGATGAGAAATCGTCCCTGAAGGCAAATAAAGAAACAACCAGAAAACTGTAAAATAGTAAAGACGACTTTTAGAATCAAGTTATAACTTTAAAAGTCCAATAAAAATTTGTGCAGTATTAAGAGACCCATTTCACTAAATTAGTGTCCACTAATACTATTTGCTTTGTAATTATTGCTATAATTTTGTCTTTCTATTGAGACATCCTGTGTAGTAATTCTTAAACCTTTGATGTCTTTGGTTTCAGTTTGCAGGTTTCTTTCAGTATCTTTATGATTTATATATATATATATATGATTTATCTATATGATTTATATTTCAAACATCACAGCTTTAACTTAAAAATTCATTAATTACTGCACTATTAGAAAATTAAACAAACTATTTACATTTTAGTCGAAAGATATATCTAATTATTTATCTATATATACGTTGGGTGTCTGTCTGTTTGTTTGTATCCAATAAACATCAAAACAGCTGATCAATCGGGCCCGAATTTTTTGTGGGACTTCGTGTATTCCCAGGAAAAATTTATGGATGATCGAATTTTCAAAAATTTGCCTCTAAAAAATCCATTTTTAAAAATTTTAAAAATCCACGAAATTTTTTTATAAAATCCACGAAATTTTGTTTTGTTTTTGTTTTAGAATGAATACAAAGAGAAAATGTTAACAATTGAAATAGCAAAAAGCCTAGTATTTATTAAAGAACTAAGAAGTAAATTGATCGTTTATCATGGTCTTTAAAATAGCTTGATGATTGTATACTTTTTTATGTATAAAAAAAAACAGCAAAAGAATTTAATTTAATGATAAAAAATGAAAGTAATCCTAGTCAAGTATTTAAAGAGTGGAATAATAAAAACACCAAAAATGTAAAAGACCAAAAATTTAAACATTTTTCAATGTGCAATAAAACACATTTCCTTTGTTTACAATTCGATTAAAAATTAGATTAAAAATAGCACATTTATCTGGCCGCTGCACCCGGCCGCCTTTTCATATCATGGATTGTTTAACCCCATTTAAGCCTAAATAAGGTGAGTTATGGCAGCAAATATGGCCACAGAACTGTTATAACGGCAGCGCGCGTTCTGCCTAGAAATGTTCTGTTATGAAGTAAAAGCGTTAACCTAAAATTGTTATTTTTTGGTCGACAGTTAGAATTTTGCTCAGATCATGACCAATTTCATTATGAATTGACAATTGCCATACTCACTGTAATCTTGAATTACATTATTACATTAATGTTGAATAAAACGTGCTGGGTCGACCGAAAAGTACGACTGAATGAATATACAGTACGTGTTGTACCGGCACAGATCATGCTTATTTTATACTGATGTGTAAACCGTATTTTAAACCGTTAATATTTTTATTAATATATCACTGTGCTTTATAATTTAATTTAGTACCGAATTTACTTAAAAATATCTAAATGAAAATTAAAGTGGAGTACATTTTTTTTTAAATTTTACTAATCTATTCGATTTATTTAATTTTATTCCAAGATTTAGTATTTAAATCTGTATGCCATGGTCCCAGCTTTGGATAGGGATTATGTTGAAAACAGAAAGCTTTTATTTGGTTTAAGAATTGAGTTTCTCTTTCAGGAATTTTATAACTCGCATTTTGAAATTTAATATTTGGCGGTTAGAAGTTGGTTGGAGGGTGCTTGAAAGGGTATTTAAGAATATTTTTAAAAATAATTGCGTTATTAAATATAATAAGGCTTTTGTCGTTTTGATCAAATCCAATCCAACGTAGATTTTCAGGGTCACCCTGACTCCTGAGGAGTTTGGCAACTTTTCAACTCATTTTAACTCTTTTAAAATTAAATTACTTTTTTAATTTGTTTCATCAAACTTTTTGTGTTTGTGCATACAGGCACTACAAGTTACAACACAAGCTCACATATTTACAGTGAAAAGTGTTTCTCGCACCATAAAAATATCTTAAAGTAAACAACGTAAAGAAATGTGAGCGCTTTAGTGCAGTGCAAGGCGTTTTAAGGTATGAAAAATGCACACACGACCCCCCTTTTGACCTGAATAGTGGTTATAGCAGATTACGGAAGATTTCCCTGGGGAGATTAGAGGAGAGTTTACCTGGGGCAGATTACAGGAGAGTTATAAAGGGCAGATTACGGGGGAGTTACCTGTGGCAGATTACGTTACGGGAGAGTTAACTGAGGCTGATTACAGGAGAGCTACCTGGGGCAGATTACAGTAGAGCTACATGGGGCAGATTATGGGAGAGTTGCCAGAGGCAGAATACGGAAGAGTTACCTGGGGTACATTACAGGAGAGTTACCTGAGGCAGATTACGGGAGAGTTACCTGTGGCAGATTACGGGAGAGTCTGCATCTAACTCCTGTTGTGGCGTGTCCAAACCCTCCTGTATACATACTACACGAACTTGTAGCATTTCGTCTAAAATTGGGGTTTATTAAAGATAAATACTTTTGCAATTATATAAAAAGAAACAAAATGACAACGATTCGCTGATTTTTAAATTTTTGAAAATCTTAATTTTAAAATATGTCGTCAGTTTCTTCTATTTTTTTTATCTTTTTCTTAACTTGAAATTTTTATAAATTTCGTTTAATTTCTTGAAATTTATGAAATGTCTCCGTTTCTTGAATATATTTAATATTTACCTGGGATCGACAAGGCTTAGCTTGATTGTCTCATCGTCCTATTTACATTCAACAATAGTCAATTAAAAGGCTTATCCTTAATTGGCTGGAGGGTCTTTATAATATGAATAGCCAAGGAGAAAATATATACTTCACTGACCTATCAAGAAGTGATCATTTAAAAAATTAAAATGTCAAGAAGGTTTCAAAGAAATACATTTAAAACCAGAACTTCGGAAACACCAAAAGAATTTAAATAATGATGTTTTTTCAAACCTACTGATAATGGAAAGATGATATGCATATTTAGTTTTTTTAAATAGAATAATTATATGGACCTCTTTTAAACTGATCTTACATATTTATTGGCTATCTATTTATTTTTACAATTACTGAGATTTAGGTACAATAGTATAAAACCCTTTAAAAATTAGTCAAGACGACATATATCATAAATTACTCTAAATTTCTGGGTTAAACTGTAGTATTGAGGTAAACAACCAACATTTTTAAACTAAGAAATTTCAAGTGATGTTTGGTTTGGTTTGGTTTGGTTTGGTTTGGTTTGGTTTGGTTTTTCAATAGTTGAAAGTGATCCTTGCTATGAATTTCTGATATAGTGTACTGGTTCCCAGTTCCTTAACAGAAAGTACAAAAGTAAAAAAGCACAAAAAATCAACAGATAAAATCATTGAGTTAAAAACTAAAATAGTATATTTTTTTTTGTATAGTCAACTTTCTTGTATTTACCAAAACAGAACGAAAAATATGAAAAAATTAAATCTGAAGGAACAAAAAATTGATTTTCTCAATTAATTTATCCATAAAGAATCCAGATTTCATTTCTTTTCTTAAAAAAATAATGTTTTCTTCGATTTTACGATGGAAGTGATTTCAATAAAGAAAAGCAAAGTAAATAAAGAAATTAAAATTACCTGTGCCTAACCTTTAAGTTTAAATCTTTAAATAACAAAAAAATTTTCTTTTTTCCCAAATAAGCCAGAAACTTTTGCACGAAATACGTTGCAAAACATTTTTTTTTTGGAAATAAACAAAAACTTCCCATTTCTCACTTTTCTCCAAGAGCTTCAAAAATCAATTGATAATGGGGTAAATAGATTGGACAATCTTAGAAAGAAAAAAGTTGTATATTTTGTATATAACTGTTTGGGCAGCTGCATGATGCATCTTTAAATTTTAAAATTTCTTTGAATTCTATAACATTTTTATTTCTTTCATCTAAATATTTTACAAACCATTTTATTTTATTAAAAAGTTTGAATTTTAAATTTATTTAATTTTAAAGAAAGGATAAAATTGAAAAATCTAACAGTTGAGATCACAAAATTGAAAAACAGTGTTTTCCTTTGAATATTAAGATAAACAAAATTAATGTATAAGTTTTAGTTTTGCATTATTTGCAAGGAGTTGTTTGGTGGGAATATATTTCTAACTCATAATAAATTGCTTTAAAATAGATAAAATGCCAGCTTATTAAGATGTCAGGAAAATATCAATGAAAATATGTATTTTTAAATAGTTAAATAAGATAAACATTAAGTTCATGAAAAGTTCAGATTCTTTTTTATTATCCGTCCTACTTTCTGTCCGATATATAGTTATATACAAAGAGCTAATAACCTGTCATGCTTACGTAAGCCGGACTACTTGCACTGTAAGCTTAGCTCCGGTTCCATATGAGAACTAAATGTGTTGCATAATAAGAACTATCCAATCTGAGCTTAATTTCGGGTCTGTATTAGAACTGAAGGGGTTACATCAATGGACCTATCCTTATTCCGAGCTATTGAGTTCACACTGGTTACACTAGATTAAATCCCGCATTGCTATTAATCATGCCGAATATAATTCTGGCTGACATTGTATTTATGCACAAAGGTTAAAATTCTTTAATTTTCTAAAGATTGAAAAAGAATTCACTCACCCTGATCTTTGACTTGTATTTTAGCAACGTAGTTTACCGCCAGATATTTGGACGGATTCAAGGAAATATCATCCACAGCGGACAAAATGTCGACAGAGGAAAAATGTTCGTCAGTTGACAAAATGTCCTCTGCTGTCTCCTTCTGGTCCAGAGGTGTTGTGGTGGATTGGAGACTGATTTCATCAGAGCGCTGATTTTCCATCATTGGCAGCTGATTATCAGTCGTCAGATGCTGTTGTTCGGTCGTCAGGTTAAAATGTGCTGATTTATGAAATAAATCTGAACTCAGGACATATATTCAATTTTAAAATTTAAAAACATGGATTTCTTATTATGTTTGCTAAATTTTCCAATGAAATTGTCCAAGAAAAGATTTTTTGACATGAAGAATTATTGAAATTTAAAACTTAAACCCTGCTAGCCTCTATTCTTCAGGTCGGGTTTGATGAATAACGAAGAGAATATGAGTTTAACTATTTGTATTCTCACAAAACATTGTGTTTCCTTGAGTGGCAGGTGGTTTTTTATTTTATTGATTTATTATTTACAAATTTGATTTTTTGTAAAAAATCATCATAAAGATTTTCCTATATGTGGTTTGCCTTTTTGTACTTTCAAAACTTCATCAGATATTGCTAATCATGTTCACAAAGAAAGTAAATACAAATTTCGAATAAAATTATCGGAAACACATCAACACACAAAAGTTTATCAAAATCGTCGTATATCCTTTAAAATTTTTGATTTCTCCCTTTAATATTAAAAATTGTATAATATCCCTTTAATATTAAAATTGTATAATATTCCTTTGATATTAAAATTGTATAATATCCCTTTGATATTAAAGATTGTATAATATCCCTTTAATATTAAAAATTGTATAATATTCCTGTTCCTGATTCATTATTGGTTTCAATATAAACATCTGTATAGTCAGCATTTGTCACTATTTTTACATTTTAGAAATCTTATTTAAATAATAATCATAAAATAGAGTAAATTTTACTTTTTATATTATAGCTTAACTTAAAGTTTCGGTTTATTACTTCAATTAATTTTTACTTCTCAAATTTAAATTCGTAACGATTTTATTTAAAAATTAACTACATAAAAATAATGATTAATAAATAAACAAACTTAAAATATTTGATCAAACAAAATTATTAGTTCGAAATATTCAAGGTATATGACATACGGGTTGCAAAGATATTGGGATTAGACAATCAGAGTCCTGTACTAAAAATATAAAAGACAGTTATAATTCTTTTTTTCCAATGCTAGTTTAAGAACAATTCAATAAATAGAACAAAAAATATTTCGTAGCAAAATAACTCAATGATTGAGTAAAAATCCTCAGTAATTACTGAAACTAGAACAATTCTTTAAAATAATGAAAAATACTAATTTACAAAAATGCAAATGCCTAAAGCTGTAATGTTCATTTTGTTCACAGGCTCCAGATCCTAAACAAAGAGTGTTAAAGAGAGGGTTCGCGGAAATAGAATTCAAAAACTTGTTAAAGAGAGGGTTCGCAAAAATAGATTTCAAATCTTGTTAAAGAGAGGGTTCGCGAAAATAGATTCAAAAAAACTTTTCAAAGAGAGGGTTTGCGAAAATAGATTCCAAAAACATGTTAAAGAGAGGGTTTACGAAAATAGATTCCAAAAACCTGTTAAAGAGAGGGTTTACAAAAATTCGTTCAAGCTGGATTTTTAGCGCGAAAGTTCGCGTTTGCAAAAATCAGTTTCAAGCAGTTTGGAAAAAGAAGGTTTGAAAAAAAATTTCCAAACTATTATCTAAGATAGGGTTCCGAAAAAGGAAATTGGATCAAAACAATTTATTAACTAGAAGTGTCACAAAAATTGGTTTCAAACTGTTTTGTAAGTTAACGTTTTCATTTTTTCGAAAAACGATCGTTTGATTATGAAAACGACGATGAAAACAAAACGATCGTTTTTAAACTAATTGAAAAACGAAACAAAAAAACGATCGTTTTCAAAAATGATTAACAACCCTATTTGTAAGAGAGGGTTTGGAATAATGGTCCCAAACTTTTTATAAAAAAAAGGTTTGGGAATATCAATTCAAAATAGTTTATCAACAGGAAGTTCGAAAAAATGGTTACAAACTGTTTGAAAGAGAAGATTCGCGAAAATTGATCCCTAACTGTTTTAAAGAGATAATTAAGACAGTTTGAAAATGCTGGTCCCAAACTGTTTTTAAGAGAAAAGTTTAGGAAAGTTGGTCCCAAACTGTTTTTAAGAGAAAGTTTTAATGAAAGTTGGTCCCAAACTGTTTTTAAGAGAAAGTTTACGAAAGTTGGTCCCAAACTGTTTTTAAGAGAAAGTTTACGAAAGTTAGTCCCAAACTGTTTTTAGGAAGATTTGCTAAAATTGTTCCCAAACTGTTTTAAAGAGAGTTTGAAATTGGTCCCAAACTGCTTCATAGAGAAGGTTTGCAAAAATTGGTCCCAAACTGATTTAAAAGCAAGGTTTCAATAAAAAGGAAAAAGAGAACAGGTAGAGATGGTCCAGGGCATCGCGTTGTCTGGTTCGGGTTTGAAAATTCAAGGATTTTGTTTTCTATGTACAAGGTTTACTCTGACAAAGTTTACTCTGACAAGGTTTACTCTGACAAGGTTTACTCTGACAAGGTTTACTCTGACAAGGTTTACTCTGACAAGGTTTACTCTGACAAGGTTTACTCTGACAATGTTTACTCTGGCAAGGTTTACTCTGACAAGGTTTACTCTTACAAGGTTTACTCTGACAAGGTTTGCTCTAACAAGGTTTACGCTGACAAGGTTTACTCTGACAAGGTTTACTATGAAAAGGTTTACTCCGACCCATTTAAGTTGAAAAAATGACGACAAGTTTATATGTCGTAATTCTTTGTGACATTTTGCTCCAGACAGTATTTGATTTAAACACTAGGATAACAGGTGGGAACTTTTGTGTTTGATACTCCTTATCCCGATCTCTTGATCATGATATCCACTGTAAGCACTTTTACTTTGGCGAATTAATAATTAATCTTTTCATTTTTGTTATTCCTCCAGTGCAAGGGTACGATTACCATGCAGGCAGGATATCAAATTAAATTAATCTGCAGATTAACAAAGGATCCAACTCAAACATTAATCTCGATATATACACAATACATGGGTTCCTAGGTCTGAAGAAGCAAGGTAATCTAGATCTTAAGTTTATCCCCACCCTGGAACTAACCAGTAGCCAAGGGCTAAACTTTACACTTTCAATCACAAAGTTTTGTCTACGTTTTCATTTAAACGTATCACAGATAAAACGTAACCAAAGAGAATAGATTATAAATAGAGTGGCATTTACTCCAAAAAAGTGAAAATCGCCATTTTGTTGAACTGTTTCTAAACTGTTTCATAAAATAATGATTTTAATTCACCTATTACGAATACACACGTTTAAAGTTATTTAACAACTTTATAAAGCAAAGAAATTGGAATGGGGATATGTCCAGGGATCATACTGTATTAATGTGATGCGTATAATTTGTGAACATCTACATGAATTGTACAATTTGAACTCCCTTTCAGGGTGAAAGGGGCAGCCAAAATTCATACCAAGGGATTGTTTAAATTCCACTCTATTTATAATCTATTCTCTTTGCGTATCACAGATAACAAAATGAATGCTGTTTCATTGGTGAAATTGGGATCGAAAGTTACTGCTTTCTTGCAACCGTTAGATCAGTGCGTGGCTCCAAAATTCAACAATTCAGAGTTATCTCGAAACTCCCTGAGAAAGGATTATGTTCTTGTAATGCGTGACTATTTGATTTTATTTGCATGACGCAACTGTATTCTGTAAGCATTTAACTAAAATATGAAGAACAAAAAGTATAGATTAAATATTAAAGTAATTTACTAATTGATATTAAAACTATGCCTTTCTTGTGCGGAAGACGACATTTATAAACATAATAAGCCATGACGTATACAGATTTTTTTACAGGGTGTTTAACAAAACATATGACAGTTAAGAGACTACTTGAAAGTCGTCTTTTATTTTTGAAACATTGTCCGTTAGTTATCATCAATAAACTTTACGAGTATGATTCTTGAAACAAAACTTTACATAATTTGCGCCCAAGTCCTGGAATTCCCAAAATGTGGGCTGCTATTTTGCTGTCAATATTGTCGGAGATTTTAGAATCTTTTTCAGATTTAAGTTTATTAAATAAAACCAACATTGTCGGAATCTGAACGAGATTCTTCATATCTCTGGTTAAATTATTGATTCAAAGATTATTAACTTTAAAACTAGGTTTTTCTAAAAAATATCGCAAATTATTTCAAAGAACAAAAACGACATTTAAGTTATCACTCAAATATCTTGTTTCGTTCGTGGGACACCCTGTATATTCATAATTGTTAATGAACGTAGTTGGCGAAATTCTTTTGCCGAAGAATGATGTTAAACTGAGCTGCTGAGCCAATTGTTTGAAGGAATGTACCGACCCTGATTAACTGATTATCGATAAGTAATCATATAAGTTATTATACGAGGGACATACACGATTCACAACCCCGGTACCCTTTTGTAACGTCGTCTGAAAACAAAAAGAAGATTGATTAAAATCGGCCATTTTCAATTTGTTTGAGGACAAAGACCAAGAACTATTAAACCAAAACGACCAAAATCTTCCTCATTGTTGCTTTAGAAACAGGTTTGAAGGGTACCGTTGTGAATTGGGCGTGCACCTCTTAAATTGTCGAGTCACTTAAAATTGGATGAATGGTCCCTTCAAAGCTGACCTGAGGGTGCACCAGGTGTAGGACTGAGAATAAAAGAATAATTTTCCATGAATCCATTCTTTTAAACATCCTCTTATCCGTTCGATCTTATACTGAGGATGGTTTCGAGGTCGATAGTTAAAAAGAGTAAAAGAAATAATAAAACATAAAGGATAAAAACATAAAACATAAAAAACGGCGCGAATTAAAAAGATGCTTAAAAATGCCCGTTTTTCATAGAACCTATATCTCTTTCACAATCCATAAAGCTTTTTAATTTCTTTTTAACATTACAAATAAATCTATAATTTTTATTTCTAAAAGTTGTTAGTTCATCGTCGAAAAATACAAACAATCCACCACTAATTTATATTAAATATAGTGTAAACAATAAATATGTAACTTTCCTTATCCTTTCCTTTTCCTTTGATTTCTATTTTTCAGAATTGGGGAAACATTCCCACAACCTCTACTTTTAGAGGTTTTTAAATATTTTCTCGTGAAACACTTAATTTTGTATGTTTTTGTTATATTTCATGAATAAATAATTTTTTACTTTTTTACTTTACTATTTAAGATTTCTTTGCAACTGTAGACGTTTATTTGTTTTGCCTCATCATTAAATAAATCATAAAAAGATTACATTCAAAGCAAAAGACTTAATTTAATTTGGAATATTCAGATTAAAGATTTTTAGGTCGTCTTTACAGTCTCATCCTTTGTGTTTTACCATGATATATATTTATATATATTTATATAAATATCTTTAGAGAGTAATAATCGTTATCTGTGGACCGTATACTGTCGGAGATGCCATGTTTTCTATAATTCATCGGAACCCCCAACTTTTCACTGCAGACTCAAAAATGTTCATCGGAGTTCCGAACATTTCATAAGAGAGATTCTTCTTCGGAGACCACACTTCTCATTGGAGACCAACACCTCTTTCATTCTTATGTGAAACACCAAAATCCTTACCCCCCATCACACACCCCCATTCGATCAAAATTTTAAATTTCCGTTGCAAATGGTTTGTACTTGACAAAGCTGTACGTTGGTAAAGCGTGTCCCACAAAACATTATGTTGTTGAATAGTTTAAAAATGATTCACAAAATGTCATGATTCGTGGGACACCCTGTAGGTCTCAGATAGTATTCAAATGATAATAATGATATATCTTTCGAGACTCAATATTTGGCATTCCATAATTTTTTCCGTGTCGAAAATATTAAAAAGTAATTTAATAATGCAGACAATACATATCGTACGCAATTTCAATATTCTATGCGTCAGCCTCAGGCGAAGTTATGCACAGCATGAATTGATTCCGAGTGACGCATACACAATTTACTTTAATGCATTGCTTTCATTGAAAGTTGAAACACAATAAACAAAACACAATGAACCGTTTTATACATTGTTATAGTTTATTCATAGATTAAATAGTTAGGACTATAGAGTAATAAGTTTAGTTTATTCACAGATTAAATAGTTAGGACTAGAGTAATTAGTTTTGTTTATTCATAAATTAAATAGTTAGGACTATAGAGTAATAAGTTTAGTTTATTCATAGATTAAATAGTTAGGACTAGAGTACTTAGGTTCAATAGTTATGATTATAGTACTTAGTTTTGATTATTCATAAATTAAATAGTTAGGATTATAGTACTTAGTTTAGATTATTCATAAATTAAATAGTTATGATTAGAGTACTTAGTTTAGATTATTCATAAATTAAATAGTTATGATTAGAGTACTTAGTTTAGATTATTCATAAATTAAAAAGTTATGATTAGAATACTTAGTTTAGATTATTCATAAATTAAATAGATGGGAGTGGGACTAGAGTAATTAGTTTGGTTTAATCATAGATTAAATAGCTATGACTAGAGTAATTAGTTTAGTTCTACAAAGACAACTGTCAATATTAAAACTACAAGAGAAGAGTCTACAATAATTCTTGAAAAAAATGATTCAAATTCCTTATAAAGTGCAAAATCATACTGTGCAATTAAAACATAAAAAGAAAATTACAAAATAGTTTCTTAAATTTTTTTAAAAGGCAAAAATGTAAATTTAGGAGTGGAGGCACTTAGCCTTTCTGTATTCACAATGTTTAAAAAAAATGAAAATATCACAATCATTTGGCCTTTAAGTATTGTATTATCTCTAGAAACTCTGAGTAAGCTAATAGAACTATACTTTTATCATTTCTGTAACCTCTGAGTAAGCTGATATGACTTTACTTGTATTATCTGTATAATCTATAGTTGAGTAAACTATAATACATCTATTTGTATTATCTGTATAATCTATAGTTGAGGAAGCTATAATACATATATTTGTATTATCTGTATAATCTATAGTTGAGTAAACTATAATACATCTATTTGTATTATCTGTTGAATCTATAGTTGCGTAAACTATAATACATATATTTTTATTATCTCTATAATCTATAGATAAGTAAACTAGTTTGACTAGAGCGCACTATTAACTTATGTTAATAAAATGTTTGATGACGTAAGAATCCTTAAGCAAGGTCAACTACTCAAAGACAAACTACGCTTAATTTTGACCAAACCGTAGATATACGCAGCAACGAGGGACGGATAGCAGATTATTTGCGTAATAACGCAAATAAAGGGCAGAACACGAATAGCAGACCAACAAGAGAGGGTGTGGTTGCAGCAGACGAATAGCAGACCAGCAAGGAAGGGTGTGGTGCAGCAGACGAATAGCAGACCAGCAAGGAAGGGTGTGGTGCAGACGAAAAGCAGACCAGCAAGGAAGGGTGTGGTGCAGCAAACAAATTGCAGACCACTTAGGAAGAGTGTGATACAGCAGACAAATAGCAGACCAGCAAGGAAGGGTGTGGTGCAGCAGACAAATAGCAGACAAGCAAGGAAGGGTGTGGTGCACCAGACGAATAGCAGACCAGCAAGGAAGATTATGGTGCTTCAGACAAATAGTAGACCAGCAAGGAAGTGTGTGGTGCAGCAGATGAAAAGCAGACCAGAAAGGAAGGGTGTGGTGCAGCAGACGAATAGCAGACTAGCAAGGAAGGGTGTGGTGCAGCAGACGAATAGCAGACCAGCAAGGAAGGGTGTGGTGCAGCAGACGGATAGCAGACCAGCAAGGAAGGGTTTGGGTCAGAAGACGAATAGCAGACCAGCAAGGAAGGGTGTGGTGCAGCAGACGAATAGCAGACCAGCAAGGAAGGGTGTGGTGCAGCAGACGAATAGCAGACCAGCAAGGAAGGGTGTGGGTCAGCAGACGAATAGCAGACCAGCAAGAAAGGGTGTAATTTGAAACGGTTAAAGTACCAATCCCAAAGTATTGCAGTGAAACCCAATGTTTTCTTTAGCCCATTCCGTTGAGTATAATTCAAGGGTCTGGGGTAAAATCAAAGAACAAAAAGAAGACAATCAAGGTCTGAAGTAAAACGTAAAGTAAAGAATTTAGAAAAATCTAAAGGTCTGGAGTTATAAAATCTTAAAGTCTTTAGTAAATTTATAAGGTCTGGAGTGAATTTAAGATTTGGAGTAAAAACCAAGGGTTTGAAGTTAAACCCAAGGATTTGGATTAAAATCCAAGGGTTTGGATTAAAATCCAAGGGTTTGAAGTAAAATCCAAGGGTTTGGAGTTAAATCAAAGATCTTAAACCATCAAATTAAATGGTTCGTTGAAAAATATAAGATCTGCAGTAAAATAAAAAAAATCTGGAATTAAATGAAATGGTGTAGGTATAAATCAAAAGGTTTTGAGTAAAAACAAAGGATCTGAATTAGATTTCAGGGGTTTAAGGTAAAATCAAAGAGTCTGGGTTAAAATTTAAATTTTTAAAATAAAATGGATCTGGAAGAAAATCCAGAGCACCCCACGTCCACCCCCCCCCCCTCTTTCTATAAATAAATTTTATTTCTTAGGTATATAAAAAAAAAAATTTTAATTACATAATTATTTTTTTCATAAAAACTGTTATAGCTACAGATATCATCATGATCGATTGGTAATGATAATTATATATTGTCTTGTTGGGATGTTGCCGATATATATTAAATGAATAAGTATATCCGGTGTATGGGGGTATAGATAGATACTATAGAGGGTATATTGCCGCTTGAGAATTATAATCGAGTCAAGAAAACAATTACAACACACAGGCAGGAGCTTATATAGAGCGGGGGGGGGGGTAATGTGGGGTATCATCCCCACTCCCTCCACCTTGGATAAATGAAAATATGGTTCCTAGCTGAAAATATTGCAATCCCCGCCACCCCCCAAAAAAATTGTAAACGTCCCATGCATTCCATAGGTCTACTTATTAGTGTTTATTGGGAAACAGTAAACCAGCAGTAAACGTCTACATTATTTCATGTTTTAAAATTTCTAATTACATAAAAATATGTTTGAGAATTTAATTTTGCGATGATAAAATTGACTTAATAAATCAACATTCACATTCAAGGCTTCAAATTATTATACATCTCTACTTCTCACATGCATCCAGCTCTTTCGACGCTCCTTCGTTTATCAATATATATAAATCTATCTATATACCTAATTTTTGATGTGTCTATCTATCTTTCTAACTTTTTATCTTTCTATCTTTTTATCTTTCTATCTTTCTATCTTTCTATCTTTTTATCTTTCTATCTTAATATCTATCTATATTACACTCTTTTTTTCTTTCTATTTTTCTATCTTATATCTTTCTATCTAAATCTATCCATCTTTCAAATAAATCTGTGTATGTTTAAAATAGATCTGTGAATGTTCAATCATTTTTCATTTGTAAAAAGATGTAATTAATAATATTACTTATATGTTATATTAATTTCTCGAGACAGGAATATCAGAAAGAACTCACAAGGGTCTTGATCAACTCCTAAAATTTGCTTATGTTTCAGCCTATACTCTCATTCATTTTTCCTTTACGGTCCTTTTAAGTTGGTCGTTTTTTTATTGGGAAAGTTTAGATTTTTAGGCAACGTCTCATTTTGGTTTTGATATTATTTCTTCCAAACAGCTTGAACATGATTAGATTAACAAGATAGTTTCGCATTCACGTATTTGTATTTCAAACCCTGTTAGACAATGTTATTTATCTTAGTTTGTGCAAGTCATTGACATGTTAGCCAATAGAATATAAAAAAGTCTTTTTTTTGCAAGTCATTGAGCTGTCTCCGCCCTTTTCATTAATGTTATAAAATATATAAATTCTTTCATTGGTTAAAGTCCATAGCTCCGCCTTTAGTGTTTATCCTTTTTCCAAATCAGTGAATCCGGGACATTTTATACAGGGTGTCCCTGAAAAAAAGTGTTTATGAGAAATACAGCAGTCATTGAGAACGTGCCTCTCTTAATTTAGAATAGCATTCTAAAAAATATAAATTATTCTATTGGTTGAACTAAATAGCTTCCAGTTCGACTTTGGTTTTATTCTTTTTAGAAGAAATTCGGAATTACTATTTTGAGTGTAGATGTATGATTAATGCAGAATGACACAAAGCAAAAAATAAACTAATTAGTTTGTTGAATTTTATGAAACTAGCTAAAGTAACCCGATTGCCCGTTAAATTTTGAAAACACTAGAAAAAAATGTTTTGAATTCGGAAGAAGAAAAAATTGGGATTTTGGAAGAAAAAAATCCAACACTATAAATAAGTGAAGACACAATTTAACTAACCAAGTAAAAAACAAAACAAAAAAGAATGGAAATATATGTAAACGCGTAATATATTTGCCCTAACGAATTTGTAAAAACTATCGTTTTTTACTGAACGATTTGTTTTTTACTCAACTAACAGTTTTTTCCTACAAACTTTTCAAAAACCGATAGTTTTTTTTACTGATCAAACGATTTTATTATATGAACAATCTTACTGACCGAACGATTCTACTGAACAATCGTTCACTGAGAAAATAAACGGAAAATCTACGATAATTTTAAGAACGAACGAAATGCGCTCGTTCATGAACAATGAATGAACGAAATAATAAAAAATGAACGCGTCCATCTCTATACTACAGTTAGTACTATGTTAGCACCATACCCCGAGGAAAAACCGCAAATTCTCAGACTTAATTTAAACATTATTGCTAAAATATCAAAGTAAGACTATTTATTTATCAAACAGCAGTCAATTCAGTCTAATTTACAAAAACAAAAAACGATAAAACAGGAGTTATTTAAAGTATTTTTTTATGTATTTAAAAATATAAATAATATAAACTATGTTTTTGATTAATAATAACAATTTTAGAACAAAGAACGAAATTAACCCGGCTTACTATAACTTTTTAATGTTTAATAAGCGTAATTGCGTTCCAAATTTTTAAAAATTGGAATATGATGAGTATTTAGATTACAGTAAATTTAAGAAGGCTAAATAAAACCTAATTTTAAGTGTGTTTTGCTTTTTATCTCTGAATATTTCATAGTTTCAATATTTATTACGATTTTATTAAAAACGCACCTGAAATGTTCAATGAAGTCAATTCAGAACTTAATAAAATTATTGATTTCTTCCTTTTCTAAAAATCCTTTCATTCTATTTTCCCGGTTCAATGAAACGCCCAATTACGATAGCTCCCAAACTGTTCACAAACTAAATTTCTCTTCATTCTTCATCAATTTCTATTCAAATTTTATTTTCAAAATTCTAAAAAAAAACTATAAAAACCTATTTCTGAATTAGAAAAATCAATTGAAAAGTTCTAAATATTCTCTTTAGATAAAAAACGCGTTTCAATTAACGTGGAATTTGAACATACATAAAAATTCTGGGTGCTTCGCGCCCATCTTCAATTTCAATTGTGAACATTTTCCTGTGAATACATTGTAAAACAATAAAAAAAAAGTTCGCGGATTTAAAACAAACTTGATTTTTAACATTTAAAAAAAATCTAATTTTGTTGGAATCATTTTTTTATTTTGATCACCCATCAACCTTAACTGGGGTCATGTGAGGTCCCACAAAAAATGTTGGCCCTATCGGTTCAGCCGTGTTGACGTTTATTAGACAAACAGAAACCCAGAGTCTAAAATTAAAGAACAAAAAGTTCCAAATTAAATGTTAAGTTTCAGCTTAATTGCCACTTCTGACTTAATTTAAACTTGAACTTTAACCCTGGGGTTAAATATTTAACTCGACGAGTTAAAATTTAAACCTAGGGTTAAAATCTTGAAATCCCGCATTTTCCCAATTTGTCTATAATCAATCATCATTCAGCTGAGCAAGCGGCATTCAACTTTACGGTATATTTAAAAGTGAAAACCTTGATTGAGTAAACTTGTTTTAGATTAATTAATGTTTGCACGTAAACCCAAAACACGGTTGAAACTGGAAATATGTTTTGTTTTTGGTTACGTAAATTATTGAAATAAAAAAAAAGCTGATGAGCGATGGTTACCAACGAGGTTATAGTGTATAGAGTGATGATGTACGCTAATCCTTTACTAATTATATAGGCCATGAACTATACTGAGAGCGTACTGCATATGTGTTTATTATAAGGAGATTCTGATCTAACCTATAGTATATCATTATTAGTAAACAGTTGTAAGTGTACAGTACAGCTAACTGAGCTAACAGGTAGAGAACTATCATCCCCCTTGATGGTTAAATACCGGGTGTCCCACGAAACATGACTGTTGGTAAATAGTTTAGAATGTGTTTTTCCATAATTTGTTAAGTTGTTTGATACCAAAGATCAATAAAAATTTTATATGAAAGTCATTTTAAATTAAAATTGATTTCAAAGAAAAAGATAATGAAGCATAAGATTTTTTAACTAAAAATAACGATTTATTAAATGTCATGTTTCGGGGGACACCCTTTAGTTTAAGACTCAGAAAGGCAGTTTATATATAGATAAAGTATTAATATCTGTTTGTTTGTTTGGATGTCCGATTATAACTCTTGAACCCTGGACCGATTTGCCTCAACATTTTTAACGGGGAACTCAATTTAACCACGGGAGTGTGCTCTGTATGGTTTAAAAATTCCTAGTTGAGTGGGTAGGTAGACTGTTGTAAGGAAAACTTCAGACAAGAATATAAACCGAACGTCCCTTCTATTTTTATCATCTTCTTTTTTAAACTTTTAAGGCTTTCACGTCTCCTTTTTTTTAGTGATATTTTAAGTAGTTAAATATATGTTTCTATATATTTATACCCTTTGTACTTAACAACCTGAGATTGGTATGAAATAAAATATTATAATCAAAATTATTGAGTGGCAAATCCTTAAATACCTAAGGTAAAAATTAAAAGGGTAAAAAAATCAGTCGTTTTCAGGTAGTGATGAGAATTGTTATTTTGAAAGAACGAAATTTTTGAGAACAAACGAAAAAGGGTATCGTTCAGAAAAAAAATAATCCTTCAAAAAAATGAAAAAGTGATCGTTTTTTAAACAAACAAAAAATAAACGTGAACGATTTTAAATCATTCGACCGTACTTGAATAACTATCGTTTTTTACTGAAGAAACTATATTTAGACCAAACTTTAAAACAAAGTTTTTTTCTGAACGAACGATGTTTTCAAAAAAATTTTGAAAAAAAAAACCTATTTTTTACTGAACAAACGATTTTACTAAATGAATGGTTTTACTGAACGTTCAGTGGGAAAACATTTTAAGAACAAACAAAGTTTTACTTTTGAGCGATTGAAAAAAAGAACAAAATGTTGCGTTCACGAACCATGAATGAACAAAATGAAAAAATGCAAATGTGCCCATCTATACATATATATATATAACAAACAAATAGACGGACAAACCAAAAATATATATCTATATCATAAAACAAGACATTTGTATATATATATATATAGGTTGTCTATAGCCGGCCAAACGGGTAGACCGATCGGGCAGAATTTTTTTTGGACACTCATGGGTTCATGGGTGGCCGGGCGCCTAAAAAAAATTTGAAAATTTTTTTTTCTAAATTTTTTTTCAAATATTTTTCACGGGCAACGCCGGGCCCTTTTCAGCTAGAATATATATAGAATCCGGATGGATTTGAATAAATCAAGAAGATCAAGAATTGTCATGATTACTTCCTGTTGCTGGAGAGAATCCTGGTTAAAATACTTGATTAATTCTAGTTTTGTAAAGTTTATTAATAAGTTTCAAACATATCTACATGCATTCAGTTGTATACTAACCGAACAATAATAAGGTTAGCGATAATTTTTAGATAACTTCAAATTTTTTTAATTAATCATTTTCCATCATTTTTATATTGATTCATCATGGGTAACCTGAAAACAGCGGAATAATAGTCGATGTTTTATTTCTACTTCAAAATGACTCTAATTAATTTAATATCACAAGCCTTTACCTTTTATTGACTTACCTAATTCCTGACCATGTTAATTATACTTTTAATTCAAAGCGTCAAAACGTTTGTTTCAAACTGTACTTTTAAAGGAGCCCATAAAAACATATCGTTACTAAACATATCAAAACATATTTTATCAGCGACAAAACTCATCATCACAAAACTTATCAAACTGCAAAACTTATCTAACAACATAACTTATGAAAACAAAATTTATCAACTACAAAACGTATCAAACTATAAAAAGTATCATAATCAAAACTTATCAATGAAATTCATAAATCTAAAATTTCAAATCATGGAAATGTTCCAGCAATTGTTTTAAAATCCGCGAATTTTCAAAAGAAAATTCGATTAAGTCTCAGTTTCCCGGCCCCTTTCTGGGCAGACATGGTTATGAGAGAGGATAGCTTGGTAGTAGGTGTTCCAGGACCTGAAGGCTATGTGTGCAAGCTTAAGCTTTGATAGTGTACTCTTGAACACATATTTGTTCGACATTGCCAGCCTATTTACAGATGAATAATGATTTACATATAAATTCTGAGTCAAGATTTAGTTTTACAACTTTCAAAAATGTTTTAAAATATAAATTTTGTAGTTATTTAAATAAGTTTTGAGTTTGATATTTTTTGCAGGTTGATAAGTTTTGTTACGATACGCTTTGTATGTGCTCCCTTTTAAATGATTATTTGGCAAAATACTGATTTTTTTGCATATCTTAGCTGATAATGATAGAAATGTACAAAAAATGTTGGTGGATGTTCTTTTATCCTTGATTTAACATGTCTAGACTTGACTGAAGATGAGGATTGGTTTACTAGTGCAGATTCTTCTACTGGTTGCTGGGGTCGTTCAGGGCCTTGATCCTATATCTTTATCAGCTCTCTCATTAGCGGAGGTGACAACTGACAAGCATTTACAGATAGGGTTGGGGAAGGGACTGTAAATTTTAAGTGCCCCTACGTACAAAGATGGCACTGACAAACTCGGATTTTTAAAAACCAATTTCTTTAAAACCAAATGTCGTAGACCGTAGATATTTCAAACTATGAATTCTGGTGGATCAAACAATGTAAGTTTGAAATATGAAAGGTATGCATGATCTGGTTGTTGAGATATAGGTTTCATAAAACTGAGATTTGTGGCAAAAACTCAATTCCTTTACAAAGATATCTTTAAAGCTTTTCTATTGTTAGGAGGCCCACAATCAACCAAATTTTAAACTTAGAAAAACGAAAATATTTTCCAAATGATTGATCATGAAAAGGTTTCAAGGGTACCGTTGTAAATTGGACATTGCTGTCTTTGCATTGAGAAAGAAAGCTATTGAAAAAAAACGAATTATAACCTTTAACGTGATTGTTGAAAAAAGTACCAAGAAAGTTTAAATAATATTCAAAATGTTTGTTTTACAAAATTATGTCACCATTCTTAGTCATTTGAAAACCATCAGGATTGAAACTTATTACTTGAAAAAAAGTTTTTATTCTTTGGAAATTGCAGCAATTAAATTAGAAAAATTTGTAAATTTATTTGTTGTTATTGCTTTTTAATTTACGAAGATAACAAGAAGGCAGGTATTTTATATAAAGTAAGGTATTTAAGCATGAGCTGTTCTATAACAAGCCTCTATCAAGACTCAGGAGCCCAATATTAAAAATATCGAAGAGAAAATATATTTTTAATGAATATTTCAGTAGAATATGTATATTATGTATACTAGCCTTAGAGGGCGCTTCGCGCCCATCTTCTAAATTAGTTGTGAACATGTTCTCTTTGTGTACATCGTAAAACAAAACAAAAATAATTCGCGGATTTTCACAAAAACTTTCGCGGATTTTCAAAATTTTTAAAAATTTAATGACGATCGAATTTTGATGGAGACAAATATTTGAAATTTTGATGATTTATAAACCTTCCCTGGGGTCCCTAGATCTCCCACAAAAAATGTGGACCCGATCGGTTCAGCCGTTTTGACACAAACAGACAGACAGACAGACAGGCAGACAAGCCAAATTTATATATAGATGTAATATATATGTACTGTAGATTATATTTGGGCATTTAAACACCAACTCTAAAAAATTTAGATTTTATAATTGTTTAGATTTTAGAATGATTTTGGATAAAATTTCTGTTCAAATTTAGTTTTGCGGATTTATATAGATTATTTTGTTCGTGGATTTCTCGAAGACGATATTGACTGTCCTACTATATTATTTAGATAACAGCTGTTGGTTCTGTTGTTGCGATGCTGGGATTTAAACTGTTCGCACATTCAGCGCAAGTTCTAAGGTAATGCACATTACGCTACTTTAAGTTTCAGTACTTTAACAGTTGATAAAAATGACTATGAACTATTTCTAAAAGTTTCTTACTCCATACACACTGACCCTCAAGTTATATAAATCGATTTAGTATTTTTTTATTATGTATTTTTAAATTATTAAAAGACATTCCAAAATAATATATGCAAATCAATCAATTGACAATCATTGCTCTTTAATGGAAGAACTTTTGAGAACAAAAAAAATTTTAATTTTCTGATATAATGTAACAGGTTAGTTATAAGATTTTTTTCCACACAAACTGATTTTCTAATCCCATATCTGTTCAATCCAATGTTTCAGACTTAGATATTTTAAACTATAAATTCGGTAAGATCAGATAGTTTAAGTTTAAATTATTAAAGGTACATGTAAATCTTCAAGTGATAAAGATTTGAGGATTAGACAATTTAGCTTGTCACCTTGTGTGATGTGTCAAATTGCTTTTTTTTTCTCACACATACTAGCAATGCTCTTGGAGTCACGACGTTACAAAGCTGTACCAGTAATGTTGCTTAAATTTGGCCTTCTCCTTCTGTTTAGTATAATGTTGATGAGATGTTGTTTTTGGGTGCAGAAGTAAATGCTAGAACAGAATTGAGTCTTTGCAACACATCTGATTTTCTAATCCTGATATCTTTCCAACCCAATATCGTAGACCTTAGATATTTCAAACTATGAAACTTGTTGGATCAAATATTTGAGATATTGTGATTAAAAAGTCAGAGTTGTGACAGAGACTTAATTCTTTTAGTTGCATGTAACTAGTAGCTTTAACTAAAGCTAGTTTGAATTATTGTAAACAGACTGTGCCCAGTTAAACATCAAAAGGAAAGGAAGGGTTCCGTAAAATTTATGAAAATGATATTGGTTTTGCATTAATTGAAACTTTAAAAATATAAATTTTCTAGAAACCTAATTCTAAGCAATCACGTTTCAAGCAATTGTATCTGCACCTTTTATGTGGTGTTCCTGAGTATATAAATATATTAATGTTACAGATTAACTGGTCGCATCAAACGATCTGAAGAAGATGATCTAAATTATGCTACTATTGAAAATATTGCTGCTCTGGAACCTGAAAAAGATGATCTTAATTATACTACTATTGATACTATTGCTGCTCTGGAACCTGAAGATTGCTTCAAAAGAGTATTCTGCTCTGCTGCTACTGGCAGGTAAACAGCTCTTTACAGTATACTGTACACAGTACACTGTACTGTACAGTTTACTTCACACAATTTCAAATGACCCTTAATTTCAAGAATGCCCGATTTACAATGGAACCCTTTAAACCACTTTCTTAACACTCGTTGAATTCTGACAACTTCATTCGTTGTCTCTCAGTAGGATAAAAGAACACAATATAGTTTTAGAGAAACCATAATTGAAAAGGATCATACAAAGGTTAAAAGTTTGCCGTTGTAAATCGGGCATGTCTGTCTCCAGTACATATATAAATATTCAGATTTTCAATTTTTATGTTTCTCTTTATACATACAAAATATAGAAATATACACACAAAATATATAAATATACACACGAAATATATAAATATACATACAAAATATATAAATATACACACAAAATATATGAATATACACACAAAATGTGTAAGTATACATTCAAAATATATAAATATACATACAAAATATTTAAATATACACACAAAATATATAAATATACACACAAAATATATAAATATACATACAAAATATATAAATATACACACAAAATATATAAATATACATACAATACACAAAATATATAAATATACACACAAAATATATAAATATACATACAAAATATATAAATATTTTCCCGCCTGTTAATATATCATTTACCCTAGAGGATATCTATTAGTCTAACATTCTAAAATACACATTTCTTATATTTCTTAGAGTATCCAATGAACACACTTTTGATTTTCTTCTTAAACCGTTCATTCTTGAATAAAGTAGAGAAAAATCAAAAACCGGTTTTTTTTAATAAGAGAGTCTCTCCCGTTTTTGTATATTAATCTTAAATGGTGCGCTAAATTTAAACTTTATCAACTCTGATTGGTTGGATTTCATACACTTTTCAGGATATAAGTACAAGATTAGGTTAGTCTCGATATTAAAAAAAAGAAAGGATCAAACATTAAACTCCACCATTTTCAAATTTTCAGCTCAGATTTTTTTTAAATTGCACAAATATATTTCTTAGATCTAGAGAAAATGAATCTACTATTGATTACATTAAGCTTGCTCGTGATTAAAATTTCTTCATGAAATCACTATCTTGGCAATTGATGTGGTCAAGTATGCCTTCCAATTAAAAGTTTTAAAAATCTTTAAACAATGTTTTTAGAATTTTGAATATTATCATTAAACCTTTTGTAAAATCTGCATCAAAATTTCGCGAAAATTTTAAAAATTTCTTTGACAAGAAGAGAACTGTAAAAATTGTCTAAGTTCGTCGAAGATTTACAAATAATCTAAAAGAAAATATTTTTTCTGGTTTATTTGGTTGGTTCAGAATATCTTGCATTTCCTTGTTTAGGTTTAAAAACGAAGGTCTGAAGAAAACACTGAATATAGTCTACCAAGCAATATTAATAGATCCAAGTAATATCAACACAGAGAATTATAAACAAGCTGCAATCTTTGGCGCTTCAAGGTATTTATTTTAATACTTGGTCTATCATAGGCGATGTTTCTTTTATTACCTAGTATATCATAGGAACTGTTCCTTTTATTACCTAATCTAGCAAACGGACCGTTTCTTTTATTACCTAATCTAACAAAGGGACTGTTCCTTTTATTACCTATAATCTAACAAAGGGACTGTTCCTTTTATTACCTTTAATCTAACAAAGGAACTGTTTCTTTTATTACCTAGTATATAGGAACTGTTCCTTTTATTACCTAATCTATCAAAGGGACTGTTCCTTTTATTACCTAGTCTACCAAAAGAACTGTTCCTTTTATTACCTATTCTATCAAAGAAACTGTTCCTTTTATTACCTATTATCTTACAAGGAACCGTTCCTTTTATTACCTATTATCTTACAAAGGAACTGTTCCTTTTATTACCTAATCTGACAAAGGAACTGTTCCTTTTACTACTTTGTCTATTAAAGGAACTGTTCCTTTTATTACCTAATCTATCAAAGGGATACCTAGTCTATCAAAGGAACTGTTTATTGTATTACTTTGTCAATCAAATTGTGTCGATTATTCATATTTTCCGTCAAAAAATTTACAGTTATTTTAAAATGACTTTCGGATATATGTAACGTCAGAATCTAAATCTAAGTTAGAAAAATGACGATATCTTTTCTACTCTTTTCTCGGATACATGGTTTTAGAACTGTTGTGAATCTTAATTATGTTACTTAGCACGCCAAAAATAGCTTTTACAATTTTAATATTCAATGCATTTATGAATTATGATAATAAAAATATACGTATTATTTTGCTCGGTGGTAAACAACTGTTAAAAATTACATTGTTTTGCTGCAGAATAATTAAAAGTGTTAAAATACAGCATTGAACTAGCTATAATTATAATTGTGTTCATAAATTGTAAATTTATGTTCAAGGTATCCCGCTTCTTTGTTTCGTAAGATGTAAATTACAACAGTCAGCTTAAATTAGGAATTGTAAATCGTCATTTTTTCTCTTTTTAATTTTTGAAAAAACTTGTGAAGTAAATCATTAAAACATCCAAATCCGAATTTAAAATATTATAATTTAGTGCTAAGCTATAGGTACTTAAAGGCAAAATGTTGATGTCCTTTTTTTTACAATTATCGTTTATGGCGCAAAAAAATCATAATCCGATTTTCTACAAGTTTGCATATGTTGAACAACGTGTTTTTTCTCTGACTAATGATAATTATATAAAATCACCTTTGTGTAAGAGTTTTTGTCATAAATCTTAAATAATGACAACCCAAATGTCCATGTTCTTTAAATAAAGTTATTTCAAATATTTTAGGAGAGATATAGAGAAATGTGAATACAAATATGCATGTGCGCTTTCTATGGATAAACTGGAACTCTTATATTAGGTAAAGCATTGTAACTTATAATCAAAGATTAATATAAATACAGATAGAACACTAGATGTCGTCTTTTTCAAAATTTAGGGGTTTTTCATTCCCATTAACCCTGAGGCGTATGCTCTCTCTCTGTCTTGTCATTCAACGCAGCATGGATGTCACTACGCTGGGCCTATTTATTGTGAACGAAAAACCCTAAATCTTGAAAACACAACATTTAGTGTTCTATCTGTATTGTTAAATAATCTATGCTTATGATAATCTTGATAAAAATCTTTGTTGTTGTTCACAAAGATATCTGTTTTTAAGCTTCCCTTAAAGGACCTAGTAAATTATAAACAACACATATCGTCTTGTTCATTTTTAAAAACAATAAATTATTGAAAAAACTAGTTTTAAGAATTTTTTTTTTATGTTTTTAACATTTTTACAGCTTCAATATTGGCGGAGATATTAAGAAATCTATCCAGATTTCAATTTATTAAATAACAAAAAAATCGTTTAAACCATTAATATTTTGAATACAAAGAAGGAGGATCACATTTTGGAAAGCTCATAAGACGTTTAAGTTTATTACTTTTATACAGTCTTTGTAAATGATCAATTATCGGAAATCTGAAATCCCACGTTTATTGGGACACCCTGTATGACTTTCTTAGTAAAATCCATGGTCTATTTTACCCTCTATTTGATGTACTATCTGTAGAATGTACATCTATCTAATGTACCATATAACCTTTAAAATACGTACATCTACATCTATGATCTATCACCTCTCTGAAATTTTCCATCTATGAATTAATTGTTACAGGTGGATCAGGTCTTTACTCTGTGAATTGTAGGATCAGAGAAACATCATTGCACCTCACCTAAATACATTTATTATCTACCAGTTACATTATTAAGTTTGATTTATGTAAAAGTTAAATTTAAAATTGAATAAATGTCAGTTGTAATTTTTTTATCTTTCTTAGATAATTTTTTTGTGTAAAAGATGAAGAAGGTTAAAATTTAAAATTCTAATTGATTCAGAAGAGGCAGTCATTTAAGTCTTGTACAATATTAAACTGTAATTCCTTCATTATATGCAGAATTAACTTATCTATATTTTTACTATAGATCTAGGTTTCAAGGTTGTGAATCGAGTGTGCCCCTATCTAAATGGAGGGCCATTTAAGATTACTCTGAAATAAGTCACTTAATCAAACAGACACAGACATTGTATGATTTACGAATATACAAATTACAATATTCTCAATTGGGTCAAACTGTGATCGAAAGTCTGAGCTTGCTGGAACAAGGACCAAACTGTTAAATCAACGTGCCCCCCCCTTGACCCCCGTACGGATGTTAAGAGATATTTTCTCATAAAATACAACAACAAAAACATTACAAAATGATCTATTTTGAACAAATTAATTAGTCGATATAATCATCAATTTTTGAACATTTTACACACTAGTACCTCTTGAGTATTTGATATGAAAGAACTAAATCTTTAATTAATAAAAATATTTTAAAGTACGTTTGTTTACACCCATTAATGCTTTGTAGAATTTAAGAGACTGCGCGCAGAAGTCCTTATAAAAAATAAAGAACGAAATTTGTCAACTTTTGTGTAAATACTGTTAATCTTGAAGGCTTGAACTCGATATCCAATCCAATTAATCTTGAGGATCAATTCTTGGTCTCTCATGTCTAGCTGCCTGCATATCGAAGAGGAATTAAATTAATCTGCAGATCTGCAGAAGATGGAGATCAATTCTTGATCCTGAGATTCAAACCACAAAAGCTTATATTTCAAAAATATGTAAATTTCCATACATATGCCAATGTTTGACCAAAAGAGATTTTTATCTAAAATGTATTCATTACTATAATTCATTTCCACTTAATCTTAATTGATTTAATATCTTCTGTTGAAGGTTGTTACTGGAGCAGGTTATGAAGGTTCCGGTTAGAGAAAGATGGAGAAACTACAAGTTTTATTTTCTCCATTAAACTTGAGGTCTAATCAGTAAATAGGTGACTAGAGAAGGTGAACATGTCCTTATAACATACATTCAAATATAGATTGATGGAGAAATTATCGGGGTTTTAAAAAAAATAGAAGTTAAAGGGCAAATCGACCTTTTTGCACGCCTGATTCACAACTGTACCCTTTAAATCTTTACAGAGAAAATATCGTCATTTCGTTTTCTTAAAAAGAGTTTAAATCATTCCTTTTCTTCATGGCATTAATTCGCAAGTCACTTTTAAAGAGAGACAATTGTATTAGTTTTAAGATTAAAAATCTAGTTTATCTTCATTGTTTATAAGTCAACGGTTTACAGGGTACTGTTGTGAATCGGATAATGGTATACAGGGTACTGTTGTGAATCGGACAATGGTATACAGGGTACTGTTGTGAATCGGACAATGGTATACAGGGTACTGTTGTGAATCGGACAATGGTATACAGGGTACGGTTGTAAATCGGAATTTATTTACGATTTAAGGACCTAGAAACCATACAATGTAAGCATAAAAAAAACAAGTTGGCCTTTCTTTTAAAAAGTTATAATTATCCATTATTTGTGTAGTGATAATGAACAAGAATACGATAGTTTGGGTTCTCCTGGTTCTCTTAGTCCTTCTATTCCTCCTAGACCTAGGAGTAGAAGCTGCTGTGTATGATGGAAGTATACTTCTACCTGTACAAGATTTACTTTATCCTCTTTCTCAAGTAAGTCAAAATCATAGATAAATAACAATAAAGATGAACACTAGATGCTGTGTTTTCAAGAATAATGGGTTTCTTGTTCACAATAACCCGAAAGCAGGAATCATGCGATACTCTCTCTGTCTTGTAGTTCAACGCGCGTAACTCCTTTAGGCTTTTGTCTCAGGTTCATTGAATTAAATCTTGAAAAGACAACATCTAGTGTTCTATATGTATTGTTATTAATCTGTGGTAAAAATACACAATCATAACATTGTGATCTTTTGATTGAACAGAGCTTCATACAAGTATGCTAAGTTCATCCCGTTCCTCTGTTTGTCAGTTTTGATTAAAAAACAAATTTTAAATCATAATTTTGATAATTTTTAGATGTTTACTCTTCCTGGATTGGCTGCTATTGCTTCTATTTTAGTGATAACGGTAACATTCATAATTTTTTCCTTAAACATATAAAATAAAAAATTGAAATAATGTTCTTATTTACTTGAATTTTAGTTTACAAATTATATTATATTGTTTGGTTTCGGCACATTAAAGTATTCATCAAAATTTTACAGATAGCAGCATCAGGAGGTTTAGTTACACTAGGGTTACTTCAAGTTTTAAGAAGAGGACCTCTTATACTGCTAGGGTAAACATCATTGTTATTATAATTCTATAAAAGATGAAAAGTGTTATGGCATTGCTAATTTTCGTTACTCATTACACTAAACTAATTTGAAAGGACCTAACTAGAGTGAGCAGTATTCAGTTTCTTATATTTGAAATCAAACGTGTTTTGGTCTTTCATTCAACAATATATCATACCCATAGCCCTCCCTTCAGGTATAAAACCGGGCTTTTATATTAACTGCCTGAGTCCTAAGGCACACTGCCTGAATGACTACTTTTTTCTGTAACTAATTAAATCTTTGTTTTGACCCAGTTTCAATTACCAGATTTTGATAATTTTTAGCTTTTTGAAAAGAAATTTGCACATTTTTAGTTTTTATTAATTACACATCAGGTTATTTAAAAATTAGCAAAAAAAAATTTTTTTTTTAGATTTAAATATTTATTTTATGCTAATCCATTTAAAGATTTAAACAGGTTTACATTACATTACAAGATATAGCATTACATCTGCATCATTTTCATAATTTCCCTCAAACTTAAATCTAGTTCAGCCTTTGTAGGTCTTCGTTTAGGCTCGGGAACAGGCACAGGATTAGGTTCAGGTTCAGGGTGAGGATGAGGTTCAGTTTCAGGTTCAGCTTTACCTCACCATAGGTGCTTCCTTAGAAGTAGGGATGGTTTCATTTTCTTTTAATTTTTTTCTGCTCTTTCTCACTCTTTTCCTCCTTTTTCTCCTCCTGTTCGGCATCCTGGAAAGAGACTGGGGGAGGGTACCGAGGGTTTGGGAGAAGGAAAAACATTCTTTACCTCCTCTAGACCATAACCTCAGCTCCACAGATTCACCGACCTTCACAAATTCCTGGTATAGAGCTAGGACCCGCTGTATTGAACCCATGTGTATTTGTTAAGTTGAAACAGGTTGACCAGGTAGAGTGGTCGTTCCCAACATTTCAGCTGATTTGGGGGCCAACACAGGTTTGCGGCCAAACTAGGCAGGGAGAAGAGAGCTGGTTGCTAACAGGTTGAATGCCGGGTAAAAATTTCATATATTTAAAATGACATGGTCCAGGGCTTTTCAAAAAGTTATATTTTAAGATTTTTTGGACACTTTTTATTTGCAAACATTTTTAGTATGTAACTGGATATTGCCTTAAAAAAAATTATTTTTCAAATTTGAAAAACTTTTTTAGCCAGATTCTAAAAGTAGAGCAAAAGAGCTTTCCAATGACGTATCATTTTTTATATTTGGACATCAAACATGGGATTTAGGATGGGCTGCGTATCCTGGTTTTGAAGTACCCCAGCAGAGATAGGGTTAATAAATTACGGCTACGTTTACCGGCTAGATCGTGTTTCAAAATGAGTAAAAAGTAGGTAGGTTTACCTATTCACACTTCCTCTCTCTTCACGTTAATCTAAAGTAAATTTCACTACTATGAGGAGCTACGAGGTCACAAAGTTGTGCCATTAATGTCTTATAATTTTTACCCTCTCCTTCTGTCTAGAAACCGGTTTTTGGGAGATGAAGATGAAGAAGAAGAAAAAGAGGAAACTGAGGAAAGAATATGGAAAAGAGAAACTGAGAGGGCCTCACCTTTTTCCATTAATACGATTTCATATTTGGAACCAATGCAGTGCTTTAGAAGAATTCTTTGCTCTTCTGCAACAAAAAGGTAATTATCGGAGTTTACTTATTTTACTTTTAAATCAACAGTTTGTCCTTTTCTTTTTATACAATTTCTTTCTTGATCAGAACAAGAATTCGGAAATTTTAAAATTACAAACTAATTAAAAAGAAATATATATATAATGCACGCACCCCTAACCCTTTAGTAAAAGTAAATTCAAACTAAAGTCTGACCGCGTCAACCTTGTTGCACCGGCTAGTCATAAGCCTAAGTCCTAAGTGTAAGCGTTATTCACCCAATGTCCGGGCGATACAGTATGAACTGGGACCGGAAAGAAGAAAAAATTAAATTGCGGATTTTTCTGCTGAATTGGTGGATTTATTTTATTCGGCTGATAAATCTTGTATCGTCATCTTTTTATAAAACTTTTGACGATATTGGGAAAAGAATCAGTCGGTTCAAAGATTCCTTTCAGAAATAATAATTAAACAAAAAATTCCTGTTTTTAGTTAATTTTTTTCAAATATTTAATTTTACATATTTTTAGACTTAAAAACGACCGAACTAAAAATATGTTGAATATGATTGAATCTGCTGTAGACCTGGCTGAGTTTAATAATTCAATAGCTAAAGAATATAGAGAAGCAAAGAGATTAGGAAAATCCAGGTAACGATTAATGATTAATGTTTTTTTTTTTATCTTTGCCTATTTTGATTTTTTTCAAAATTTTTCATTTTAAAGATTCAAGACTTTTATAGAATAAAAGTTGAGTAGTTAAAGAGGCAGAGTTTCAAATGGCCATCCGATTATAAAGTGACATTTTCTATTCACATTAAAATAGATTACTTTCAAGACAAGAAAGGAAATGAAGAGAAATAATAACTTTTTAAGACGGGAAACAATGATGTTTTCCTCTATAATTATTCTAGTGTAATAAATCGGATATTCCACAGTTCTTTAATAACTAAAATGTTCTAATTAAGGAGAAATGTTGCCGCATGTGAATTGAATTATAAGTGCCCTATTTCTTCAGACGTCATCAACAGTCTAATATTCTAGGTATTTTACTCGAAAGAATTGAGATTTTTCCTCAAACTCTGATTACCTTTACAACCCGATGTCGTTGACTTTTGATAATTCAAATAGTCTAGTCTGTAGTATGAAATATCAAAGGGGTTCACCATGTTTAGGAATAAGAGAATTTGAGTGAGTTTGTGGCAAAGACTCACTTCCTTTTAGCATCTAATGTTTAGATATTTGAATGAATGATCATTTCTGTTTTAGATGTATCCTACAAATGATTTGGCAGCTGTATACCTATAGGGGAAAATAAGTGTAATTGTTAATGTTTTGATTGAAATATATGTGTGAGAAACAAACACATAATTGTGGTAGATGTGATAACTTAAAAAATAAACGAATGCAATTTTAACTGATTATTATATTATGCATAAAGTCAGAGAATGAACTGAAATTTATTGAGAGTTAAACAAATGGTTTATAATGAATGTAAGTTTTTTTATTTTGAAGAATTATTTAGACTGAGTCAACTATCGCATATTTCTGGAGAAATATTTTTTAATGAATCAAAATAAATTTCTTACAAAAATTTCTCGAAGATTACGTCATTGCAAAACTTTGCTTTTTAACCAGAAGGCCATTTATGGACAGTGAACCCAGTTTAGTGTACAGAGGAAAATTATATCGCAACTGAATGTAATTTAATGTCTCATCTGATGCAGATCTAAGGAAAAGTTTAATTCCTATTCAAAACTTCGTGTTGGTCATACCCTTCAGAGATAACTAAAATGAAGGAATCAAGCATTTTTGTTTAATTTTTAAAGTACCCACATTGGATATCGAGATCAAACATTCAAGATTAAGAATACACAAAATTGCCAAGCTGTAATTTAAACATTTTTTTTGAAGTTTTGAGTGTAGAATAATGAATGATTAGAAGTAGCGGACTGACCTGTAAGCAGCTTTAGAAAGTGGCAAATAGTTCAATGTACAGGACTATATAGGACTATATAAGATAAAATGGTACTGTACAGTGTACACAGTAAATGAATCATCTCCTTTTAGTGAACAGGATGACATTCCTCTAAAGAAAACATCAGATCAAGAAAAAAATATTAATTTTGATCCCCCCCATCCCCCTCCCTATATTATTATATAAGATTTATTTTGTACACAAAGGTAAAATGGTACAATATGATAAGTCAAAAACAAGAATAAAGTATAATATTTAAATATAGTTTCTAGTCGGGACTTAAAAAGTTGATCATGGTTGCGATCTCATTATCATAAAAATTGTTTAGAACAAAATTATCTTCTTTAATTTTAAGTAATTCATGAAGAATGGGTAATTTCCATTCATGGTCTAAAGGAATATGATTGTATATCATATTTTGTTTCACGCAAAATTTGTTTAGACTTCTAGATTGTACATTACAATCTTGTGCAATAGATTCAAGATTTTTACATAAAACAGTTCTTAAATCCTGTTTACTTAGATCTACTAAAAGTCGAATACATAGCTTATGACAATTTGATAAATTGGTTACAAATTATACAAAACGAGTGCATAAAACTGTTTTAATATGAGGAACATTAGAAGTGGGCTCAATGAAATATCTATGGGTTTCTCTTGGTAGATCAAATAAAATGAGAATAGCATCATTGTTCCATGAATTCAGAAATTTTTGAACATCCCTATTCTATAAATCCCAGAGATTTGAGCCATAGAAATCACAAGTATATATATCATACAATTTTAGCACTGTGGATGTATTAGCATTATTAAGTTCTTGATTAAGAGAATGTATTTTAGAAATAAATTTAGCACATTTGCAGCTAACATCTTTTGTCATAGAACCATTAGACTGCAGTGTGTTGCCAAGATGTTTAATTTCCATTACATATAGGGTAAGGGTAAATTATTTAAAAGTATCGGGCAAATATTATCAGTATTCATGACAGGGTTACTGAAAACTATACATTTTGTTTTTGATTTGGAAACATCTACATTTGTGCTAAATTTTAACTGATGAAGACTAGCAAATTTTTCACAAACATTAGTCATTAATTGTAGTCCAGATCGAATCGGAGATAATAATATAATGTGATCCGCATATTTGTAAAAACTTATTTCTTTTTGTAAAAATTAGATTTACATATTGTACTATACAGTATTGCCGGGAGCCGGAGTAATTCAAAGAAAAGAAAATTCTGTTTCAAGTTTTAAATTTATTCCATGTAGCTAAAATGTACTCCATCTTGTATTTATGTTCTTTTTGCACAACTTATGTTATTTAAAAAATTCAATGGGGGGGGAATTAGGGGGTCGTTCCCTCCTTCCCTGAAAAATTTTGGCATGCCAAGAGAGAATTTAGGGATGTTCGGGTTGTACGCGGAAAGGATTTTTTTCCTTTCCATTATTGAACGTTTCCGTAAGACATTTCTCGTAGCCCATAAATTTCTGGAATCTTTTTCCAGAACTACGGAAATTCGGAGCATGTGTATAGAATTCTTAAATTTAAACTCAATCGCAATCTAGCATGTACAGAGTTTGTTTTTCATGCTTTTTCATTTTTTTCCGCTGACCAACAAAAGTATTTAAAAAACTCAGTTTTTATGGTGCTTTGCGCCAATATTCTATTTCAATTGTGAACATATTCTCTTTGTATACATTGTAAAACAACAAGAAAATTTTTTTCGAGGATTCTATACTTTACATTTTAAAAATCAAATGTTTTTTTAGATAGCTTGTACAATATCTGGAGTTTTGATTTAAAACATAAAAGAGTGTAATCTATATAACGTGTAATTTACTTTACCTAAACAACAATGTAATGGAGGCGTCTAGATATTAAGAGTGATTATAGCGTGGAGTAGCAGTTTTCTTATCCTTTTATTTTTAAATATTTCAATAAGTGATGCAATTTTAGCCCTTGCACGATTGGTACCCTCCCCCGTGGTTTTTTCTTAATTACATGAAAATGGTTTGCATTAGAACACTATAAAACAAATTTTTTGATGCATATGGTTGGGTAGAGGATGGGTCAAACGGCGGTAGTCTGTTTCAACAAATCAGAAATAGTTTTTATCTTTTTTATTAATTCAGCTTCAGGGCTTAAATTTATATATTTGAAAAGCCCTTGAAAAGGGGATATACTAAAATGTGTCACATGTTAATAATTGTCAAAAGTAAAAATTACTTTTTTGAGCATTTTTCCGACGTAATTTTGATTTTTTTTTAATTCTCCCTAGCACTTAAACCATTAAAGTTAGATTTGTATTTTTTATGAGCAGGCCTTGAAAAGTTGGACTAGGGACATATATTACACTCCCCTTTCACTGGGCAAAATCTAAGCCCCCCCCCCCATCCATATTAGACAAAAATATGGATGGGGGGGGATATGGTTAATAATTCTAAAAATGTTTTGATTTCATAAAAATAGCTTCATCATGGTGTTTATATCTCAAAAAATAAAGAGAAAGTATTGAAATAAAAATTAACAATACAAATTCTTTTAATTTGAATAGTTTAGGAATATACAAAAAATAAACAATCAGTATTAAAAGAAATTCAATGAAAAGAAAATTTTTAAAAAATTTTAATTTTAAAACAAAGAACTTAAGAAAATCGAATAAGAATAAAAAATTATTTGGAAAATAAGGGAAAATCAAAAAATCAAAAACTAACTCAAATTATCTAATGTTGTAATCGATCATTAACCAAAAGAAAAAAGCAATATAAAAAGAAAATTAAATAATATTAAAAATTGAATAAACTTAATTAACTTTGAAATGTAAACTTGATTAGTTCTTATAATTAAAAACTTTCATTATTGACCCATCCGAAGGTGAACTGGAAGTTAACCGATTATTAATGACACGATTTATCAGTTAATGGATATGTTGGAAACTAGATTTTTTCACGCAAAACCAGAGCAAAATGATCCGATTCAAACAGTTTCAAATGACCCCTCTTTTTCTGAGTGACATGTCCAATTAACAATAGGTCAAGGAAGGATGAGATATTTTTGTTTCTTCAATTTCATTCTTTTTTCTTTAAAAGTGACTTTTTAAGTTAAAAACAACTTTATCTTCCTTTATCTTATGAGATAGATTTAGGCTTAACGGGTATCATTAGGAATCCGAAATACCACTCATTTGCTGAAGGGTCATGTGCCTTGTGCCTATTTCACTGATTTTTTTTTTAAATTTGTAGTTTTGTGTGGTTAAATTATAAGTTGGTTTGACTTTATTAAGTTTGCTTGGTTAATTTACAGGTTGGTTTGTCTTTATTAAGTATGGGTGGTTAAATTATAGGTTGGCTTGTCTTTATTAAGTTTACGTGGTTAAATTTTAGGTTGGCTTGTCTTTATTAAGTTTGCTTGGTTAAATTATGGTTTGTCTTTATTAAGTTTGCTTGGTTAAATTATAGGTTGGCTTGTCTTTATTAAGTTTGCGTGGTTAAATTATAGGTTGGCTTGTCTTTATTAAGTTTGCTTGGTTAAATTATGGGTTGGCTTGTCTTTATTAAGTTTGCTTGGTTAAATTATAGGTTGGTTTGTCTTTATTAAGTATGGGTGGTTAAATTATAGGTTGGCTTGTCTTTATTAAGTTTGCTTGGTTAAATTATAGGTTGGCTTGTCTTTATTAAGTTTGCGTGGGTAAATTATAGGTTAGCTTGTCTTTATTAAGTTTGCGTGGCTAAATTATAGGTTAGCTTGTCTTTATTAAGTTTGCGTGGGTAAATTATAGGTTGGCTTGTCTTTATTAAGTTTGCGTGGCTAAATTATAGGTTAGCTTGTCTTTATTAAGTTTGCGTGGGTAAATTATTGGTTGGCTTGTCTTTATTAAGTTTGCGTGGCTAAATTATAGGTTAGCTTGTCTTTATTAAGTTTGCGTGGGTAAATTAGATTGTCGTGTCAGCATTAAGCTGGCGTGGCTAAAACAGGTTGGCCTGTGCCTGCCTTAAGTTGGCGTGGCTAAATCAAGTGACGTATCTTCATTAAGTTGGCGTGCTCAATTAGGTCGGCGTGTCTGCATTAAGTTGGCCTGTCTGTAATGTGTTAGCGTGTCTGTATTTAGTTGGCGTGTTTGTTTTATGTTAGCGTGTCTGTATTAAGTTGACGTGGCTGAATAGGTTCATGTGTGTCTGAATTTAATTGACTTGGATAAATTAGGTTGGCGTGTCTTCATTAAGTTAACCTGGCTAAATTAGGTTGGTTGGTCCGCATTAGATGTTGGCATGGATAAATTAGATTGTTGTGTTTGCATTAGGTTGGCGTGAATAAATTAGGTTGACGTATGTTTTTATTAGGTTGCATTGGCGTGAATAAATTATGTTGACGTTTGTCTGCATTAGGTTGGTATGTCTGTATTAAGTTAGTGTGTCTATATTAGTTTGGCGTGTCTGCATTAATTGGTGTGGCCTGCATTAAGTTGGCGTGGCTAAATTAGATTAGCGTGGTTTGAGCAAGTTTAAGATCAAGTTTGTTGAAGGAACCTGAAGAATAGTAAACCTTGAAAAATCCATTATCTTAACGAGTCGAGAACAAAAGTTTGAGAAGTGAAGTTCGGTCTTGAACATTTAAACAATGCTGTAGAAAATTCGAACGCTCCGCAACCTTCTTGAAATAAGTTGATCCTTCAGTCTTTTTTAAGTCGCCCAAAATCTACCAACACTACCGTACCATGTCCGGCTTTTTTATAATTGATAATTTAATTTTAATGTCTTTCTTCGCCTTTTATCGGTTTTATTCGGATTATTTGTATTTTTATTTTAATCATTTACGTTTCTCGTTAACACATGTTTATCATTTAGAATTTCTTCTCATTAACACATTTTTATCATTTAGAATTTCTTCTCGTTAACACATTTTTATCATTTAGAATTTCTTCTCGTTAACACATTTTTATCATTTAGAATTTCTTCTCGTTAACAAAACTTTATCATTTAGAATTTCTTCTCGTTAACAAAACTTTATCATTTAGAATTTCTTCTTGGTTTCCACGAATATTCAGGTTTCAGAAATAGGTTTCCACGAAATGACAATATTTTTTGCAAATACTTTTTTGCGAACTTTTGCACATCTTTTGTGAATGAAGCGCAATAAGTTTTGTGCGTTTTTGCGCAATTTTTTGTGTAATTTGTGCAAAACCGAAGTTTTTATAGATGTCTGAATTTTTGTGTGGTGTTAATCTTTGATATTTCAAATGTTGACTACTTCTAGTCGAATGCATATGATTAAAATATAAAAGGTCTCTGCCCACTGAGATAAAGACAACAATAAAACTCAGTCATCAAATTTGGCTTACAGCCTTGACTTTAAATTGTCGCAAACCTTGGCCTTTGGTTTTGCTTTTACCTCGCCAACTCACTCATACTTTTTGTGTAGGCCTAGACATCTACATTTTAAAAATGCTACGCGTCTCTTTCTGTCTTAAGCTTAAAATGAGTAATTGGCAAAATACTGCTCGACTTTTGTGTGAGATAGTGCTCATATTGATTTGCAGTGTGTAATCATGCATCAGGTTGCAAAATAAAGTTTTAGGCAAGTAATCATCTCTTTTTAAGCATTACAATAGTATGCAAACATGGATAACTAATTTATACAGTTTAAACCTTTATTCAACCTTTTACTGAGAATTTGTTCCGCAAAATTGCAAAACTGAAAAACGCAAAAGCGGAATAACGCAATTTTGCGCGAAATGAAGTTTGCGAATAATTGCGCAAACTGCTACTTTTTCGCGCAAAAATGGAGCGCAACGAAAGCAAAAATTTGTACTTTCTTTCGCAAAATTGTATAGAGAGATCCCCACTTGAAATTACGCTTACAGTCCCTTTAAGATTGAAATTTTAAATCCTCTTTATTTCTTTTTTAAAAGAGCAATAATTTTGAGTTAATTATATGAGAAAAGTAAGCAATGTGTCAAAGTATTCATGGTACATTATTGAATATTCATAAAGTGATGAAACTTCACAAAGAAGTAATATTTAAATTTTAAATAATTCTTTTTTACAGCTTGCTGCCATCCCAGCTTTAGCCTTTCTTGTAGGACTTGCAGCTTTTAAGGTAATATTTAATTCAAATACTTTAAATTTTCAAACTTTTAGATGTTATATGTACTTTTACATTCAATACAATTAGGTTTTCCAAAAATATTTTTTTATTTAATTATTTTAAATTTTCTAGGATCACCCATTGATATATCTATACTTTCTTTTTATTGGAAAAGAATAGCAAAAATTTGTTTTAGTTTTCTTACGTTTTGGTTTCTTTCAACGAAGTAATTCTGTTTGTCAAGCATTCATTTTGAAGTCCATTGCTTAAAGGTTTTTGAGAGAAAAGTTGATTTTTATTTCTCATTTAAGCTTTTAATATAGAATTATATTTTCAACAAACGTTGTCAAAGGATAAAGTATAAACCTTCAAACCCTCGAGCTCTAGTAAATATATGTTATACAAATTGAAAATCATATTATATAAACCTTCAAACCCTCGAGCTCTAGTAAATATATGTTATACAAATTGAAAATCATATTGTATAAACCTTCAAACCCTCGAGCTCT